CTGTAGTACAGCCTTTGATTATCAAAGCTAAAACCACAACTAAAAATAATTATTTTTTGGCAACATTCCTGGAAGTATTCAGTGATCTGAATTTAAAGCAGTCGGAGAGGATCGCGTGAGTGCCTCACCTCCAAAGGAGAGCGCAGCCTCTGCGTAACCTGGTATTAGCAGCTGATTAGCAGATTGCCTTGTTCGAAGATCTAATTCACGCGAACCAGTTGAATACATAATTAAGGCTGGGACAGTGATCTGCTCTGCTGGTGCTCAGTAAGCCTGGGATTGAACCACAAGCAGGCAGCTTCTTCTCCGAGGTGGTGAGTCAACAGTGAACGATTCAGAGGTAAGACTGAGGGGGTGGGGGAGATCTACACTGACAAATCCACCATTGAGTTGCAAGTAATAATAATAATAATCCTTGCATTTGATATGTATAAAGTAGGTCTAACCTCACACGAAGCGCGATGCTATAATTTAGCTCGGGTTAGGATTTGTGTTATTTTCAGATTACTTCCTAACACTGGCATTTTAGTTTAGAACGTGCACATCCCATTGTGCATTCAAATCCCAGAGAGAACTTTTGTGTGTATAGTACGTGGTATTCAAGTTTGATTTAATCTCTTCTCTATTTGCATTATCAATACACAACAAAATCCTGCTTTTAAAATGTGATTTATTTTTTTTGCGCGGTCGCGCGCGCGCGCGTGTGTGTGTGTGTGTGTGTTTGCGCTCCACGCCAGGGTGTTTTGTTGGTGACAGGTTATATAGAATTCTGTTTTTAAAAGAAATTTCTGACGAGGTGGTTTCTCTGCTATATTGAGGTTGAAGCCGTGGGTTTTATTCATCCCGAACAAATAGCGGCTGTTTTATAAGTTTCAACTCGTTCAAATTCTCCTGCTTATCTGGGCTGTAACATACAGCACCTGCTCGCTGTAAGAATTGCTGCTAAATCTATTGAGGCCAGAGATGACATGAGGTTTTCATCTGACGTGAGGGTTCTGACAAGGGGTAGTGGACCCGAAACGTTGACTCGCTTTCCTTTCTCCATAGATGCTGCCTGACCTGCTGATTGTTCCCGGCCGCTTCTGTTTCTGTTTCAGATTTCCGGCATCTGTAGTATTTTGCGCGAGGTTTCTGTTTTCCTGTTCGTGCTCAACTTGAGAGTGAAGCATGTGCGATGACCTCCACAATTTCATGGCGTTTAAACCATTTAAATTAGCGAGAAATATTTTTCGCCAGAGTTGNTTTTTTGGCTGTCTGAATTGTGCATAACATGATTACTTCTGCCCTCTACTGTACGTACTAAGTGCTGATTTCCGAGGCGTTTACTCCGGGTTATAGTTTTGCTGCCTTTGATTTGGGGAGACAGTGAAGGTGATCCCACTGTGCATTTAAATCCCTGAGGGACTTTCTGTGTATAGAACATCCAGTACATGGTATTCAAGTTTAATCTATTCTCTATTTGCTTCATTAATAAACAGTAAAATAATGTTTTTAAAGGTGTGATTTTTTTTTGTGTGCGTGTGCGCGCGCTACATGCTGGCGTTGCCACCGCAAATGCTTCACGCCTTCCATGCTGAATCTTAGTTAAAATATTGACAGCTGGATTCGTTTTAAAACTTAATCTTAAAACGCATTTATACTTGGTTGCAGACTTCAGTTTTGAATTGCGGTCTGCTCTAGCGTTGAGGATATCCGTTGCTGTATCCCTTAGTTAACTTTGCTGTGTTAATTGAACTGTGTGCGGGTACTGCACTGCGCATCCCATAGGAATCGTGGCATAAATAGGAATTTAGCTTAAAGGAACACTTAGTCGGCCCATTGACAGAACTGGGAATATACAGCATTGTCGGCTACTCCCAATTATACACTTACCTTATCTGCAAATGTATAGTATTCTGTTATTTTTAAAGAAATTCCTGACGAGGTGTTTTTCCCTGCTATATTGAGGTTGAATCCGTGAGTTTTATTGATTACCAACCAAAAGCAGCTTTTATTTTTAAGTTTCAACCTGTTTAAATTCTCCGGCTTATCTCCAGCGTAACATGCAATGCTTGCTGGCTGCAGAGGTGGCTGCTAAATCTATTGAGACCAGAGATGACATGAGATTTCTATCTGATTATCTGTGCTCCCTTGAGAGTGAAGTATGTGTACATGACCTCCACAAATCATAGTGTTTAAACCATTTAAATTAGCAGGAAATATTTTTCACCAGTTTTTTATGGCTATCTGAATTGTGCGTAACATGATTATTTCTTATTGCCCTCTACTGTATGCACTAATTGCTGATTTCTGAGACATTCACTCCAGGTTATAGTTTTGCTGCATTTGATTTGAGTAGACAGTGAATGTGCTTCAGGTGATCCAATTACGGACCTTCTACCTTCTAAAGGACTGGGATTAAACTGGCAGCTGCATGTGTGCATTTATAGCCATCTCTTAGGTACTTAACATCAGTAGCTGTACATTCATTAATTCACTCGCTTTGTAAACACTGCTGTGCACAAGTGGCTGCTGAGTTTTGCACACAAAATACACAGTCAATCCACTTTACAACATATTCCGTGAACTGCTTGGAGATGTGTCAGCGATGTGATGAGGCGCTGTATCAAATGCAAGGATTATTATTAGATTGCTTCTAATCCCTCCTTTTATTTAAAAACTTCATTGTTTTCCCAATTCTCCCCTCTCTATGCCCAAACCCATTTTATAGTTGACCAACTGAGATGAGCAGGGAACACTTTTACAGATTTCTCTTCACTTTACAGAGTTCCTTCACTTTGATTGGCTTTTAAGAGGTGCATTAGAGAGTCTGGGAGGTCCCTCACTGTCTCTTTTTCTCTCTCCTCCAGTTTTGAATGTAGGGTGAGTTCTGTCTTACTCCAGTTTCCTATCTGTAGTGCCTCCTCCACCATCTTTGAATGCATTCATCTTTTGGCGAAGGTAAGCGGGGTCTCATTGGAGCTGAACTGGCTCCAAGGTGACATGTTTGCCAGTGGAGTATCAGAATTGAGCCCACCCTCTGTGGCGGTCTCGGTAGTCCGGTTCCTGAGTCAGGTTGTTTGCAGTAGACTGGGGCACTGCTGATGACAGCCCAGCCTGGCAGACCAGTCACTGGGGACAAGGAAGCCTATCATTCAGCTCCCGTTTCCCCTGGAAGCCAAAGCCCTAACAGCATGGGACGCTCCAAGCTGGACAAGCAGTAGGAAGTGCTCTCAATGGCAAGCTGTGCAGTTTTAGCTGCTTAAACTCCAGGGGTTACGCCGTTGAACAACCTGGCATCCCAAATATTGGCCTAATACTCCCTGGAATTCGGTCAGTGGGCTACATCCAAGTTTGGATTGGGTACGTACGGTGATGTGGTTCAGACACTTGGCTGGCCAGACTTTTTTTTAATGCAATTTAAACGCTTCCTGTTCTATTGACAGGACAATTTGGGCAAATTAATTATTTATGGTTAAGTAATTGACTTCCACACTAATGACACGTGATCTTGTGTGTATTTAGCGGATAATCTGGCAAACCAGAAAGCTTTATCCTATAGACATCTATTTTGTTTCAGTTCCTATCACGTGTGACTTCAACGTTTACATTTAGAACCACAGAAAGGGTATCTTGTCTGCGTAGGATCTTTTGTGTAAATGTCACATATCGGAGTGCCTTACAGAACGCAGTTCTTTACTAATGAAGTAAACATTCTGCCTGGCTCAGCTGATAGTACTCTCACCTCCCAAGTCAGAAGATTGTGGGTTCAAGCTCAACATCGGGACTTTCAGTTCTAGCTGTTTGTAGGACATTGCTGGACTTAAGCTTGAGTTAATTTAATAACAATATTAATGACAAGGCACCCACCCAAACCCAGCTCGGTTGCTCAGTGTAACGTATTTTGAGACATCCTCGTGATGTGAAAAATACAAATTGTATTAAAGCGTGGTGGCAAACTTACAATGTGGTCAAACTTGCTTAAATTTAGAGAGTGAAAGGCAGTATTTAAATATAAATTTATTGCATTGAGCTGACTGCCTTCTATTTTTGAATAGCACCATGAAATTTTCCACTTGCTAAGGCCCCTCGGTTTACCAAATGACGGCAGCCTGAAGGAACTTCTCTCTAACAGAGAAAAGTTCTTTCTTCTTTTGCACCGAAAGGGTTGGCCCTTAGGAATGTTAGCGAGAAGTTCACTCAACAAACCTGGAATTCCACACGACAAACCTGTTTATTAGCATGTGGACGAGTTGGAAGGTGTGACCCGTGTGAAAGGGGTGAGTGTGGGAGAGGAATGGAAGGAATTTCTACAACACTGAAGTGTGCATTGTGATTTTGATGCATCCGCGTCGGTGCCATTTATTGATGTGTTGGGGCACCGGGTCAGGGCAGCCAGACTGGGAAGTGGTAACCGTGTCTCCCTTACATGTTCCCGGCAGTTTTGCTGTGTGGAACGCAGGTCAGAAGGCAGAAGGATATCTCACAAAGCGCTTCACAGGATAAACTGCAACTGCGTATTTGCAGGCAGACATGACAGCCCCCATTTGTGCACAGCAGTGTCCCACAAGCAGACAAGAAGTGACTGCCACGTTTTATTTATAAACTGGATTTATGGCTTAAATCAAGAAATGTCGCCCAAAAAGGTTGACCGTCACTGGACCAAATGAAACATCTCACTTGTGCTGAAGAGTACAACCAGAGGACACGGCCTGCGGTTGGAAGTGGGGGTAAATTCAAGACAAATCTGCGGAAACGCTATTTCAGGCAGCGACCAGTAAATGTATGGAACAGGCTCCCGAGGGAAGCAGAACGTGTTGATTCTTCTAAAAGTAAATTAGATAGATTTCTGTTCGGAAATAATATCTCGGGATAGATACAGTATATAGTTTGGGACACGCCATGTGCGTGAAACTGCTGGGAAGGCGAACTGGGTGGACCTCGGTCGTCTTTTGTCCAGCAAATTCCTATGTCACAGAAGATGTTGGTTCCCAATCGAGGTGTTAACTTGTCTGTTGCAGTGATGGCAGGCCCCCGGCCTGTGGTGCTGAGCGGACCGTCCGGTGCCGGCAAGAGCACGCTGCTGAAACGGCTTCTCCAGGAATTCGAAGGGATGTTTGGATTCAGTGTCTCACGTAGGTAACATTTGTAATCGCAAGTAATCCGCACTTCGTCGAGACGCCTCAAAGCGCTTCACAGGAATCGCCTGCGTCAGCCCGGCCTCTGAGTCAGAAGCTTGCGGGTTCAAGCCCCGCAGTCGGGGACTTGGAATCGCTGAGGCCAAGGCAGGTTCCAACTGGCGGCCCGTGCGCCACATCCGGCCTGGGGGGGTTATTTCATTTGGCCAAAAGGTTTTGCAGGAAGTTACTTGTCCGCCGCTCACAATAATATTTCAGTTGTGCTTTTTTTTTTAAAAAAACAGATACAACTCGGAATCCAAGGCCAGGAGAAGAGGACGGCAAAGGTTAGTGATTGTTTTCACTTGTAAACTGCTTCTAGAACGAAAAGTTGAACACTAAATTATTTGAGCTTCAAATAATAATAATAATAATAATAATCCGTGCCTTAGATACGGCGCCTTATCACGTCGTTGAGACGTCTCAAAGCGCTTGTTTTAAAGGACGGGAAGTTTCCGTTCAGCTATCAACAAAGTGCTGTTTGCTTGAGGTAATTTCCTGTTGGTGATTTATCCAGATTACCACTTTGTATCGCGGGAGGAGATGCTTCGTGGGATTCAGGCTGGGGAATTCATAGAAAGCGCTGAATTCTCCGGAAATATATATGGAACCAGGTGAGTGCAGGAACTTGGTCAACATCACCTTGTATGTATTTGGAGAAGCGATTTACAGTATAATAATAATCCTTGCATTTGACACAGCGCCTTATCATGTTGATATATCTCAAAGAGCTTCACAGCTCTGTAGCGTGGAGTTGAATATGTTTTGTGGGTAAAACATGGGCAGCCAATATGCACAAACAGTCGTGGACTGAGTGTCCAGTTTATTATTATTACAACAGAATACAATTTTCACTTGTTTAATGCCTTTCATGCCGGGCAGACACCTCAAAGCACCGCCCAGGATATACGGTAGAGTGTAGTGACTGTAGTTGAAGCCACGTGGATAGCCACCACATTTCCTTGCAAACACGGTCACTACACTTAAGAATTGATCACGTGAAGCACTTTGAGATACTTATACATCAGAATCAAGATTTATAATATTTTTGTAAAACGATCAGGGAGCGTTAGTTTAATAGAATTTACAGTGTCCTTCAGTGGGGTAATATCTTGAAGCTTAATTCTTGTATTTGATGTAAATTTGGTCTGTAATGCCAAAAGACAGGGAGTTTGTGGAAAGTATTAGGCTCAGGTAGGCAAGAGCCAAGGCTTGGGGATCCCAGAGTGTGTGTTGCCGTAACTGCTGGAGTCTAACCAACTAGCTTGCCATTAAGAAGCAAGCTTTCCTGCTGCTTGTCCAGCTAGGACCACCCTACCTGTTAGGGCTTCGGCTTGCAAGGTTAACAGGAACCGAGTAGGAGGATTCTCTTCCCCCCCAGTGACTGGTCCTCAATTTAGTATCTCAGATGAAGGATTACTCTGCTTATTGAATTGCGGCTGTTTGTGCAGTGAGGTTGTAGCACTAACCCGGCGTGCTCCCACTTTGCTTTTTCTAATGAAGAATCAATTAGTGAAGGATTTGCCCTTCCTAAACTGCTGGATATAGCTGCTCTCAAAGCTGCCTTTACTCAGCTCCTGCTGCTTAATCTCCTTCAGATGTTGTTCACTGAGCAATCCAATCATCGGCAGAAACGGCGGTCATACAGCACACAGTGAATAATGAACCCAAGCGTGCAATCTGCCTGTTTCACTCTCATTGAACAAGGAATCAGCTGTAAAATATTTTTAGCACAGGTGTCATTCAGCACAATCTGTCTTTCCTTTTAGGGGAACGTTTTAAAACTATGGTAATGATAGTGAAGAGGAACAAATAACAAACTAAAAGTCCAGGAGAAGAAAAAGCCGAATTTACCTCTGGTTATGTAACTTCACTGGTGTATTGTTGAGCGTAGTGGTCAGCACCCTCACCTCGCAATTGAGAAAAACTGGTTAATAGTGATGGCTATCTGTGGGATTTTGCTGCTGTATTGCCTACAGATAGTCTCTACACTTGACTGAAATTATCTGTGAAACACTTTGAGGTATTTCAGGATGGTATGGCACTGGAAAAATACAAGAGGTTTTAATGCTCCCTGCTACCATGCTCAAAAGTCCTATCGCTCAGCGGTTACAGCACTCGCCTCGCAAGCGAGAGGACCTGGTGGGGGGCAAAACCTTAGGCAAGTTTCTTTACTCCACACACAGGCCTCTGTTTTCCCGGCAGGAAATAGGAACCCAGCTTTTAGGCGGATCGCTTTCCGGGAAACCTCTCCTCTTTTTAAAGAGTGCCGTAGTTTTGATATCGTCAACAGCTTTGCTTTAATGATTAACCCAAAGGACACCACGCCTCCAGCAATGCAGCACACCACTTGAGCATCAGCCCAGACTGCGAGATCGAAGGCCCATTCTGTGGCTTGAACCCACAGCGAGAGTTTTACCAGCTGAGCCAGGCTGACACTACGCAATAAATCCTATGACTCGCTGTGAGATACGTATGGTGTAATTGGATCTCTGACCTAAATTTAATAGTCGTGTATCCTATCTTAAGTGTAAAACTGAAAAAAATTGCCACAGCGCCCATCCCCAGGACAGCCAGCCTTGACTACGTGAGCTCAAAGTCCTAACGGGGGCTTCAACTAACAACCTATGGCCTCTGGGGCCAGAGCGCAATCACTGAGCCAGGCTGACAACTGTGCCTTTCTCTTTCAGTAAGGCTGCAGTGCAGGCAGTGCAAGCCAAGAACCAAATCTGCATTCTTGACGTGGACATGCAGGGGGTGAAGAACATCAAGAAAACTGAGCTGAACCCCATCTATATTTCAATACAGCCTCCCTCGTTTGAAGTTCTGGTAAGCTCTCTCTGTGTTATTACTGCTACTGGTCTTTGAGACCACATATCGCTGGCAAGGAAGTTCCTAGTGCCTCAATCCCTCGGTCTTGCCCCCTTCCTTGTCTGCCTTCAGATCACACCTGAAGACCTTCCTTTTGACTGAGCCTTCTCCCCGGCTCAGTGTTGAATGATAGTCATTTGTTATTATTATTACGATAATACTTGGTGATGATTGTTGAGGAAAGTATTTTAAAAGTAACATACATTTTGACCGTGCTCCCTGGGTGAGGGGCACTAAATAAATACAAGTTATTGTTGTTGTGGGCCATTCAGCTGAATTAGTCTGTGCTCGTATTTATACTCTGTATGGACCCCAGTCTCTCCTAATCGCCTCTCCTAATAATTGCAATGCAATATTGCATTAGTGTAGCACCTTTCACGTTGGGAGGATGTCCCAAGGCACTGGACAGTCAGGGATTTGGACCCGAGCTCAGGATCAGAGAGGGTAGGAGGGTGACCGAAGGCTCGGTCATAGAGTTGGGTTTTGAGATGTAGATTAGACAGGAGCTGATTAAATTATTGGTGACTTTTTGCATTTTACTACTCTGCTTGAATCTGTTTTTACTTTTAGGAGAAGCGGCTAAAAGACCGAAATACTGAAACCCTGGAGAGTTTAGCAAAGAGGTTGTCGGAAGCAAAATTGGCCATTGAATTCAGTGAGTGTGATTCTGGGCTTGTACCCTAAGGGCACATATTGTATAAACCACAGGGAACTGCAAATAGCGAATGCAAATATCAAACGTTACACCGAAAATCCCGAAATTTAGTCTTTCTCATTCAGATTCTGAGTGACCAGCTCTGTATTTCCTGGTTTTATTTCCGCCCCCTTCCCTCCAGGTTTTCTTTTAACTCACGTTTTAGCTGAAATGTTCTTGTTGCAATGTTCTTTTGTGGTGCTTCATGTGTTTCTCTGTGAGAAAACTTAATTCGGCACTGATTTATAACGTGCTCTATTGTTGATGACTGGTGTCCTCAGTCGTCACCATCATCGAACCTTAAAGACCAGAAGGAGGCCATTCAGCCCATCGTTGAAAGATCTATCCATCTGGTCGCACTCCTCCACTCTTTCCCCACAGCCCTACAATTTTTTTTCTTTTCAAGTATCTTATCCAATCCCAATTGTGTGTTGGAAATGACCAAATCTGCCACGTGATGTTCTGAAGCAGTTCATTGTGGGACCATTGCTGTTGAAGACTTTCATCATCAATTGTCACCACCCCCCTCCCCCCCCCCACCTCCGTTTCCCTGGGTCATTTACCATTAACTCCTCCTCTCGCTGGATGCCATTGATCGAAGTCTGAGCGGAGGCTGTCTGTTTGTCCTGCTGTTTTGAGTGCTGCACCCAGGGAGTGACTCTTCCCAGTTTAATACTGCGGTGAAAGATTATTTTGAGGGGGATTGTCATTCCTGCAGTAAATGAAATGTAGGTAAGGCAGCATGTTCGGCATCTAGTGAGACCACTTTTGTGTGTGTTTTGCAGGTAAGGAGCCTGGTATGTTTAATGAAGTAATAGTTAACAACGTTTTGGCAGATGCTTATTCGAAGCTGAAATCAGTTCTGACTGAGGTGAGTCAATTCCAACTAACCTGCTCCTTCACTGAATGCATTCTCTCTGTTAGTGAAATGGAAAATTTCCACTAGTTTTCTAAAATTCTTCTCCTTTTAAGGCCTCTCTCAAGATCCTCTTCAACCTTGCCTTAGGTCACCCTCCTTCCTACACCTCCTGATCAATCCCCAGCTCGGGTGCAAATCCTTGGCTGTCCAGTGCCTTGGGACGTCCTCCTGAAAGGCGCTACAACAAATGTAATTTGTTGTTGTAGTTAAACATCAAAAAATTTGAAGCGCTCCCTGTATATGTCTCGCGTGCGGTGTTAGAATTGATCTATTGTGGAATTCCTCTGTGCTGATGAGTTTCCATGAGTCTCTGATGCCTGCCTTGACCAAAATACCCCAGCCTTGGGGTTCATACTTATGCAAAATAAATGGGGAGGGCAAGTGATAAAGACGAGGAGTGTTAGTTCAAGTGCTGGCACTTTAAATTCATCCAAGTGAGGAATACTATCTTGACTCACCCAAGTTACCCAAACTANTTTTTTTCAGGAAATTGAAAAGGCAAAGAAATCACAGAACTGAATGAAGTGTTTGAAGATATTTCCATGCACCATGTCATACAGAAAATCCCAGCCCTCTGTTGTGGAATTCCTATTCCCAGCCGTTAGGATCAAATGAAGGAGGAAAATCTCTTATCAAGAGTCTATGTATTTATTCAATATCCTGACATCCCTTTCTTTTTATATGTCTGATTATTTCTTAGTTTATTTGGAGGTGTACATTGCCGTCCGTGCTAGCATTCCATTTCCTTCTCATCATTGTCCTTAAGAATGTATTTTAAAGTAGGAATTGTTCGAAGACGAATGTAGAGGCTTTGTCTGTCTGCTGCTCAGTGTAACCTTCGTAAGGATTTGCCTGTTTTCTTTACCAGTTTGCAGGATAGTACCTTTGAGGTGCAATTTTATAACTTGTATTATTTTTTTTAAAAAAGAGTGTACATATTAAAACGAGCCGCTACGATTATATGTAACACCAAACACTCCAGACACACTTGTTTGTGTGTCATTTTACCCGACGGTGACCAGTAAACCTAGAGTAGGAGCAGATTAATGTCATGGCACAATTTTCTTTTCTAATTATTTAAATTGCTTTGTGTGCTTAAAGGGTTACCTGATCCCTTTAAGTGCTCTGGTTAAGTTTTTTTTTCTTCTGAGTGTCGCCTTTTGGCATCTCGTCTCCATCATCAAAATGGTGCGATGAATCCGAACGTAGAATCAATGAAATGTCGACGCAGAGAGAGGCCATTCGGCCCTGTCCTGCCTGTGCACTTCCAACTCCATTCCTGGAACTCTGTACGTTAACCTTGTCTCTCCTTCTCCCCTCCCCCACCCCCTTTATGTATTTAGGGCTTCTGATGATTTTTTAAAATCTAATCAACCTCCCAATAAAACACCACAGATTAACAAAAGAAAACTGTGTCGATTCCAATAAACACCGGAAATACCTGTTCTGATGTCATTCCGAGGTGAGGCTTTCTCTCTCTCTGCAGAGTCCTGATGTTCCACCTGCGCCTGTATTGCTCTCCACCTCTCTCCTCTGTATGTGCAGCCGAGTTTAGTGAAGCGTTTGAGACTCAGTCGGGGCTTCAGCCTCTCTACCCTCACACCCTTTGGAACTCCATCTCCACAGTCTCTTTGCCTCGTTCCCTCCCTCACCTCCTTCAAGGGCCGTCTCAAGACCCTCCTCTTTGACTGCGCCTTTGGTCGCCCTCCCCTCCCCCTCCTGATCCCAACCGTCAGATAGGGTACAAATCCTTGACTGTCCAGCGCCTTAGGATGTCCTCCCGACATGAAAGGCAGCATATAAATGTAATCTGTTGTTGAGAGGGAAGCAACGTGTGCACGTGAGGGTGACTGTGTCGCCTCTGTGTACACGTGTGTGTTCTCAGTACAGTAACAAAGCCTCAAAAAACCATCAATTATAAACACTCTAAAATTGCTACAGATAAACCTCCAAAATTAGACGCCCTTTACACATATATATATATAGTGTGCATATGTACAAAACAGTATGATTTCCTTTGGAGCTGAAGAAACCAGGAATCTGCAATGTAATGTGTTTTCCGCGAACAGAATGATGAAGGGAGGGAGTGAGCGGTTTTATGTCTTTCTCGGTAGAAAAAATTCTCTGTGCTAAAGTTCCTCCACGTAAATACTTTTCATGCAATCCCAACATTGAAGACCTGAAACCCGTCAACAAATGATGGATGTATACGTGGCATTAGTGTGTAGAAACTCGAGGACAGACTCTCATTGATACTGTCCTGTACTGCTGCTCAGGTACAGATTGATTAAGGTTCAGTGTTGTGCACTGAAGTCATCCCAGGAAGATGTCTGATGTTCTACAAGTAATAATTATTACTGGCGGTAATAATCCCTTCAAATAAAAGCATGTCACAGAATATACTGTATGGCTATGTATTTTGAGGGGGAAAAGTGGCAGCCATTTGCCAGCAGTGTCCTACAAACAGCCGTAGCTTAAGCTTATTTTTTTTAAAAGGGATTATTATCTCCGGTAAAGTGATCCACCAATCGACAAAACAACTGGGTTTCTACTTCCTGTCAGGTAAGCAGCGGCGTGTGGAGTAAGGAAACTTATCTAAGGTTACACCATTGAATGAATATAGAATTTCCCACGTTAAGCTTTCAACAAGAAACCCTACATTAACGTGTATTTAAATTCCGTTCTTTTTAACAGCAAATATTTATTGAGTAAGAAGAACACATCTATTCCCACTCACATTCCAGGAAAATACTCTTGGAGGCTGAACTCCTTCCCCATACATTTCCACAGCAGCATGTCTGCGTGTAACTCGTACAGGATTTCTACACGCAGCTCGGGAGAGCAAGTGTTTCTGCTGTGGAGTTCAGGGATTGGAAAAATTAGTCTCTTGTGGAAACGTTCTCTGTAGAAAAAAACTGTTGCTTTAGAGAGGATTAGAAAGGCGCACGGTATCAAAGAATACAGGCACAACAGCCTTCACCGCACCAAGCAAAACTGAGCGTTAGCGGAAAAATGTTACTGCACTCGTAAGAGTTAAGCTCTGGGGTCCCATAGGAGGAAACGTTTTCTACATTGCGTCATTGCACTTAAGTTTCTGTGATGAACATTGACAAAGATCATTATAGCTGTGGCTTCGACAATGCAATTATTTCAATAGTGCTTCAATCCCAGATAAAGCTTCTACTCCCATCGTTTAAATCAGTTGGTGGCCAACCCAACATTTGCACAAGTTTAGGTAAGTCTGTGTTAAGTCAATGCACTGTCTCCTGTAGCTACTGAGTAGCAACGTGTACGGTGTGGCCATATATCCAGAAATATTCAATCAATAAAGATTTAGTTGGCCGACCCAAAAGGTTGGGCCACCACTGATTTAAAGAAATCAATTTACATTCATGCAGTGTCTTTCGGGAAGACGTCTCAAAGCATTTGACACTGATGGCTGGGCACTTGACCTGGAGAGACCAAGAGGCGGTCGAAGCTGATAATAATGCGTTATCACATTGTCGAGACGTCTAAAAGCGCTTCACAGAAGATATAGTGTGGGCGAAAAGTGGCAGCCAATTGCGCACAGCAGTGCCCCAAAAACAGTCGTGGATTGAGTGACCAAATTATTATTTTTTGGAGGGATTTACCCCGGGAAAAGTTATCCAACAATTGCTCTGGGGTCCTACTTACTGCTGAGTAAACAGATGAGTGGAGTAAGGAAACTTGCCTAAGGTTTCGCCCAACCCGGGAATCAAACCCAAGTCCTCTCGCTTGCGAGGCGAGCGCTCTCACCAATGCTCTGCAGGACTCCACAATGGACGTGCTGTTTATTTTCTGCAAGGATTTGTGAACACCATTCTTCGTGGTCACTGGGTCCTGAGTTAAAACAATTTGAGGATCGAAAGCTGTAGAGCTAAACTCGTTTGATTCAGTCTCTAACGTTACACGTACGAATGAAAACCAGGAGAAAAAAAGCAGAAGAAAAGCCTCAAAGCACATGCGATAGGAAATTGGTTGATTACATTTTAAAACTCTCAATCAGAACAAGGCTTCGATGCATTACAACTCCAATACCAGGGTTGATTTACTGCACGTGCAAACTGGGAATACAAACTTGGCACATAAATCCTGCTGGATATATCAGGCACAAGAGACACGGGTCGGTTCAACTGTTGAGGATACAGATCACTACAACAAAAGCCTCCATAAGTTAACCACAAATTGGCATCTTCATCAAGAAATTCCCTCCCCCTGTGCAACTGACCCCCACGGTTTCTCAATGACAATGTTAGTGTTATTAGGAGAGACTGAGCAAGAGAGAGACGTTTTTTTTGCGGTCGGGGGTGAAAACTGTAAATAAAACCTTAAAAGGTTTTTGAAATGGATATATTAGTGGTTCAAACAAGGGGTTTCAATTCACGTTCTGGGGGCAGAAATATCCAGAATATGGGCAAGGGAGCTTATCGGCTCTTTTATATAATCCAGAAGTTGCACTTTTAAAACAATTATAAATAAAAATGTAAGACTGACACATTCGCACTTATTGGGAGGGATCCATTCGCATTGCCGTCCAGCTGTGCAATTATTTATCTAATTGCTATGAGCGGCGAGGCCACCAGTCAATGCCTTCAGTGTCGCCGGCTCCACGTTGCGTTGGAGTCTCATGAACTATATCGCTCTCACAGCTAAAGTCACCGCGAAGGTCGAGGGAAAAATCAGACCCATCTCAGCCTCTCCTCAGCATTGTCTGGTCTGTTCATTCCTCACTCTGGCAGCAGCACCTTGTGCTGGGTGCACAGAAGCTTCCGGTGTTTCTCTCGCTGCTTCAGGTAAGACCTGAGTTTGGAGGTTTGGAAGGAAACTGCGGAGTGTCTGAGCTTGGCTCTCGAGTCCTCCTGCAACCACGGTAGCGCCAGGCACTCGGACCCAGAGGGTCTTCCTCTACAAAGTGAGAGACACAGAAGCGAGAGGTGACTGTGAAGCATTTTGAGGAGATTAATCAGCGTGAGAGGCGCTGTATCAAATAATTTATATAACGTCGGCAGGAGACCATCTCAAAACGCTTAAACATAAGGATTATATTTGTACCATAAAGACCTGGAGCAAACATTGAGCAACTCTTGTCCTTTCTCGCGTTGATAACTGTCAACAAAAAATTGGATTTACACGTTGGGAGGACGTCCCAAGGCGCTGGGCACTGAAGGGTTTGCCCCCGAGCTGCGGGGGTGGAAGCGAGGGGGAAGGGGGTGGGGGTGGAGGAGGGAAGATGACCGAAGGCACAGTCGAAAAGGAAGGTCCTTAATGTCTTATATCAACACAACAGAGAAAAGATGAGGATTATTTTTGCTTTGAACATTTTCACCACCAATTCTCTCTGCTGAAGACATTTGCCTGGTTTCCTTCCGCTGGGGGAATCTCAGGTACTTTATCGCAGTAGCCTTGGCACCAGTAAATAGTACAAGCCAATGTTTGATAAAGTGCCTTTCATGTTGGGATGCCATCACAGAATTTCACAGCATTTACTGTGAAGTGCAACACATATATTTGTGGGCGAATACAATAGCCAACTTGCACACAGCGATGTTCCACACACAGTTGACCAAGTTTATTTGGGGCACTGTCGGCCAGGACAGAGAGAAACTCCCTCCTCGTTTTGAGCAATGCCCCGGGATCTTTAACGTCCACCTGAATAGGCAGGCGGGACCTCGGTTTAACGTTGGGGAACACACTCACCCAGCGTTCCTGCACAGAGTGCTCTTCAGAAAAGAAATGGCTCCTTGTGAGAGGCCTGTGTAACACCTGCCAATCTTGACTTTGCCTTTCCTTATGTTTTTTTCCTTGTCGGACTCTTTATCGGATGTGAAAGGACAATCTCCGCTCAACCTGGAACAGAAACACTGCATCGTCAGCTACAGGTCCTTGCATTTGTGATAGCGCCTTCCACATCACTGAAACGTCTCAGTATTTCACAGGATTTACTGCTAACGTGCAGTTAAGCTCTCTTGAGAGACTACCCCATGGCACACAGCGACATCCCACAAACAGTCGTGGATTGAGTGACCAAATCATTCGTGTTTTATTATTCACTGAACCTGAAGCATTCTTGGTCTGTGTGGCTTGGTTAGAAGGGCCTGTGTCCACCCACCAGTATTATGAGCCATTATATTCTAGGTTGGTCCTGTGTGGCCAGAGGAGGCAGGGAGAGATAGATTATTTGGGATTAAACGCTGTATATTTATTGGGATGAAATCCAGTAACTCACATGGTAAAGGTCAGAACACCAACTGCCCAGATATCAGTCTCGGGAACCAATCCTTACAATCAAGGATTTCTGGAGCTGAAAAGGAAAAGTTTTAAGTTATAAAAAGAGTTTCATAATCTACGTTACGTTATTTTCTGTACATAACATGGAGGGAGGGTTCGGGTGAACTTTGCAACGTGACTGAAGTTGATCTTCACTGTGACGTGTGGTTTAGGAGGTAAAGTGAGGTCACCCTGGGCTTCAGATGGCTTCAACGTGATATGCTTAGAAATACAATGTCAAACTAAATCAACCCTCTGTGGCAGTCTCACTAATCCGGTTTCTGAGCCAGATGGATCTGCAGGACTGATAACAGCCCAGCCAGCCTGACTCATCGGCAGGACCTGGAGGGACAGATCTCTGGGAGCGAGGAATCCTCCCACCCCACAGGTAACTCTCTGCGAGCTCAAGTCCTGGGACATCCTCCTGACATGAAATATAATTTGTTGTCGTCGTTTTCCTAATGGGTCAGTCCTAGCGGAACAAGAAGTGGGAAAGCTTGCCAGACAGCGTACTCAATAGCAAGCTGTGCACCTTGAGCTGGTGAGACTCCAGCAGTTATCCCCACGCACGCTCTGGGGTCCCCAAACCTTGGTTCTCTCCCCAACCTCTGCCTAATACTTTCCGCAATTAGGTAAAGGGATGTGTGCGGATTCCATCCCAGACAGGTGGAAATTTCCAAGTGTAGGTGGCCATACAGATGTGAAACTCTTTCCTGATACGTCACCACCAGCTGAACAAAATAAAAGTGTCAGAGGTACACCTACAGCCATGTAAAACAGCAGGGGCTGGTTTTGTAGCCTAGCTTCGGAGTCTTATTTTCTCCATGAGCTAAACATTCTGGGTCTTTCCGCCACCAACCTTTGGAACTGCATCCCACAGTCCCTTCGCCTCGCCCCCTCTCTTGCCCGTTTCAGGACCCTCCTCTTCGACCGTACCTTTGGTTGCTCACCAACCCCTACCCCCCCTGCCTCCCACCCCCTCCTGATCCCGCCCCCCAGCGCGGGTGAAGATCCCTTACTGTCCAGCGCCTTGTGACGTCCTCCTGACGTGAAAGGCGCTGTAGAAGTGTTGACAGGGCAAAGACTCACCCATATTCTCCACAAAGTCTCCACATTTCCCCACGTGGGCAGGACGGGCAGCAGTGAGATGTTGGGCGCTGCCGAAGTCCAGCAGCTTTAGCTTCTCGCCCTCCACGATCATCATGTTTTCTGACCTCAGATCGAGGTGAAGCGTGTGATTGAAGTGCAGGAACTGGACGGTGCCGAGTAACTGCTCGAGCAGCGACACCACCTCGTGCTCCGTGTAGGAAGCTCTGCAGCACAGACACACACCCCATGAGGCTTCGGTATTGGGCACCCGGCGGATTTAACAGACGCTGCGACCTTTTATTTTTGTGGAGTCCTGTAGCTCAGGGGTTAGAGCACTCTTCTCGCAAGCGAGAGGACCCGGGTTTGATTCCCAGGTGGGGTGAAACCTTGGGCAAGGTTCCTTACTCCACACACACTCCTCTGTTTACCCGCAGTGTTTTTGCCCTGTCAACCTGGTTGTTAGTCGAGTGGCGGGTCGTTTTTCCACATTCAAAAAAAAATGTGGTCACTCAATCCAGGATTACTATTATTTGCCAGGATTACTATTATTAGATATCACGTCATCATCCTATTGTGACGATGGCTCAAAACTCTCAGGAGTTGCCGTGAAGTGTATTTCCGTAAAGTGCGATCGCGAGGCAGTCGATGTGCGCATCAATATCCCACCAACAGCCGTGGAGTGAATGGCCAATTTTTTTTTAAATCTGGGAGAATTGTTGGCCAGAAACTTCTCTTCTCGAACAGCCCGGCGGGATCTTTAACATCCACCCTGATCAGTTGAACACGATGTGCCGCTCGTTTGCTAATATATTACATAATTATATTATAATTATATTATATAATATAATTAAATAGTTATATAATTAAATAATTATATTATTTGCTACCTTGCTGCTAAGTGGTGAAGCAGCTCTGTCCCTCGGCACAGCTCCTGGATCAGGACCAGGTACTTGGGTGTGATGTAGGCGGCGTGCAGTTCCACGATGCTGCGGTGATGGAGTTTCCTCAGTGTTTCATACTCTCTCAGCACGAAGGGATGGTTCTGCCTCTTGTAGGCAGTGATCTTAGCCGCAAATGACTTCCCGGAGGAGATCTCCGTGCACTCTTTGATAATGCTGGTTCTGCCTCTTGAATACAACGCAGAGTTAAATGATTACCGGCCGCCCGTCAGGCTCACAGACTGTCATTAAATGCTGTCACCTTAATGTGCAACTGTATTTATTTAACCAGCGATGAGGGACTTCAATTATGCGGAGAGACGTGATTGTTCTCCTTAGAGCAGAGAAGGTTAAGGAGAGATTTAATAGAGGTGATCAAAATTAGGAGGAGTGGATAGGGAGAAACTCTTTCCACTGGCAGGTGGGTCGGTAATCAGGGGACATAGATTTAAGATAATTGGCAAAAGAAACAACAACAACTTGCATTTATATAGCGTCCCGCAACCCTACCGAGGAGATTTTATGTGTATGTGTGTTGTGTGTAAACAAGACACGTACCTGTTCAATTCTGTACAGAATGTGTATGCCTGATGTACTGGTGTCAGCCTCTTGCCGTGGATGTTGTGCGACTGAACTTCTGGCAGGAAAGGAGAAAGAGAGAGAGTGGAGTAAAGGACAGATATAAACACAAAAGTGTCCTGTCGAGGCAAATTGCAGTGTTGGGGGCGCGTGGGGGGGGGTGTGGGAGGCGAAGGGGGGGAGTAAGGAAAGAGTCAACATAAAATGTAAATGCAGAAAAACACAGGCTTTGATTTGTCATGTTGACATGATATGTTTTTTCTCTGGATATTTTCACAAGACCTATATAGGAAGGTCCACTTCACTCTTTAATGTGGGCATTACATTACCGGTCTCTCCAATGACAACTTCCACAGACGGCTGACTAAATGGTCCTTTTCCAGCCTTGTTGAAGCATCCGATCTTGAAGGAATATGCTTCACCTTTCTGCAAGTTAGTGGCGTAATAGTTGCATTCGGAGCTATCCGATGAAATAGTTTTCCAGCTTTCACCTATATATATATATATAAAACATATATATTTATATAATAAACACACAAATAAAGAACAGTTTACCACACATTAGCACACACTAGGACTTTTTACGTTTTGCCCAAATACACAGTCAATTCGCTTTACAGTGTATATCCTGTGAAGTGCTTTGAGACGTCTCTCGAAGACGTGATAAGGCGCTGTGTCAAATGCAAACATTATTATTATTACTATTATCCCAACCCACCCTTTCTCCGACACTCGATGACGTATGTTACTGGCGTGTTGGATTCCACAGGCTTCCAGATCACGAGGGCTCCATCGTCAGAGACCTGAGCTACTTCAGGTGAATCCGGGCGATGAGGCACAGCTACAGCGAAAAACAGAGTGAAACAAATATTGCTCATTGCTCAGCTTCTACTAAACAACAGGCAGTGTGAGACTGAGTGTGGGGGCCACCCCCACAGTTCCCTGGACCACTGGCCAAAATCACTTTCCAGGGGGGTAATAATCCCTCCCCCACCTCCCAAAATTGATCCCTCATTCCACGTCCTATTGGCTGCTCACAAAATACACAGTCGCTCCACTTTCCAATTTATTCCGTGAAGCGCTTTGAGACGTCTCAACGACGCCGATGAGGCGCCGCGTCAAAGGCAAGGACCACGGAAGCCGTGTAGGCTCCAGCAAGAAGGTTCCACTCGCAGCAGGTCCGAGCAGCCCATAGATGAAAGGGATCTTAACGAGGCTCATGAATTGTCACCAGAGTTTACTGCACGAGGCAGAGATTTTCAGGGCATCGATTACCTGCACCAGTCACACAGCAGCCAGTCGAGGCTTTACCCAAGCTGTTTTCAGCCACACATTCGTAACGTCCAAGGTCTTCCTCGGTCACGCTCCAGATTGTTACCAGCTGGCATCCTTGGACTGTAGCTGACAATTTCATTCGTTTACTGCTGCAAATCGGCAGGTCATCTGAAGCGAAATCATAGAAAAAATTGAAGGCTCGTCTCACTTGGTTTATTTTTTGGTGCGCCACAATCCTGACCCTTGGCCAAAATGTCATCGGCGGTGCCCTGGAGTAGCGTGGACCTGCCTCGCTCAGGAACCGGAGTAGAGACCATCACGGAGAGTGGATTCTGACATTCAGATGTCAAACACGTCACCCGAAGCCATTGCAGCTACAACGACCCCAGCTTACCTCCCACCCTGCCCCCCCACACATCCGATACACGCAGGTGTGAGCCCTCACTAGGTCCGTGTAATAATAATAAATCATCCTTCCATTTGATATAGCGCCTTATCACGTCGTTGAGACTGCTCAAAGCGTTTTACTGAATGTACAGCACTGTAAAGTATATTTTGCAGGTGATGTTTTGGGATATACTTAACAACTGCAACTATGACAGAGAGGGAGGGAGGGAGGGAGGGAGAGAGAGAGAATCCCCATCAGTTTGGGTTCCATTCAAACTACAGAACAGCGCTAACATACAAGAGTGGAACAAGACACAAATCTAACCTTTGAACCAGTAGATTGCAGGGTTCGGTCGGCCTGAGGGGGTACAGGACAGGGTCACGGACTGGTTCAAGACCACCAACTGGTTTTGGAGGCCTTCGAGAAAAGATGGCGCTGAAAAAAAAACCCCACGAGTAATGTAAATAAAATCATAATAATAATAATGATCCTAGCATTTGATATCAAACCTTATCCCATCGATGAAAGGTCTCAAGGCATTTTACTTTGAAAGATGGTGAATATATTTGTAGGCAAATGCAAGCGGTTAATTTGCACACCGCATTGCCACACAATCACCCATGAAGTGAAGGACGTCCCAAGGCGCTGGGTAGCTAAGGGTTTGCACCTGAGCTGAGGTTGGAGGGTAGGGGGAGTGGGGCAGGGAGTGTGGCCGAAGGCGCGATCAAAGGAGAAGGACTTGAGATGGCCCTTGAAGGAGGTGAGAGAGGGGGTGAGGCCGGGGGAGTTCCAGAGGGTAGGGAACTAATGCTACATTACTTACCTGGAGAAGTTCGGAACCATTAGAGCAATGATTACATTCAGCAATGTTACCTTTCTCCTTTGGTTTTGTGCCGGGAAATTGGAATGAAAACAATCGAGATTTTTTCTTTGGAGAGTCACTGGGGACATCCCCAGAGGGTGTTGGTAAATCCTCCGGCTTCTCCTCCGCCCCTGCATAAAATGAGGAAATGTTAGGACAACCGACTTCGAAAATGGCTTCCGTTTCTTTTCACGTTTTGATCTTAATATTGACGACTGCAACGTGCCATAGACCAGAGGAAAGATATTTGTACAAATCCTCTCATTCCCATCTCCGTAAACGCTGCTAATGTTTATTGCCAATGATCCGGGCGTTTTAACAATCACCACAAAGAGACCATTGTGAAGTAGACCTCCTATAAACGATGGGACATAATAATCCTTGCAGTTGATGTAGCGCCTTTTTCACGTCGTTGAGACGTTTCAAAGCGCTTCACAGAACATATATTGTAAAGTGAATTGACTGTATATTTTGTGGGTGAAACGCGGCAGCTAATTGCACACAGCGGAGTCCCACAAACAGCCTTGGATCGAGTGACTCGGTTGCTTCAAAGCCTCCCTGCGCCTACGTACCATCTTCAAGTGCGATTGGAGCAGATTTTGACGGCATCTTCACAATCTCCATGTACTGGCTTTGATCCAATTCCACTTTCAACGGGTCTGGTCTGGCTGGTGTCTCGTCTGATTCCCCTTTCTGTCTCTCCTGTCGGCCAGAGTTTTCAGCTGCACTTCTGCCTTCCAGGCTGGCAGGCAACGGCTTACTTTTCTTCTTACCCTTTAGTTCCCGTAAGCGCTCGTGTGAGTCTAAATCCTGTAACACAGAGAGAGAATATCGACTCCTCCCGTCCTCTTTGTCCGCCAAACCTCGGTCCCAGTTTAATGAGGTGGACCTCCTGAACAATCCTAAAAGGCCGGCTTTGCCAAACTTCGTTGACGTAGACCTGGGGAGCGTCTCAGCGTGGGATTCGCTGCGAGACAAGCTTGTGTCGCTTGAAGAAGCCGAACTCTTCGAACCTCTCGAGGTCTTGAAGGTTTTCTTCAGACTTTGAAAAGTTTGGTGCATCTTCCGTTCCAACGATGACTTTCGCGTCTTGTCGGACTCTCCCTCAGCCTCGTCCCCAGCCCCACCATTGCCTTCATCCAGCTCAGTATCGTCAAGCAATTGCAGCATATCCGATTCCCATATATCTACGGCCAAGTCTCTGTAGCCATCGTCCATTAATCCAGTCTCATCGCACGAGACTTCAGATGATGCAGCAGACATTGTATCTTCTGATTGAATGGCGCTTGCTGCCTCAGTATCACCTAAAGGAAATTGTTCTTTAGATACATAGCCTGCAGGAATGGGTCTGTTTTTTGAGATGCTCTTCTCTTCAAACTCTTTAGACCTAAGCAATTCACTGCTACATGGGTCAGACAGGTCAAAGTAATCAGTCTCTACTTTAACCGCATCGAAGTATGAAGAACTGGTGTTTTCTCTTGAGGCTTCCTCCTGACATTGGCTGGTGAGATCTGAGGCGGGGGCTGAGGAGGGTCTGCTGGGACACTTGGAAGAACCTTGCGAGTCAGGACACTTGCTCTGAGAAACAGAAGGTAAAACACTGGGGTCATCAGAATACTGCTTCACGGACCCCGAGCCAACGAAGCCAATTCCTTCATTGGAAGCTGTTGACGCTGCTCGGGTTGTGGTTTGTGGTTCTGGTGATCCCCACCAGAAAGCACTGGCCCCTGCCTCTGAACATCGTTCGTGACTCTCTGAGCTGCTGGTGAGACAGATCTTCTTTCCCACGCCCAACCCTAAATCGGTCCCTGTTTCTGGGCATGGTGAAGACACAAAGCCAATGTGGGCAGATTGGTTTACCTTGGCTGCCAACGGAATACCTTTGGTGGAATATTTTAAACCATATCTTAAACCTTTGGCCTCTTCAGCTAATCCAGACCGGCTCTCCATCACTGCTGAATCCCGTTGGCCTAAGTAAACGGGTCGTGCTATATTGGAATAATGAGCGAAAACCACTGCGCTGGAGTCTGGCTCGGAGTCCTCATCACACAGCAGAAAGGGCTTCAATGTGTCGCTCTCGGATTCTCTGGCTGCGGGCTGAGCTAGGACCTTGGTTTCGAGCTCATCGAGTGACTTGATTTTTCTTGAACTCTGCTCGACAAAATAAAGCAAACTATCGGCAGTTGGGACTGGGCTGACTGAAGCCGACCCCAATGCTCTGTCTGCTGTTAGGTCCTGTGCGTCCGTCTGAAAGCACTCCAGCAGCGGCTGCCGTAGCCCACTTACGTTTCCTGTCGAGTAGCCGGCCTGCACAATGCGTTTCCTCATGCTTTCGAGGCTACTTGAGTATTGACCTTGCTCTGCGGACGGATCTCTGCTCAGTTGCAAAGGACTTGCCTGCACATCACTGTAGAAGGTGCTTCTGATAACACTGTGTCTTGGTAAAAGAGTGCACGGGGGCTTAGAGCTTCCATCTACTGACGCCTGAGCCCTTTCCTCTCCCTGTATTGGAAGTGCAAGAGCCCGATCGGCTGAGATTCCTCGCACTGAGCTGCTGGTTGTCGCTCCCTCCTCTGCAGGAAAGTCACCTTTTCCCACAGTAGCTGCTTGAGAGACGGAGGATTCCATGCTGCTTTTACTCAGACGGAGCTCTGCAAGGGGTTGAGAACATATATTCGTCGATTCCGCTCCTTCAGGAAAGCCCCACGAGCCCAGCTCGGATATTATCTGCGGTTGCCTTTCAACAGCGACACTGCTGCTTAAGACCGACCCGTAGCTCTTGTCGCCATTGCTACCTTGGACTGAAAAGTCGCTCGAGGAAGAAACAGATCCCCGTTGTTGTTCCCTTTGTTCCTTTCCATCCCCCGAATGCTTGAGGTTCTTCTGCGTGCCCAGGTTGGCAGCTGGAGCGGTGAACGCCTTTGTAGGGTAGCTGGAGTCTTCCAAATCGGAGGAGGAGGCGCTGGGGGTGGACGAGCTGTGTTCTTTAAGCAGGTGTCGAGGCATTCCGAGAGAGGAGCCCTCGGGGGCTGTGCCCAACAAGCCGGGTATCGATCGCATCACAAGTACTGATCTGTAGCACGTCAGGGAACGCTGTAAATAACAACACGTCAAGGACAGCACATTCAGGCTTGGTTTAACAACAACAATAATAATCCTGGCCTTTGCTATGGCGCCTTAGCGCATCAGACGGACGTCTCAAAGCACCTCACGGGATTTACTGCCAAATGGAGTGACTGTGTACTTGTAGGCAAACGCGACAGCACTATTGCGCCCGGCAATGTCTCACAAACAGCCATGAAACGAGTGCCCGATTTTATTTGGGGGCTTTTGGCCCGGACACGGGGAGAGAGAGAGACTCCCTTCTCTTTTCAAACAGCTATGAGATCTCTAACGTTCACTTGAACAGACAGACGGGACCTCGGTTTAACATCTCATCAGAAGGACAACAACAACCATGACAAGATTACATTTGTACAGCGCCTTTCACGTCGGGAGGACGTCCCAAGGCGCTGGACAGTGTACAGCGTTTCAGACCCAAGCTGGGGAGAAGGGAGGGGAGGGGAAGGAGGGTGGCCGATGGCGTGGTCGAAGAGAAGGGTTTTGAGGCGGGACTTGAAGGAGGCTAAGGAGGGGGCGAGGCGGAGTGACCGGGGGAGACAGCACCTCTGACAATGTGGCACCCCCAGCGCTACATTGGAGTGTCAATTTAGACTATGTGAGTTCAAATTCTGACATGTCATTGGAACCCACAACATTCTGACTTGGGGCTGAGACTGCTACCACTGAGCCAGACTGGCACTGGTTTATTTGACGGGCGCTAAATACTGAGCTAACAAAACATATACTTGTAGCTAGATCTTCAGCCTTTTATTCCACACCATAACAGCCACTGTATAAACTATCAATCCATCAGCACCACCAATTGTAGGACATTGTAGCCCATCACAATTGGATGCGTTAATTACTTTCTCTCCCAAATCATTGAGTACAAATCCAACCAGCAAAGACTTACAAATACGCATTAGGCAAACAACCATTTATCTGGAGGATTGCTAGCCAGGACACCAGGAAAAACTACCTTCTATTTTCAAATAGTGCTGTTAGGATCTCTAACATTCGCCTGAACAGGCAGATGAAACTTTGGCTCAGTATCTCAGCTGATGGTCAACAATCTTCTGACCTGCAGCCAAGAGAGTTACCAACTGAGCTGACATTTATCCTCTCGCAGTTATTCCCTTACCTGCCAGTTGTTTCTTGATATGAAGAATTTCAATCGTTTTGTTTTAATCGTGCATGCCTCTTGGACTTCTTGTTTTTCCTGGGAAAAAAAGGTACACTTCAATTAAACTCACTCCCCTCGGATAATGACAACTAACTTACACAAGGAGAGATGTGTGTAGTGTATGATCATTTTCACTGATCGTGAGCCAGTGACTCGAGAGCATCAATTTAAGTTTAATTACCAAAGAAGGAAATAGGAATATTGGGAGGATTTATTCTTTACACAGAGGGTTGTTAGGATGTGGAATGCCTTATCAGATAAGGGGTCAACACCAGATCCATATTTCAACTCATCTCGTTCCATGATACTGACACTACTCTCTTCCCATTACAGTTTCAAGCTGTTTCTTAAATAAGTCCTCTATCCTCACCTGAATCAACCTTACACTGCAATATACATTTATATAGTGCCTTTCACATTGGGAGGATTTAAAGCACTTGACCTTATAGGTCTTACTGGCTATGGGGGTTGGAATCGAAGGGGAAGATGGCTGAAAGCTGATGGTGAGGCTGAGTGAAGGGAGAGGCCAGGTTGGTAGCCTTCTTGGTAGCCTGTTGCAGCTGTCATCCCCTCTGTACACAGAGATACTTCCTGGTCTCTCCACCAAAAGGTGTGTCAAGGACATTTGCTCACTCGTATTTACAGTGTGAAAATAAATCACTTACCTGAAGCCAACGGTGCGTCAAACACTGTCCTGCTGTTGGCCTGTCCCTAAAGGGAGAAAAACAAACCTGGTTTTATTTAAAATAATCACATTCAAGTGAGCAACCGATGAGGAAATGTTTGCACCGACATAAGAACATAAGATCGCTGAGCGCAATTGCAGCTTCTTTTCATTGAACAGTTCGTTAACAAAACAGGGTTTGACTCACTCGGGAACTACTTTGATAATTCCTTCAACAAAATCTCGAGCGTCTTCGCTTACGCACTCCAAATCCCGCTCAGCCCACGAGAAGGACCCTTCCCTGACGTTCATCAGTGTTGTCTTGTCATTTTCACCGGCGAAGGGGCAACTGCCTGTCAAACTGCAACGCACCACAAACGTGGAGTTAGAACATCTTTCGCCGTGTGATTACCAACACGGACGATGTGAGAACCGGACTTCGAGCTCTGAACTTTTCTGTAGATCTTTTGCTATTAAATGGACTGAGCGACGGTTGAGATTTTGATATAACGGTCTCGCTCCTTGTCTTTCTGTCTGAAAGTCCCACCTCACCACCTACCTCTTTGAAAACCCCCTCCCATTTCACTTCCTTGTTTGGTGTCTGTCCTTCTAAGGGCTCCGAGACGTTAACCTACTTGAGGAGCGCTGTAAAAATGCAAGCTGTTGTTGTAGTTTTCAATGAAACCTTTTTTTTCTGAATTACAAGAGTCGTCTTAAGTTTGACTGCGTGACTAGTTTTAGTTCACTGGTGTGTAAGAATCATGGTTCAGAAGCAGCACAGCCATACAGGAATAATAATAATAATAATACTTGCATTTGATATAACAAATCTGGCTTCAGTCACACTTCCTAACAATTAATTACTCCCTGGTGTCCATCCTAAAATTGCACTTCACAACCTGGAAGTATTATGCTCTTGTCTTGCTGTTTTGACCTATCTGAGTTTATCTTATCTATCTCATTTAGTACCTCAAACACCTGAATTAGGTTTCCCATCAGATACCTCTTGAAAGACTGGAGCTAAGTTGAACCAGCAGAATTATACTGGAGACATTTGACTTACCATAAAAATGCGATAACTCCAATAGACCTGTTCGGGAGAGAAAAAAAATTGATAAAAGTGAGGTGTAATTTAGTAATTATCTCGTCACTACCAATAAACCGTTCCTTAAGAATCTCTAAACCTCAGCTGAGATTTCCTCTCCTCCCACCTACACATGGAAATCCCAGAGATAGATGGTTGGAATGGAATGCGCTCTCTCTCTCTCTCTCTGGAGGGACACCCCCCTGCTTACCCAATTCCGGAGAGTATTAGGCGCAGGTTGGCCAAGGCTTGGGGACCCCAGGGGTAACTGCTGGAGTCTAACCAGCTAAAACCACACGTAGCTTGGCATTAATATCTTTGCTCTACGTGTATTTTAATTTTCTAGGAACTTACCATATATCAGTGGCCTTTGAGACTGGATCCTGGCAGACGATTTCAGGGGCCACAAACTCAGGGGAACCGTATTTGCTGAACTGGCCAGGCGACAGCTCTTGTGCAAACCCAAAATCACATATCTTTATGCTGTCTCTCTCCGGGTGCACCATTAAAATGTTGGCTGGCTAATTAAGGAACGAAAAAATGATCGATTTAAATAAAACAGTAACGAAATATTGAGTGACCAGCCAGCGGTATTAAGTTCTTTGAGACATCCTCTCGAAATGAACCACGCTATACAAATGTGAATGTACTTTGTATTGTACAATTTTAGAACAATGATTTTTAGGACCTGCGAAATTTGATTACTCGATTCCATTGTCAAATTTCATTTCACACCAAGAATAACAATAACCCTCGTGTCTGATTACAGGCTGTATAATCCCTTCTTCGTGAAGTCTTAAAACGCTTCACAAAATACGCTGCAAAGCGAATTGACTGTATATATTGTGGGTGAAATCTTGAACAATGCTGTCTTTCCACTTGATGAACCTTGGAATAGACACATATATATATATATACACACACACATACACAAGTTATGAGTTAAGGAGCCACAGTAAGGTATATGAAGGTATATAAAGAATTCATGCCTTGGTTAGTTTAAAGGAATGCATCTTACCTTAATATCAAGGTGAAGGATGAGCTTGTCATGGAGATATTGGATCCCTTCCAAAATCTGCTGGATGTAGGTCTTAATCTAGAAACAGCAACAAAGGCATTCATTCATATTTTACGAATAATAATCATCCTTGCATATGGCATCTTTTATTTCGGGAGGGTATCTCAATGCAAGATTTACTGCAAAGCATCGTGCCCGAAGGCAAAGGTAGCTACCAAGGCACGTAGGGAGCCTTAAAGCGAATCAATTTATTTGGGAAGAAGTGTTGGCCAGGACACCGGGAGAGCGCCATGAGATCTTGAACAGGCACAGATGAGACCCTCAGTTTAACGTCTTATCCAAAGCATGTCACAGCCAACAATGCAGCACATATCCCCCAGCGCTGCACTGGACCTTGGGCCTAGATTGGACAGTTCGAAGTATCAACACATGGTCCAAAATGAAATCCTACCTCGACTTCAGCGACTACATCCTTTTTGAGCAAATGGTCCAACAGTTTTTCAGTAGAACATCTGTTAAACGTAGCTCACGAGAATAACAATTGAATAGGAGAGCCTGGAATGCAAGTGTCAGTGGGTTGTTCAGTCATGGGGGGGGCAGCAAAGCCGAGTATCACATCTTCAAGACGTCTTAAAGCGCTTCGCAGAATATACTGTAAAGTGAATTGACGGATATTTTGTGGGTGAAATGCGGCAGCCAATTGCACACAGCAGTGTCCCCACAAACAGTTGTGAATTTTTTAAGGGATTATTACCCCAAGAAAGGGGACCACTAATCGACTAACAACCTGGTTCCCACTTACTTATCTGCTGGGTAAACAGATGCGTGTGGATAAGGAAACTTGCCTAAAGTTTCGCCCTGCCCAGGACTCAAACCCTGGTCCTCTCGCTTGCGAGGTGAGTGCGCTAACATACTCCTACTTCTTCCTATGCCCCGAACTCTGGAAATCCCTACCTGTACTACTCCGTCTCGCCCTCTCTCTCTTTCTGTCTTTAAGTCCGCCACAATCCTACCTGTCTGAATGTATCTATTGGCCACTTCCCACTCCCCATCCCCACTTCCTCGGTGTCCCTGTGAAGCATTCTGAGCCGCTGCCCTGTTTAAAGGGTGTTATTATCAACAACAACTTGTGTTTGTATCGTGCCCTTTACACAGGGTAGCAGGTCGGATCGCTGACAATGATTTCGCTTGACGCCAAGTTGAGGAGAACGGGGAGATGATCAAAGGCACGGACGAAGAGGAAAGTCTTCAGGCGAAGATGGGCAATGAGGACTCACACAGCGGAGGGACTGAGGCAGGGAGTTCCCGAGGTTCGAGGCGTGGCTGCTGATAATGGAGTGGGGAGGTCAGGGGCACAAGCTGTTGTTAGTAGGATGTCAAAGGCACAGATGAACGAACAAATGTGGCAAGGATACAGATCCAGCACCAGGACCAGCGTCCTCTTGGTCTCAAACATGTCCAGCAAGCAGGTGATCCTCGGATGGTTAACTCTGGATAAGAGGGCGAGTTCCTTAAAGGCCCGGGAACTGGTGCTTCTCCTGAGCGGAATGAACTTGGCTGCACTGGACGCACCAGTCTGCTTACTGACAACTCGCTTCACAAAACCACACGATCCCCTTGGGAAACAAACAAAAAAATGATCTCTCTTCATCACGCGGGAGACACGAGCAGTAATCGACGCGTTCAACGCAGCTCCCAAACAACAACAACAACAACAAATGGCATTTTTGTATACTGTCGGGGGAGGATGTCTCAAAGGGTCTGGACCTAAGCTGGGGGGTTGGAACTAGGAGGATGGAGGGAAGGGAAGGTGGGGGTAGGAGGGCGAAGGGCCATTACCACATCTTACATAGAGGTTAATAAGGTAATAACAAGAGTGTGACCCCCCCACTCCCCCATAACAATGGTCACTGCTGACGGCTGCTTTGCAGCTGCCACTGACCTGGCTGGATTATTGATTTAGCTCAAGCCCCCGACCCCTCCAAAGCACCTCCACCTAATATCTCTCCGTTCCTTTTTCCTTCACCCGCCTATCAAGTTGACTCTTAAATCCATTGATGCTCTTTGCTTCAACCACCGCAGATTCGGACAATGAGCTTTTAAAGCAAATTTCAGTTCCCTTCTCTCTCTGACCTCGAAACTTCCTCGGGTGCACAACGCTGGAAGAGACAGAGCAGTTTCACTCTGATGGAGATGGTCACTCTGATTAAAAGGTCACTAGCGTTACTATCAGTAATTATATGAACAAGTGCGCTGATTGAAGAACGGCTGATTGAGGGTCTGTCTGAGCGCTGACTAGAGCAACAACAAGAGGCTGAGGGCTCTTACAATCCAGACACTTCTACATCTTTTCTTATCCACATCTCGCTAATCTTTTATCGATAGAAATTTGACTTGTGCGGATTTCGGGATTCCGTGATTGAGATACAAGTGGTATTTAAGTCACGCTGTTTACAGTATTTGTCAGGGACCAGCTAAAACCATATAGTGTGCCAGACAGCAATATCAATAACAAGCTGGTTAGACTCCAGCAGTTACGCCAACGGTTCCCCAACTATCCGGAGAGAGAGCGCATCCCATTATAACAATCTATCTCTGGCATTTCCACGTGTAGGTGGGGGTGCAAGGATTTCTCAGTGTGGTTTGGATACTCTTAAGCTCGGTGATGGGTTTCCGCGTGTGTCAGACACTCGGCTGACCCAAGAAGGATGGAACTGGTGCCTTTACGATCAATCTTCTCAATCGACAAACGTCTGCAGAATAATTTGTTCATTTCAGAAACGGAAGCAGTGCTTTGTACTCGCATGTAATTCAGACAGACATACCTTCCAATTTCTTCTTTCACATCGTAATAGGAATGCAGTTTCCTTCTCTCTGAAAGTTTCTTCCCGTCATCTTCTTTGTCTGAACTGCCCTCTGGCCACCAAAAAAGGGACAACTTATTTTAACACCGTACACTTTTCAGACTGAAGGTTTGACATGTGTCGTCTTTAAATTCAACCTGGCAGTTGGACTTTAGAAATCCCAAGACACTATTCATGGAAAGGGACTTTCTCCCGTTGTCCTGGCCTTCACACCAAATTGGTCATTCACTTAAATAACTCAAAAAAAAATTGGTCACTCAATCCATGATTATTTGTGGGACGCTGCTGTACGCAATCGGCTCCCGTGTTTCGCCCACAAAACACGCAGTCAATTTACTTTACAGTATATTCTGTGTAGCGCTTGAGACGTCTTGAAGACGTGATAAGGTGCTATACCAAATGCAAGGATTATTATAGTATATATATTGCGTTTCCTTACAATTTCTTCAGCAATAATAATAATAATCTTGCACTTGGTACACTTGCCTTTCATCCAGGGAGGACGTCCCAAAGCACTTCACAGGATTTACTATAAAGCGAGTGACTGTGTATTTAGAGGCAGTATGGGCACAGCCTCTAAAAAACAAACAGGAAGTGTTTTGCTTTTCGTTGGGGGTATTTGATATGGCGCCTTATCGTGTCTTCAAGACGTCTCAAAGTGCTTCACAGAATATACTGTAAAGTGGAGTGACTGTATATTTTGTGGGTTTACCGTCTAATCTGAAGTATGGCATCTCCAGTCTAAGATGGCAGTTCTCCCCAGTACTACGCTGGAGTGTTAGTCTAGGCTGTGAGTTAAAATATCTAACTTATCTTCTTAATTAGTTACCTATCTGTTTTTCACTGTTTTAGTCATTTAATTCTTGGGGTATAAAACTTACACTGCCATCCAGTGGCCGCAGAGGTAACACGGTAACAGAAGTCATAATCCTTGCATTTGATTCAGTGCCTTATCACGTTGATACGTCTCAAAGCGCTTCATAGGATATACTTTAAAGTGGATTGACTGTGCATTTTTATGTGTGAAACTCGGCATCGAATTGCAAACAGCAGTGTCCCACAAACAGCCGTGGGTTGAGTGACCAAATTATTTATTCATTTATTTATTTATTTATTTGGAGGGATTATTACCCCCCGAAAAGCGATCTGCCAATCGTCTAACAACCAGGTTCCTACTTACTGCAAGTTAAACGAGAGGAGTGTGATGTAAGGAAACTTGCTTAAGGTTTCGCCCCTGCCGGGAATCGAACCTGGGGCCTCTCTGTTGCGAGGCCAGTGCTCTCACAAATACACTACAGCACTCCACGAATCGAAGATTGTTATCAGAAACAGAAGCAGGCCATTCGGCTCACCAAATCTCTTTGCCCAGGGCTCCCCCAACATATTGTTAGGCACTTGGAGAAGTTCATTCTATGTGAAAAGCACCTTACAAGTTGTTGCTACAAAAATGTTTTAATGGGACAGAGGACAGCGCCTGTTTACCTTCGTGCTTTAGAGCAACTGAACAGCTTTCAGAGCCTATGTCACCCTCAGCAACATACTGTCCCTCATTTTCCTTCCTCTCGAACACGAAGGCGGGGTCGAAGAGGAGGGTCTTGTGAGCATGTTGCTCTCTTCCTTCAAGGTCTTTCCCAGGGATTTCTTCTCTGTCTTCTCTCTGTAAATCATCCCTGGTAATAAACACAGACGACGTTTCAGCATAAAATATCACTTTACACTACGGTGCAAACAGGAATGACCGGAATAGGCTCAGGACGGCAAACCTCGATCGATTCTCCTCTTGGAGAGTCCGACTGGATGACAGACTCAAACCCCAACATTGGGCTTGAATGCACAGTTGTCTGAACGAGAGTCGAGAGCTACAAATAAGCCAAGCTGATATCTGGACAAAAAAACAAACATTTATTTACAGAATCTATTTCCTCTGCTGCAATTTACTATCCCTTCAGCAACAATAAGGTGTATTTATCTAGCGCCCTCCAAACAGGGTAGTGTTTCGGAGAGCGTCCCAGGTACAGTATTGATGGTAGGCGTGGTGACGGGTTTCTGCTAGTGTCAGACACCTGAGGATTGGCCAAAAAATGAAAGTCCACTATCACTTTGAGTAAGGGTGTAAAACATACCGGGTCCAATATTCAGATGATGTTGCAGTTGTTACCCCACAGCTAATAGACACCTTGGTGCTTTGTACCGCATGAGTAGCCTGTAAACTCTCCATAAAATCCGATTTCTCACCAACATGCCACCCTGCAATAAAGAACATAAGAACATAAGAATTAGGAGCAGGAGTCGGCCATTCGGCCCCTCGAGCCTGTGCCCCGCCATTCGATAAGATCATGGACGATCTTCAGACCTAACTCTAATTACCCGCCCTCTCCCCATATCCGCTAATCCCTCTATTTTTTAAAAATCTATCAGTCTCAGCCTTGAAGATGTTCAAGGACTGACATCTACAGCCTTCTGGGGGAGTGAATTCCATAAAGTCACTGCCCTCTGAGTGAAGAAATGTTTCCTCAACTCTGTTCTAAAAGGCTGACCCTTAATTTTAAGACTGTGACCCCTGGTTATAGATTCTCCTACCGGGGAAACAGACCCTCAGTGACTACTTTATCAGCCCTTTAAGAATCTTATATGTTTCAATAAGATCTCCCCTAATTCTTCTGTACTCTAGAGAATATAACAATAAAGTAGGTAATCGAGATGACACCAACGTATAAAATGCAAAGATTATTATATCATTATATGTTTAGACTATTCTTTCACACTTCTAAATAAGAGTTTGAATTACTTGGACGGCACAGAAAGTTAAACAACAAGGACCCTATCACCCACACCCTCGCCCGTCCACTGGCTTCCCACCACCCCCAGAGGATAGAGTTCAACATCCTTGTCCTTGTCTTCAAAGCCCTCCGCAGACTTGCCTCTCCCTGCTAACCCCATACTCAAGACCCTCCTCTTCAACCTCGCCTTCGTTCACCCTCCCAGCACTATTAACGATTCACACCTCAGTTGGTCTCATCTCTGAATTAGTAGTTTGTGGATTCAAGCCCCACAAAAGAACTTTGAGCCCTTATCTGACACTCCAACACAGTGCCGGGAGAGCAGTGCATTGTCGGAGGTGCTGTCCGGATAAGACGTTAAAACCGAGATCCTATTGCCTGTTCAGGTGGACATTAAAGATTCCCAGGGCACTGTTCGGAAAGGGAAGGAGAAGGGAGTTTCTCCCTGTGTTTTCTGCAATAATAATCCACCAGATATTTAAAATAATAATTTGCTGCTTGTCTGTTTGTGGATTATTGTTGTGGCCAAATTGCCTGCCACGTTCACCTACAGGTAGTCACTGCACTGTGCAGTAAACTCTAATGCAACGCTTTGAGATGTACTCCCAACGTGAAAGGCATTAAATCAAATGCAAGGATTATTATATATTACCTGTCGCCTCTTGTGGATCCAAATGACCGTGACAGCTCTCAGGAACATCCAGTTTGTGGCTCTTGATGTTCCGTAACTTACGCGACTCTTCTTCCAACTTACCAGCCGCTTCACGCAAAGCACTGGGAAAAAAAATTGGAAAATAAACGTTCAATCATAGCACAGCTGAAAGGTTTGCCCTTTGGTTTACCTATTTGTTCAGTGCCCCTTCCTCAAGAAACAATGCATAGACTAAAACGACCGGTTTTAATCGCAGAAAAAAGTGGTCCATTTTGAATGAAAGAAAAAGGAGGGGAAATCCAAACATTAAACAGTAAAGGTTTAAAGGCAGAGGAAGAACAAGGAAACCTAAGAGTTCACATGCACAAAAAGTGGGAGCGCAAATTGACAAAGGTAATGGAATACTAGGGTAAAAATGGGTGCACAGAGCCCAAAACATCAACTATTCAGACAATGTACTATTCAGTTTTGGGCATCCCAGTTTAGGAAGGTTTCAAGGCCATGGTGAGGGGATAAAGGGGATTCACCAGGAATTAGAGACTTTCCTGCTGAGCAGGCGTTCTGATCTTTAGATACAGTATACAATACAATACATTGTAGGTAAAAAGCCATTAAATTAAGATCATTAACCAAAAAAACCTAAAAGGGAGAGGTTAGAGGCTACAGAGAAAGATAAAGGGCTGGCCCAGGGACAATGGGTCAAATGGCCTCTTTCTGTGCTATAAAAGTCCATGATAAAATCTGTGGGATTATAACTGGTGTGTATAATGGGTTTGGACTTTAGGTAATATTATAATATCCCTTGCATTTAATATAGCGCCTTATCACGTCTTTGAGACAGCGCCTCACAGCGCCTCACAGATGCTGTAATTTTGTGGGCGAAACGCGGCAGCCAATTGCGCACAGCAGCGTCCCACAAACAGTCGTGGATTGAGTGACCAAATTATTATTCTTTTTTTTAAAAGGGATTATTACCCGTGGAATAGCGATCCGCCAATCGACTAAAACTGGGTTCCTACTTACTGCAAGGGAAACAGAGGCATGTGGCGTGAGGAAACTTGCCCAATGTTTCACCCTGCTGGGAATCGAGGCCTCGAGGCGAGGGCTCTAACCACTCAGCTGCAGGACACCACAGATAAGGGGTTAACAGTGGGTGAGTCGTATTTCTGCCCAATACATTCCCTGCCCAAAATAGAACGAAATTCTCAGTTGGGTTTGGAGACGCTTATGCAACAGTGATGGGTTTCGACGGGTATCAGACACCCGGCCGACCACACAAAAAAAATGAAAAACTTGACCACATCACCCCTCAGCCTTCTCAGTCTTTACACGGTTCTGGATTCCGTAAATAATAATGAAGACTGAGTTGAATACTTTCCGATTGTGTCTTATGTACTTAACAATAACCACCTCAAGCAGTCACCTTGACAAACTAAGTTGCTCAGTTACATTCAGGTCAGGTGTGATCGTCCTTCTTCTGAAGGTGGTTGGGCTGAACTGTACTTCACGCAGTTTCTTGACGGTTACGCTTTGAATGCTCTCATTTTCCACATCTGTGTGTCGGGGCAGAAAACAAATGTTACTCTTGTAATGGTGTTTTCTGACACTGAATGTGGCAGATAATTCCACATTCCGACCGCCCTCTGAGTCAAGTTTTTTTTTCTGACCTCCCTTCGATTATTTTTGTGATTATCGTAAATTTGTGACCTCTAAATTTGTTACTGATTCGCCAAACAGTGGAAATAATCTATTTACTATATAATTATCTGGTTAGGCTCCAGCAGTTACCCCATCGCACACTCTGGACTCCCCCAAGCCTTGGCTCTTGCCAACCTGCGCTTAATACTTTCCGGAGTTAGGTAAGCAGAATGCGTCCCTCAGAGAGAGAGAGAGCGCATTCCATTCCAACAACCTATCTCTGGGATGTCCACGTGTAGGTGGGAGGCAGGGAATTCTCAGCTGGGTTTGGAGACTCTTAAGCAACGGTGACGGGTTTCCGTGTGTGTCAGACACCCGGCTGGACAGAGAAAAAGAAAAACTTGACCATGTCACCCCTCAGCCTTCTCAACTCTTTAACTCCTCAAGTCTCCCTTCGTAAATGAAACTCCTCATCCCTGGTAGCATCCCAGTAAATCATCTGTGCCATCACCCGACAGTCGGGCTGACACTCTTGCATTCTGCAAGGTTTTGATGTGTGTTTATTCGACATCTTGATACTGTAGGGTACTGTCGTGTTATTTTGATAAGGTCCTGCTGCAATGGTAAAGGACGCTCTGTTCTTGAGTGTTTAAAATACTAAAGTGAATTGAGAACCTGGACAAGGGACGTCTCTGCCCTGAAACTGAATGATCCAAAACAGGGAAGAATAAGCCCTAAAATTGGAGCTACGTCAATCAGAAGCGAGATCACAAAACATTTCTTCACAGAAGGTTGAGAGAGCGTGAAAATCATTAACCCTGAGGGCTGTAGAGGCAGAATCACTTGGGATGTTTAAGAGGAGCTGGATGGGTATTTGGGAAGTTTGGGTATTAAGGATAAAAAACAGGGAAATGGAGAATATTTGCTAGGCCAGGATATTAAGGGATAGGAGGCAAGGGCGGGTAACTGGTCTTAAGGTACAGATCAGCTATGATCTTATAAAATAGTGGAACAGGCTTGAGGGGCTGAACGGCCTCCTCCTGTTTCTATGTTTCTAACAGGATGTGCAATGTTCTACCGGGTGCAGCGGTCGAGGCAGGATCCACATTAGCTGAGACACGACTTACGCTTTAGGGGTCTGGTTTGGTCATAGCTGCTGGTGGGAGATTCTGGCGAGTCTGGTTTAACAGCTGTGTCAATTGCAAGCTCTTTGGTCTCCCCTTCACAATACTCTGGGACACCGAGTTCTGAAGAGACAGGTTCCGTGCCTTCCCCCTGTTATCTTGCGACAGAGTCACGTAGGTCACTAATGAGGTATCTACTACTTCACTTAATGCCTCGTCGTCACCCTCATGTGATGAGTGAGGAGTATCTTCCGAAGCTGGATGTGATGCAGTCTCTTCTCCCTGTAGCCAAGGTTCCCTTCTCTCCTCATCCTCTCTTGTCTGACCCCAATACTGGCTATTCTCTCCGTCTGAGGCGCTTGACAGGACCTCTGCGAAAGATACTCTCTTTGTTTTCCTGGACCCGACTCTGCCCTGGATGTCTGGCCCAAGGTCTCCTTGCGATGTGTATCTGTGTGAAGGGACGATGGTATTAGGCATGTTCACATGATATGACAATATGTACATTTATAAAGCCAATGTTAATTATACGCTGGTATATCTGATGAATGATAAATTACTGGGATTATATAAATGACCTAGTGCAGGTAACCACCCAAATCAATGCAGGTACATATATACCAGTACAGCTTACCCCGTGCAAGTAACACCTGGACATGTACACCTGAACCTGTGCAATTACACGTACCAGCAAATTCTTATGTTCTTATAGCATGTGAAGTGCTTCAAGATGTCCGCCCGACATGAAAGGCTCTCTATCAAACGCGAGGATTATTATTATCGCAATTTAAGGCATTGACTTTTTACTCACTCTGTGTCGACACTTCTTCTTTGGATGCCCAACTCCTTATTCGGTGGGTATTCCGTGTCACCTTTACTCTCTCCGCTTCTTGTTTCTCTTGACAGAGCTGTTAATGTGGGGGCAAATAGTAGGACTGAAATGGGATTCAAGAGCCAAGCACAGCGCAAGTTGCAAACCACACTTACACAGAGTGAAATAGCACAGAAACAGGCCACCTGGCCTAACTAGTTTATACTCCACACAAGCCCTCACTTGCCTTATTCCCCTCTCTTATCCGGTGTGTATTTATGTCCCCTCATTTGTATAATCCCAACTTGCGCTGCTTGGAAACACTCAATTTAACTGTCTCATCTCCAGAAAGAAAAGCTCCAACCTGTCTAACGTGTGTCAGTCTGGCTCAGGGTAACACTCCCAGTCTCCTGGCCGACAATCCCCCAAATAAAAGTCGGTCACTCGCACCATGGCTGTTTGTGTGCAAAATGACTGCCACGTTCACCCCCAAAGCAAACAGTCACTGCACTTTACAGTCTACCTTGCGCGCTTTGGGACGTCCTCTGCACTTGTAGCGTGCCTTCCACGTCGGGAGAACGTCCCAAAGTGCTTCACAGGATTTACTGCAAAGTGTAGTAACTGTAGACTAACTAGCACAGTAGCAATATCATGTCAAACAGCCATGAAGTGTATGAGCAAGCTTATTTGGATTGCTGACCACTGTTCCAGGAAAAACTCTCTTCTCTCTTAGGAGAAGGATTTGAACAGGTATGCACGGCGCACTTAAAATCTCAACAGAAGGAAAGCACCTCCAATAATACAGCATGATCCCAGCCCTGCACTGGATGTCAACTAAGATCTTAAGCTCCCCTGGTTATGTATTGACTCCCAACCTTCTGACTCAGATGTGAGAGTGCTACCAACTGAGCCAGACCGACAATTTGAATCGTTTGTTGTGGGAGTTTTTAGTTGACATCATTTAATTGCTGTGATTTTCTTTAATAGGTGAGATTCGACAAGATAGAGACGAAGGAACGTTGAAACCGCTCACTGGCTAACCGTGAGAATTCTGAGGAGGATGGATAATGTAGATTGAACTGGAAGGGTATGAAACTGTATTTGCTTAATAAAATTCCCATCTACATTTATATATCGCCTTCGACCTGAGATGGACATTGAATTGCTGGCTGGGCACCTGAGCTGGGTGTGGGAGCAGGGTGGGGAGAGGAAAGATGCCTGAATGCACGGTCAAAGAGTTACATCTTGAGATGAGCTTCAACGAGGTGAGGGAGAGAGGGAGTCGGAGGGAATCTTGAGATGGAGTTCTTCCGGCAGTTGAAAGCCCGCCTTCTGATGGTCAGACAGATAGCTCGGGGACATGAAACATGAGCAAAGTATGAGTTCCTTTGGGTTGAAGCAGGTTCCAGAAGTAGGGTAGGACAATACCATGGAGGGATTTAAAAGTGAGATCAAGGATCTTGGGGGAAGGGGAGCTAATGGAACCAAGCAAGGGTGGGGGTGATAAGCTCATGGACCAGAGGGCACGCACACAAAATGAATAGCCCTCAATATTTTCCCCATTGAACAGTGCGTAAAGTGAACAGACTCAGAAAAAGCACTTAACACTTGAGTGGAGAGGTAAGTGGGGTCTCCTTGGAACTGAGCTGGCTCCAAGAATCGAGCCAGCCCCCTGGGGTGGTTTCTGGACCGGGTCCTGAGCCAGCAGGGGCCGCAGTACCCCAGAGCACTGCTGATGACAGCACAGCCCGGCCTGGCTCATCGGCAGGTCCTGGAAAGGCAGACCAGTCACTTCAGTTCCTATTAACCCTGCAAGCCAAAGCCGTAGGGTTGTTCTAGCTGGACAAGCAGCGGGAAAGCTTGCCAGATACTGATATCAATAATAATAATAATAATAATCCTTGCATCGTCGGGAGGACGTCCCAAAGCGCTTCACAGAACACACTGTAAAGTGAATTGACTGTATATTTGTGGGCGAACGCGGCAGCCAATTGCGCACAGCAATGTCCCACAAACAGTCGTAGATTGAAAATGACCAATTTATTATTGTTTTTGTTATTATTATTATTAATATTATTATTGTTATTATCAATGGCAAGCTATGCGGTTTTAGCTGGTGAGTCTCCAGCAGTTACCCCAGCGCACACTCTGGGGTCCCCAAGTCTTGCCTCTTGCCAACCTGAGCCTAATACTTTCCGGAATTAGGTAAGGAGGGTATGTCCCTCCTAGGAGAGAGAGGGAGAGAGCGAGAGAGGGAGAGAGTGCATTCCATTCCAACGATCTATCTCTGGGATTTCCATGTGGAGGGGGGACGTCTGGAATTCTCAGTTGGGTTTGGAGACTCTTAAGCAACGATGACGGGTTTCCGCACGTGTCAGACACCCGGCTGACCCCCCCACCAAAAAAAAGGAGTTCAGGNAAAAAAAAAGACAACACAGAAAGCAGGAGACACACTTTGATTTACTTTTCTAAAGATTACCACACCAAAAGGAAGTAAGTACGAGAATAAAGTACATACAAGAATTCCTTGAAACACGTACAAGAATGGCCCAGTCTTTTTTTTAGGCTCGTTTTTAAACGCATGATATATTTTTAAAGGCACTGTTTTGAATATGTTTCCCAAAGCTAATTCATACTGTGCAAAGTGATGTGTGTGTTTTTTTTTTTTCTCTTTCCAGATACAGAAGTAAAAGCTAAAGACAAAACGTGACCAAATCTTGGTGCAACGAGTAGCGACTGTAGTTTGAATTCTCTGATGTGGGCTCCACAATCTTTGAGTTGATTGCTGTCCCAGTGCAGAAGCTGCCAATGCAAACCTGCGGTGCCATTCACCTGGCGCTTGCAGCTCATGCATATTGACCTCGACTCGGAAGGGAAAATCTTGCTTTGGCAATATTGGGCTCGGCAGATATGTTGAGGAGGCACGTGACTGTGCTGTTGCAGAACATCGCAACGCTTTGCAAGATTAAAAGATATGTATTGAGAATTCCCGTGAACCCTGTTCTTAATTCAGTTGCCGGAAGGCATTCCCAGCATCCGGGAGCTACTTTTCTTGACAGCATTTCAAGAAGAGGACAGTTATCCCGCACTGCGATGCGCTTGAAAAGTGATGGGGGAGCATTTTGCCAACAGCACAACAGCACCCGGTCTGTGCAATTAGCCCTAATCTATTCTTTCAGCGTCAATTACTCTAAAAAGATGCAACAAATTTTTTAATATAAGCTAAACTGTCTTCTTCTGGTGAGTAGCCATACACTTGCAAATTGGCCGCTTGCTTTAAACCATTTAGACTGCACAATGAAAGTCACATGTGGTCATCTAACTGGACAGCCATGGATCTTCGAGCAAAGATGCTTAAAATCTCAATTCCTTCCTTTTTTTTCTCAAGGAGAAATTTGCTGGTCAGTGAGTCAGTAACTAGTAAACGAGCAAATGGGAAGGTGAGGAGAAATGTATTCACGCACAGAGCGCTTAGGATTTGAGGCAAAACACATATCGGCCTGCAAGAGGGAAGTAGTCAGATATGTTGAAAAGAGTCAGGGATGTGGGGGAAAAGGGCAGGGAAGTGGGACTGAGAGGACCGCTCTTGAGGGAGCTGGGACGGACACGTTGGGCCAAATGGCCTTCTTCTGTGCCGTAAATGTCTATGGTTCTAATCGGGGTAAAACTTACTACAATAGTCAGGAAAAAAGCAACAGCAACAAAAAAGACTAGCTCTCAAGACATGTTTCTATCGTCCACACCATTTACTTTCTACACCATTGCAATGCTTTGTCCACGGCAAAGACTCGAGTCCAATAATCCGTGGACAAATACAAGGAGAGGAGTGGACATTTTCACATGAGACTAAAGCACACCATGCCACATTGGTTACAGCTACACATTATCTCCACACTCTTGACAATTTCCTCCCCACTTCTGTTTTCTCCCGAGCCAGAAAGTGGACAGTAAATAGCATATCATATGGCCGGTCGGTCCGTTTCAGAAAAAGTGCGTACGGCTCACTTGTGGCTTGATGCTCACATTTGTGAGACACTATGAAGACAACAGGGATATAAATCCCCATTTCTCTATCTGCTATGCAACCAACAGGAGAATCTATCACTAAAGTCAGTAGAACTCTTTTGACAACAGCAAGAAAAGAAATGAGTTCTACACGAGACTAGTACAATGGTTATTTCTTAGTTTAAGTTGCAGTTTAATCGTCAATGGGTGGTAGATAATAATAATCCTTGCATTTGATATAACGCCTTATCTTGTCGTTGAGACATCTTAAAGCACTTCACAGAACATACTGCGAAGTGTAGTGACTGTATATTTTGTGGGTGAATCTCTAAAGAAGATCTCTAAAGAAGGTTCTCTGTCAAATCATCATATGTTTTCCCAATGAAAGAGCAACCGAGACTCATCTGTCATTTCAACTGGCAAACAGTTATGAGGCTCACATTCCCACTAGCCGGTAATCTAACCGACCTTGGTGGAGTGCGTTTATAATAGGATGTGTCGACCGGTGGAACTTCAGCCCTTGCTTTTCCTTTAAGGAAAACCGTGAAGTAATTCATCTTGCTTTAGAGCGAGCACTTTGGCGATGCAATACTTCACCAATTCTTTCCACGTGCAACAACATGCTGTTGTGTGTCAGTATCGCACTGAGAACTCAGAGATGATAATGCACTCGTCTAAGCTGATGTTTCCAAACTATTTCATTCAAATTACGACAGCTACATATATCACATCTATATTAGATATATATATATTATATAGTGCATTATCACATTAATAATGTCACATATTCTGTCTCATTGATACAGTTACAAATGGCCAAGTAAAGAGAGAACATTAACGGTTTTATACTTAGTAAAAAACTGAAGTCTACAAGGAGGCTCGTATGATAAGTTATTAACAGTACGTTAGTGTCCATAATACATAGGTAAGCCCAATCATTGAAGTCTTTCAACCGATGGAATGGAGTTTCTTTGAAGAAAAGTTTTTTTATATATAAGAAGCTGTTTCCTCTAAATGTTCTCCCTTAAGACTAGAATCACTTCACGTAATTTTTTTCTCTCTCTCTCCCTCCCTCCCTCCAACTCTCTCTCTCTCTCTCTCTCTCTCTCTCCCTCTCCGTTGCAGCATTCCTCCATAAACTCGGTCTCCCCGTCGCAAGATGAAGACCGTGTTAACATTGTCACTGCTTCTGTTGGGCTCCTGTGGGCGGCTCCTTCTTACTGATGTGCAAAGTGACCGATTCTCCAACAGCCCCATAGCTGAGAGTTCTCGTGGAAACCTCGGTCTTGAAGCTTGGCTGTCCATTGTCCACCGAGCATTGCACCGCAGTACAGAAGGATGTCTTTAACTCAAACCCGGGGTTCTTCTCAGCTGCTCCTGCTGAGGGGAGGACGACCGATTCGCTGCGTGATTCACTGACGTGCACGGACACATTTGTGGGCCCCGCCGAGTGCCTCTCGGTGACCCGGGACGTGGATACGAACATCCCCCCAGCGCAAGGGTCTCTGAATGGACGCGAGTAGCTTGGATTCATCTTGGGGACGACTGGCCTGCCGACGTTCAGTAAAACCGGTTTGCCAATCGTTGGTTCACCGATCTCCGCCTGCAGGACCGAGATCTCACAGGGCTCTTCGGAACTGGCACCTGGTGGACTGTCAGACCCGGCCCCACATTTGTAGGTTTCTCCCTGAACAGGAACGTAGTCTTCCAGGTCTTCCAGCGTCAACAATTTGCCGTTATGAGTCAAAATCTTCGTGCCTCGACCTATTAGATCATCGCTGCCAGACTCGGAAGGTTCGTCGACGATGACGTTTTCGTCTTCGGGGACTATGAAGTCTTCCTCGCCTTGCTTCACTTCCTCCATCTCGTCCACGGGGACATCCCGTGGAAGGTCCGCGATTTCGGAAGGCGACTCTGTTCTGAGATCGGGTACGTTTTCGAGGGACAGCTGCTCAGCGTCTGCAAGTTCAGGGCTTTCGAAACTCAACACAATGGTTTCACCCACATGTGCAATTAGCGGAGATTCCCCTTCCGTCAACGTGACGCACTGATCTTTAGTTGCTCTCGGCTGGAGACTGTAGTCGGTCCCTGCGCGTGCAGAAGCCTCTGGAGAAATGTCAACGGCCTCGGCCAGGGTGAACTCAGGGATAACATCTTCCGGCTTGGTCAGTTCATTGTCATCATCGTCATCAACATCATCAGAGTTCTCAGGTTCACACACGAGAGGCTGAATATCTACATCACTTAGATTTTCATCGGGAAGAGAAGATGCCATTTGTTCCACCAAATTATTGTTTGAGTTGTTCGAGTTCGGGTCAACCCTCAGTGGTCTCTTGGGCCGTGGACTTGGCGACCTGTGGCCGCTCTGCCTTTGCTCAGACAGTGTTTGGATAGACGGGGAAACCGATCTTTTCCTGTCGGACTTTGAGCTTTTCGTGACTTTGAACTCAATAACTTCCTCAACTTCAACCCAATTTGTCTTCCGTTCTTGGGCTTGAGTCTGCAGCGAGAGCGGTCTCGCAGCTGCTCCCCGCTCTTCTTCTGGGACGGTTATCATCACCGCGGGAATTGCAGGCATCTTCACGGGGCTCTCCCTGGGCTCAGGCTGTGCTTTGGGCGACGCTTTCTTAGGTCTGGCTGACCCGGGTGCCTCCGATGCTGTTTCCTGTGGCCTGGGTGACCGAGCGGGGGACACACTGGAGCCTGAGCGACGTTTGACCTTTGGGCTCTTCACGACGGTCGTGATAGTCTCCTCACTATTCGTGAAAAAACGTTTCAATAAATTTAACCGTCGGAAGGAGCCCCATTGTACAAGAACGTCCTGTACACTTCGGCTCCGAGGCGATGCAGACAAGGAAGCAGGGTTCGTTTCGGGTTAGTTTTGTGAACAACACAATCTCTGGTCATCCATCAAACACAAGACAGTTTAAGATCATGCTGATCCACTATGGTGCAAGGTTAAAAGGTCCGTGAGATAGGATGTTATTTTTGAATGGAAAGCACAGAATTGCTTCTTAACAGCAGGAGCACAAGTTTATAACCTATTCATTTTTTTCTTTGACCAGCAAGGCTCTGCTCCGACCAGACTGTTTTTACGTTCTAGTTATTATGGCTAATAGGAATATTAGTCCTTAATTTAATCTCGTGCTTCAAGCCTCGTTTTCTGCTATGACTTGTTGCTTTCACACCCGAGCTTAATTTCTGAATTGCAAGCCAAACATAACAGATGTTTGCACACCTGTCTCAATAAAGATTTCCCCCCTATCTACTTTATTATGTTTGTGGGACGCTGCCTTGGGCAATTGGCTGCCAAGCTTTGCCCCAAAAATATACAGGCAATTCACTTTACAGTATAGTCTGTGAGTGCTTTCAGACGTCTCAATGACGTGATCATGAGCTACGTCAAACGCAAGGATTATTATTATTATTAGAAAGCTAGAGGAGTACTGCTAATGATCCAGAAATTTCTCACGGTTTTACCCTTAAGAACGCTGCCTCATAATTTATCCGGAAGAACTTTGGAAAATCCTTAAATTCAGTCGGAATTTCGAAGTCACAGAACTGGGGAAAAGCTTCTAAATCAAGAGAGTTTTTCAAAATTCTGCAACGTCTTAACTTTTAAGACGATGATCTCGCAACTCAGACCGTGTTGAATTTCGGGCTTCTTCCAGTTGGCTAGCTCTTAACAGCATTGAGATTCGCAACTGGCTGAAGTATCAGGTGTGCAGAAGATAGGGCCGGACAGCCTATTGCACACGCATGTGCTAGCGGTGAGAAGCAACATCATAGAACACGTAGCACAGAAGATGGCCCATTGCTCTGAGCTGTCTCTTTGAAAGAGCAATCCATCCAGTACCATTTCTCTGCCTTTTTCCTCATACCCATCACTATGCAAATACACTTCCATCGTAAGTAAGGCTTCTGCGTGATATACGCTACATATAAAGATTTACACTCAACTGTAAAATATATAGTGGTCCTCATTGCAGGAAATAATTGCGTTCACTCAGTTCTGCGCGATTGCCCTCAATGTGACCTTGAGCGCAATGGGAAACCTCCTTTATGTTGTTTGGAAAAGATGTTCAAATGATTTTCAACGATAACTGCTGGAAGCCAAAAGTAGTTTATTGCATTAAACTTCCAAAGTCAATCTACTTTCACCTTCTTTATCGGAAGCCCAATTTGACGTCGAAAAATACCTTGCAATTAAGCTGTGTGTTGCCTTATGAAACTTATGGAAACCATGTGCTCTATGCAAAGTAAACTCGGGTAATGACAAACACTGACATGCACAGACACACAGCTGTCCACACAGGATGATAACATGCACTGAGCAGTAACACAACATGGCAGCTCACACAGGCAGGAATGAAGGAACCAAGCACTTACATGATGATGGTTTTCTTGGGAACTTTAGTTTCTTGTTCAGTGACTATAAGAAACAGGATGAAAAGCGTGGAGTCAGAAAACGGACAAGGTGAAATGACTGCTCAAAGGAGTCTACGAGGTTCACAAGATCACAAGAGGGTCGATCGTTCTGACGGGAGCTATTACTTGTGGAGAGGTTGCCATTGGTACAAAACGGACGTGGACCTTGGGGTTGGGCGATTCAATGTGACTCAACGTTGAACTTTCTGTTTAGATTCAACCCAAAACAGTTAAGCAAACGATTCTGAAGGAATATTTCTTGCCGCCTTATTGCCACACAACCCACCCCCACCCCAAGGACCGGGGTTAGAGCCCGTGGTGGGAATTCTGCACTGTTGCAAATCGTATCCCATCCACATAACATTAAACTGAGGTCCCTATAAGGGTGGACGTTACTGTGGCACTATTTGAAACATGACGACAGCTTCTACCAGTGCACTAGACAACAATCCCCCAAATAAAGTGGGTCAATCTCTTCCTCTGTCTGTTTGCTGCAAATTGCCTGCTATGTTTGTCCACAAAAGACACACTCACTACACTTCCCAGTAAAAACCCCGGTAAAGGGTTTTGAGACAGCGCAATGATCTGATCAGGCGAAAAATATCTGCCTGTAATTTTGAAAGACAAATGACACTTCTTTGCCCAGTCTCAGGGTTTTTACTTCGCTCTTTCTCTTCAGATCTACCTCGGTGACCGGAGGAATAGAGGAAATTCACTCGGTTGTCGTCGGATTGCAATAATCTAAGGAAGTAAGTGAAAAAATTTGCCTCCACCTCCAATAAAGTCTTGGCACAACAGAAAAAGTACGTGGAACCAAACTCTGGTGATGGATTTGACCAGTGTGATCTGTACAGGTGGAAGTAAAACATATCTTTTACTGTTTCCAATAACTTTAGCTCCATGTACTCTATGTATAGGTCAAGTCTAAGTTTAAGCGCTTTGGGACGTCCTCCCGACGTGAAAAGCGCTATATCAAATGCAAGGATTATATTTATTATAAGTCAGGATTGACCAAAATTACAGAAAACAATCTGCTTTGATTAAAAAAAGATTCAAAAGCTTTAGGGCGTTGGTCATTAAAAATGAGTGATGTGTAGACATGGTCATCTGTGACACGCAATTCTCAATACAGTAGTAGCTAACGATAATCAATGACGTTAAGGGCTCCAAAAACTGCGCTTATAGCGATGATAGTGAAGGGTTTAAACTCATAAGAAGAAGCCGTTCATTTAGGATTAGCGATGCATTATCAGCATGTAATGTGACAAACGGGACAGTATTATTCAAGGTATTTCAGACGCTTTTTGCACTTTTTATTCAGTTTGCGGAGATCTTTTTGTAATGTGTATTTGCGACGAGGGCCAAAAAAAAACAAAACAAAACCTGTCAACTCTCCAAACGCCGACCTCTTTCTTCTTTAGTTACTGAGGACACGTCACAGTTTAAAGCACGGTTGTTAGGAGCAGATAATTTATCCGATCGGCACTCCGTGCATCAAGACCTAAGCAAGACTCGGGCAGAAATAGCGTCCTGTGGAGGTGGTGCTGGTTAAGATTCTTGAAACGTTTAAGCTAAGCGCCCGCCAGCAGAGCTCTGTATTTCCCATTTGGCCTTTCAGTGCTGTTGTCGTTGTAGACTTAATCGATATCTTGTAAAACGGAGTCTGAAAGTCTAACCCCCCGCTTGGCCCGAACGGAATCCATGTTGTTTATTGGAGACGGGGCCTTTTGGGTGCCCCAACTCGTCCCCACATCAGTTCTCCGCTCCTGCGTTGGGGGAAAAAAAACCCTTTGCCGTACGAATCCCGAATAAGGGCTTCGGAGGTGGAAACGGTCAACGCTAGACGTTGACTGTTGGTTGGCGCAAAGCTTCCTTGACACAGACATCGCTACAAATCAGCAAGCCTCTACAAGGGCTGACTGGGACGTCCTCCCGACGTGAAAAACACTATTAAACACGCAATTTGTTGTTGATTTCTTTTATAGAGAAAAAAAAAGCGCTTCATAAAGTGGGAGCGTTTCCAGCTGTGACCAGGCCTGCTTCTACCTTTACTTGCTCCATTGGCCGAGGTGTTTTTTTTATGACGACGCGACAACGGGTGTACAACATGGAGTTTTTCAACAGCTGCTGCGATAGTTGCTGTTAGTTGGTCACATCATCGCCTCTGGCTCACAATGTGGTGACAATGTCATTGGTGGCTGTTGTTGTGGTTGTTGCTGTTGTTCAAGCCCCACATAAGTACTTTGAGCTCACGGTCTGTGCTGGGGAGAGCCACCTGTTTGGGTGGATGTTATATCCTGCGATTATTATTGTTATTATTTTGGCACTATTCCCGTTTTTCTGGTCAACTGATCAAAATCACCTCACATTTGTGGGTCCTCACTGCGTGCTACCTACACCAGCAAATACGCATGAAAGTATTTCAAGTGCTCTGGGACTCTACCCTGCGTGAGGGGCGCAAGTTGTTGTTGTTGTTATTTTCTTGTGAAGCACTTTGAGGCATTTCAACATTTTAGCCGCTAGATCAAATGCAAGAATTATTGTTATTTTATTTGGATGCAGTTGATCATCTCCCGGGTGCTTAATGGATGAGAACTGAGAAACGGAAACTAAGGAACATTCAGAGAGTTTTAAAATTCAGTGTGACTTTCACCCCGCGTTACTAACCTTTTCCAAAAGATTGACTCAGAATGGTTTGGTATCAATTACTGGCTCGCCACCAGTTAGACAAAACTGAACAAGTGAAGAACAGATATTTCAAGTTTTTCCACAAACTTTTCTCCTTTCTACATGTTTTAATATGTATTGGTGCTTATCGAGCACTGGGTTAAACTGATAGGGATCTCAGTCAGGTCTGAGACGATTGAGATTTCTTGTATGAGTGTGAAATACTATAAATAGCAACTGTAGACACTGCCTCAACTTCTAAGCTTAGAATAACACCAGTAAATACTTTAATATTAGTTTAAACACCTGGAAAGCAAAGCAGTTTCTCATGATTCCCAGATTATTTAGTTAGCAAGCCACTGCTTTCGGAGGTAGGACAGAAATTATGTCAGGAAAAGCGTGGTAAATAAAAAAGGAGATAGTTAGCACAACATAAACACAAAACAGATCTAAAGGTGTTAGAGGCCAAGCCACAAACCAAACACGGAACTACGTACTACATACAGTACAATATTTGTCACAAAGGAGTGCTATGAATTAGTAGCGGGTGTTCTTATAACAGAAGCCAAATCAAACAATATCAAACAGCATTTGATTACTTACATTTGTTTTAGGTCGGAATAGAAACCGACCAATGAAAGGACGACGTTTAAACAAAGCTGCCAAATACTGACATGGTTTCCATTCTACACGAAGGAGTTATTCTGCTCTGTAAACTTCATGACGCAAATTTGTTTTTCGTGGCTTAGAGGCTATTCTGCGTTATTTGTTAAATGTAGTGAATTCGCATTGCGATTATGTGACTCATCTTATGACCACAGTTTAACTTTGCAACCATAATATAATGTACAAATATAACGCAGCCGTCAAATCAACTTGGTGGCGTTAGTGTCAACCTGGCTCAGTCGGTACTCCTCTCTCCTCTGAGTGTGGGTTCACACCCCGCGCAGGACTTTAAGCTCAAGCGTCTACGCTGACACTACAATATTAAGTGAAAAGTGTCGTCCTTCAGATGAGACGTTAAACCGAGGCCCCGTTTTATCTGTTCAGGTGACTGTTTCAGATCCCATGGTCCTATCTGAAAACAGAAGGGAAGTTCTCTCGGTGTCCCAGACAAAAGTCCCTCAGATAAAATTGGTGATTCACTTTGTGGGACGTTGCCTGTGCAAAAAAATTGGCTGCCACGTCACCCTCCAAAATACACAGGAACCTTGCAAAGTACTTTGCGGGCTGCCCTCCAACATCAAAGGCTAAATTAAATGGAAGACCCTTTTTGTTTTACATTCAAAGACAGCATCAGCTCTTTGGCTCACCTATTCCACTAGTGACACGGTGCGTACTACATTCTGGGATTAGATCCAAACGCTGTGCGCAATTGGCTGCCGCGTTTCGCCCGCAAAATGTGCAACAACAGCAAATTAAACTTGTACAGCGCCCTTCACGTCGGAAGTCGGAAAGGCATCCCAGGGCGCTGTCGATGTACAACCAATTCACTTTCCGTGAAGCGCTTGAGACGTCTCAATGACACGATAAGGTGCTTTGACAAAAGCAAGCGTTATTATTTATTATTATTGACTGTATTTATGTAGAATTTCGGCGCGCTCCAGAATTTGGCCTGCTTTAAACAACACGGGCCTTTTTCTAAGTTTTTTCTATTTGGTTTTTAAAAAAGAAATGCAGCAAACCTACATCAAAATTAAGACCGAATTCAACAACTTGCCAAATTCCGGACACTCTGAAATGCTGCGTAAATAGAGCAATGGAATTTCTCCCCAAACACGCCGTAGGAAAAGTAAGAATAGACTTTACCCCCACCTCATCTTGAGCGCACATACGGTGGTGAGATGGCCTCTCAATACTCACTATAATTGTACGTGACAACAGGCCGAAGCTCACGTTTACAAAGGAATGTCCTTCTGCTAAATACTGCTGACTAACACCACAAACTCAGACACACTGGCTCATGTCTAAGAACAAATATGAACAAACAACACACCTAATGAATAAACTGGCCAAATGTGATACTGTGGAGGAAGACGTCGGCAAAGCAAAGGTGTGTGACTAGCAGCAGGGCTTTCTGCCAGTGATAGTTGTCTCGGTGGCACGGAGAGCGACATAAAGCAGAGGTAAAGTACTATCGAAGTTGGAAAAGTGTGAGTTGGGAAAATTATCAGCAGAAGCTAGTCGGGAAACTTCTCCGTGCCTTTTGCCAGAAAAAGCATCTTGGGATATAAAGGGTATCTTCTGCTGAGAGTCACGTGAGTGTGACGATGATTTATTATCATTCCTGAGAGTCACGCTCTTGAGTTGATCTTGGGTGGGAGCAGAACTCCTGTGGGTCATTAGAATATATATATAATATATATATATATATATATGAGGTTATCTGCTGGAGAAGAATTTTATATGCCATTAACTGGTAACGTGGGGCTTGTAGTACAAGCAGCGGAAAACATGACGGACAGTATCCACAGTGTCCAGTGGTTTTAACTGGTTAGACTCCAGCAGTTACCCCAGGGCATACTCTGAGGTCCCCAAGCCTTGGTTNCCCCCGACCTGCACCTACTACTCTCTGTACTAAGGTAAGCACAGGAGAGGGAGTGTGCATTCCATTCCACGCACAGCGGAAATTTCCATCTTGTAGGTGGCGTACATATGTGGAACTCTCAGTCTGGTTTGGAGACTCTTAAGCATGCTGGTGAGTTTCGCAATAACCTTATTTGTTTTTTTAAACAAAATTTTTCTTGAGGAACATAAATATAGGACCGAGGCATTCCAATGAAGTCTTATTAACTTGTTAATGCTTTCAGGAAAATCAACCGTCATTTTAACCGTCAATTTCCACACAAAAAAAACGATCGTGACGTAACCTAAGATTTTCTGCACGGAAATCCCTGTATCTCCTTCACACCCAAGACCCAAAAAGGCTTTGCTCTGACTTGACCTGGTGTTTCCCGAGTCTGTGCGAGGGCCACTGGGTTCTCTGCGGAAAGTACAGGCTACGCTGTGGGAGCTTTTCCCGCCAGTTGTGAGGTTTGAGCACTTTCTCGCTTGTACCTCAAGGCTTCAGGCTTGAAAGTAAAAACCGCAAGAACCTACCTTCAATCATGACAGCTCGCTCTCCCTTCTTGTCCGGAACCCGCAGTATGGGGGCCTGAACGTACAGCTCGGCATGATCGTTAGCAGTACCCAGCCTGTTCGTAACCTGGGGAATAGAACATGCAAGTTTATAATAATAATAATCCTGGCATTTGATACAGCGCCTTATCACGTCTTCGAGACGTCTCAAAGCGCTTCACAGGATACACTGTGAAGTGAATTGACTGTATACTCTGTGGGCGAAACACAGCAGCCAATTGCACACAGTAGCGTCCCCACAAACAGTCGAGGATTGAAGTAACCAATTTATTATTATTCCTTTTTATTTAAAGTATCACCCCTGGAAAAGTGATCCACCAATCCATATCCCTTGATAACCTGACCTAATAAATATCGATCGATCTCAGTCTTGAACGTTTGAATGGATCCACCACCCACAGCCTTTTGGGGGAGAGAGTTCCAGAATTCTACTGCCCTTTGTGTGAAAAAGTGCTTCCTGGTTTCACTCCTAAATAGCTTATTTAGGAGATTCTTAAAATCTTATTTTCTCTAGTTTCTCTGGAGCTACCCGTTTTAATCCCTTTAAAACACCTCAAATAGATCCCCCCCTCAAGTTTCTAAACTCGAGGGAACACAAATAAAATATAGAAATGGAAATTGTATCTGTAGTAGCGAACGTGGCAGGCAATTTGCATCCAGCAAAAACCTACCCGGAAACATGAAGTGACCCTTTCTATGTGAGGGGGCTGATGGCCAGGACTCTGTTCTCTTTTATGAACAGTATCATGCGATCATCTCACCTGAACAGGCAGATGGGACCTACCTTGTCCCGAACACAGATTGTCAGGCCGAGACAGTGAGTTCAAAGTCCCAAGGCAGGACATGAAGCACAACCTTCTAATACAGAGATGAGGAATATTGTAAGAACAGCCACTTGGGCAAGATAGATTGTCCACTGCCCACGGACGTGCACCACAATATTTCGGGAGAACATTGGGATGAGGGTGGGAGAAAGAAGAAACAAAATGTCCCCTCTTCAAAACATACGCACCTCACATTCGTAGACTCCAAGGTCTTGCCTTGTTGTGTGTTTGATGACGAGTACTGCAACTCCAAACTGTGTGTCACAGAAGGTCTGGTATTTTGTCTTATCTGCTAACAATGAGCCAGCTTTACTCCACCTGTGGTCAAAAGAGAATTGATGAACATCAGCTGCAACTCGGAGGTTATTAATTCGACATGATCCTCAGGCAAAAGAACCAGAGGGAAGATGAGCAGAATTTTTTTTTTTTTTTTTGACTCAGCAAGTTGTTACGGTCTGGAACGCACTGCCTGAATGGGTGCTGGAGGCAGATTCAATAATAACTTTCCAAAAGGAATTGAATACTTACTTGAAAATATTGGGTCTGCAATGCTGTACTCTGTCCAGCGCCTTGGGACGTCCTCCCGAAGTGAAAGGCGCTACACAAATGTAATCTTGTTGTTGTTGTTGAAAAGGAACAGGCTAATGGGATAGAACGTGGGACTAGTTGGGCAGCTCTTTCATAGAGTCGGCACAGGCACGATGGGCCGAATGGCCTCTTTCTGTGCTGTAAGATTCTACCAGCCTCAGTGATGTAAAATTGAAGACTGTGCAGAATTTTGGAAAGACTCTCAAATTCTGGCTGAAGTTCGGAAGCCGGTGTTAAAATGAACCAGGAAAACGGCTTCCAAATTCCATCGGAAGAATTCTTTTGAAGAATTTTTCAAAGTCCTACAAGGATTTTAAATTTTAGGTCAATGATTGTACAAGAGTTTGCGCTTTCAGGACAGGGCTTGAGGTGAGTGGAGAAACTTTGGATAATTATGAACCATTGATTTAAATTCACTTTGAAAGCTTCGTTATTCGATACAACAACAACAACAAATACGACAAATTGCATTTATCTAGCGAGCACAGTCACGTCGGAAAGACTTCCCAAGGAGCTGGACAGTCAAGGCTTTGCAAAGCCAATGAAAAGTTTGAACTGAAGTTATGTGAAACTTACTGTAGGAATAACGGTTGCTATGTTTCTCGGAAGACACAGATGACGACATGCTGTACATTGCACCAATAGAACGTGCACCAATAGAACGGCAATAGAACAAGTTCTTGCAGCCTAATATTTATGGGCTTTCTCTTTTTACTAAGTAAGGCAAGACGTTAAGAGAAATTGGGTAGAGAAATAGAGGTGAACTCACCTTATCTGAGGGGCTGGTGCAGCCTCGATAGTGCAGGCAAATTGGGTATCTTCACCCTCTATAAAAGGGATGTTCTGAAGACGGTTTAAAAACCTCGGAGGCACTGGAGGGGTATTTCAACAATATCAGTTACTGATGATGCTTTGCAAATTCTAAGGGTTAATTTCCCTTTTGTCGCTCTCCCAGCAAGATACCCGGTAAAAATAAGCAAAGTACGCACATTACAATACTTCATACAAAATTATCCCACCAAATCTGGTCCAAGTGTGTCATAGGAACACAGGAGTTGGTCATTCAGCCCCTCGAGCCTGTTCTGCCTCTCTATAAGATCATGGCTGATCTGTAACTTACTCCAGTTACCTGCCTTTGCCTCATATCCCTTGATACCCCGACCTAACAAATACCTATCCACCTCAGCCTTGACACTGGATCCAGCATCCACAGCCTTTTGGGGGAGAGAGTTCCAGATTCCCATTAACCCTTTGGGTGAAAAACTGGCACTCCTAAATGGCCTGGCTCTAATTTTAAGATGATGCCTATGTTCTGGATTCCTCCACCAGAGAAAATAATTTCTCTGTATGATTTCTCTCATGAACTGACACCTTTTACTTGTTAAAAGTATTGTTTCAATATTAATACTCTGTTATCCCATTCCAGTTGAATATTCGTTCCGCTGCAAAGCAGATGTCATGAAGTTTTTTTTTTGGGGTGGTGGGGGTGTCAGCGGAGCGTCTGATTCATGTGCACACTCTCTCCTTGGAGGGATGCATACTGCTTACCTAATTCCGGAAAGTATTAGGCACAGGTTGGCGAGAGCCAAGGCTTGGGGACCCCAGAGTGTGCATTGGGGTAACTGCTGGAGTCTAACCACCTAAAGCCGCATAGCTTGCCATTGATAGCACTGTCTGGCAAGCTTTTCCGCTGCTTGTCCAGCTAGGACCACCTTAGCCGTCAGGGCTTTGGCTTGCTGGGGTTAACAGGAGTTGAGGGGGAGGATTCCCTCAAGCCGGTGTGACTGGTCGGCCCTTCCAGTTCCTGCTGATGAGCCAGGCTGTCATCAGCAGTGCCTTGGAATATTGGACCCGCCTGTCTTCTCTCATCACAAGCAACTACAGCTTGGCTATCATTAGATTTTTCACAGGACTAAAACTTAGTAATAATAGGGATAAATGGGCATTATCTTAATATAACAAGCCTCGCGTTTGATACAGTGTTTTATCACATTGTGAGTTGGGGCCCCTAAAGACTTGTGTCCTTTACCTTGTACAACAATCTTTCCAAGAGTACTGGCATTCCCCGCAGTGCTGCCCGCAAAACACATGTACTGTCCTGAATCGGCAGCAGTAAGGGTGTCCAGGATCAGGGTACAGGAACCGTCTTCATCCTCTATAACGATGTGATGTCGATCCACTTCCACAGGTCTGCCATCTAGTTTCAAAGCATTCAAGCACACGCACGTTGCTAAGGGTTCGGTTATTCTAAAATCTTTCTAATACACAGCAACGTGCAATTTGCGTTTCAAAATGACACAAGATTCGTTATTTTAATTGACCAAAAGTCAAACAATAAATAAATTAAAGAGACAAATAAACAAACAAATAAACAAATAACTAAATAAATAGATGGAGCAATGAAGTAGACAATCCTTCATTTGGTTTAGCACCTTATCAGTTCGACTTGATTCTTCGAACGTTGTAAAACATCAGCTGCGACAGAGACAGAGAAAAGCAGAGTCGTTACCTTTGTACCATGTGATGATAGGTTTGGGATTTCCTATCACCTGGCAGGCCAGCTTGACAGTCTCTCCCACTTCGGGGGTACAATCCGCCAACTTCTCCACAAATTGTGGGGGATCTAAAACACACGCATTTTCCTTCGTTTACAACAACAACAACCAACAACAAATTACACTCGCGCCGCGCCCCTCACCTCGGAAAGAACGTCCCAGGGTGATGGACAGTCAGGGGATTTTGGACCCAAGCTGAGTGTTGGGGCCACAATTTATTTGCACATTGTTCTGTCTCCTTAAAAGCTCTTCCCTCACACGAACTCAAGCAATCAAGACTCTTCAACTTTGAAAAGAGAAGTCTCAGAGGCGTTCTTGTCGAGGTGTATACTGAATGGGATCCAGAGAGCAAACCCAGGAGGATATGGCAGCCAAGCATGACGAAGGTCACTGGTTCAGGGTGGACCAACCCAATGGCCTTCTTCTGTGCTGTAAATTTCTATGGGTCTAATTCTAGGCAGTTGTGAGGGATCACCCTCTACGCACGGTAATTAATGGGCTACCAAGGAAGGTTGAGGACTCGACATTTGTTCTTTTAAGAAACAGCTGAATGCCACAGTTCCCAAGCCTTGGCTCTTGTCAACCTGCGCCGATAATTTCTCCAGATAGCGAGAGAGAGAGAGAAAGAGAGAGAGAGCGTACTCCATTCCAACAATCTATCTCTGGGGTTTCCATGTGTTTGTGGGGGGCCTGGAATTCTCAGCTTGGTTTGGAGAATCTTAAGCAACGATGATGGGTTTCTGCGTGTGTCAGACCTCCCCCCCAAAAAAAGTTCTATTGGGACGATGCTGGAAGGGTGACATTAGCTGAAGAGCCTTCGTCATCCAAACCCTGTGATGTCTAAGCCTCACTGTAGTGGTTACAAGATATCCAAACAAAGTTAAAAATAATTTTTTTCACACAGAGCACGAAAGGTAGGGTAGCTCCAAATTGTGGCAACAAAACAAAAATGTGCGAAAACCCTGGCTTCAAAAGAAAAAAAAAAGTCGTCAAGCACAAAAGAACAACTCGTACATTTGAGCCTTGGCCGGGCACTTACTCCAATCTCGCAGCGTGAAGCGTTGTTGGATGCCACACATGTCTTTCACCCACGAGGTCTTTGTGTTCGCGGTCCGTGCTTGCAGGGTGTATTTACGCACAGAGTCCTCTCGTTCGTGCCAGATTTCAAAGGACCGCTCGTCGCCCTCCACCATTTCATTCAGATCAGTGTTCGTGAGCTTCGGGAAGAAAAGAGGTGTTTAAGTTGATGCACCGTGAATTATTTATTTATTTTCTTTTTTTTTAAAAAAAACGGCTCGCCGAAAAAATTATACTGACAAGGATTCAGGAAATCCTGAATAAAAAGCTACCGTTTGCAAAGATTTTCCCAAGTACCACGTAAAGAGATTATTCTTTTTTGGTAGTTTTAAATGTTTTAGAAAAAAAGGCAAGGCACTTCCCGACCCTTTTTCATGCTAGCTTCCTGATATAGGGTGTCTGGCTCAGTGAGCAGCACTCTCTCTCTCTCTCTCGCGCCTCCGAGTCAGAAAGATTCAAGTTCCACGTTGGAACTTTGAACTCGTACGGTCTAGGCTGCACTCCACGCTTTGGCCGCGTTTTGCGCGAATCAGCGCTGTTAAAAAGTTGCGATCGCCAAGAAACTCGACGCTTGAAGCCAGGCGCGGGTGCCAACCTTCATCAGGTTTTTAAAGACGTAGCTTTGCGAGTCTGTCCTGCTGTCTCTTTTGGGCTTGCAGATCAGGACGTGGTTCTTGAACAGAAAGACGTTTCGCTTGTGACCTTTCCAAGACAAGCGTGCTCCAGGAGCTCCCTCCCACACAATGAAGTGTCCCTGCAAAACAAAACCCAGGAGGATGTAGCTTATTCACAGGTTTTGCACCGTTAAAAACAGAATAGCAAACTTCCCCTCGGCAATGCAATATCCCTTCATTTACTGGACGGTTTCACAGACGCGTCATTAGGGCTTAGAACATCAGAACGTAGAATTTCCAGATGATAGACCAAGGTCAATCCAGTTTGCCTTCCACCGTCCTGGCAGTCGCTGGCACATGTCATGTCACAAACTATGTGCTGCATCCTAAGGTATTACTTCCTCCGAGATATTATTTCCTAAAAGGCTGGTTCTAGCTACAAAAGGATGGATGAACGGATGTTACTTGGAAATATGATGATTACACCAACTTGTCCGTTTGTCACCAACACCGGCAGTGCAGCCAGGCGTTTTCAGTCTCCACAATCAAACTGACCGGATTTTCTCACACAGAACTCTCGAGGCAGGTAGGAAATGTGGGAGAAAAGGGGAGCCGAGGGCTGTAAATTAGCGTTGGCCAAATAAATACACAGGGCCAACGTTGAGCGACGGACACAACTTGTGCCTGACATTATGCGAGTTTGCGCACAGACCTGCGTCTCACAAAGACAGCAGCAATTTCTTGCAGCACGCCATTTTACAAACTTACATTTATATCGTGCTTTTCAAGTCAGGACTACATCCCAAGGCACTGGACAGACTAGGATTATTTGTACCTGAACTGGGGTTGGGGTTTGGAAAGGGGGAAAGATAGATGAAAGAGTAAGGTCTCGAGATGAACACTGAAGGAAATTGAAGGGACTTTGAATTGAGGGGAAATTGTAAATTGAAGGGACTCCAGGATGGAGTTCCTGAGACTGCAGTACTCTAATTGGGGATTCTATCATCCCCTACTTAGTGGAATCCCAATCTTTGTTAAGTTATAAGGGACAGATGGATATCGAAGATATACAGTTTTCACTGAGTGATATAATTTGAAGACAAGTTATCCCAAACTTCTTTTATTTTCAGTTCAAGCTGAGTTTTTCACGTTGCTCCAAATTAACATTGAAGCCGAGGTCTCGCCTGCGCCTGTTCAGGTGGATGTCAAAGATCCCGCGACCCTATTTGAAAAGAGAAGGGAGTTTCTCTCTCTCGGTGTCCTGGCCAACAATCCCCCAGAAAAATTTAAGTTGTTCACTTCAAGGCTGTTTGCGGACAGTCCTATGCGCAAATTGGCTGCCTACACATACACAACAACAACAACATTACATTTGTACAGCGCCTTTCATGTCGGGAGGACGCCCCAAGGCGCTGGACAGACAGAGTTACGGACCCGAGCTGAGGGTCGGGGTGGGGGTTGGCGGGGGAAGCAGGGAGAGCGGTAGCACGGTCGAAGAGGAGGGTCTTGAAGTTGGCGAGGGATGGGGAGAGACACAGTAACACAGAGGCAAACTGAATGGACCTGGACCTTCTTTCAAATGCAAGGATTATTATTATCATTATTATTATTATCATATTCTTTCGCCTGGCAGTCCTTGTGCTCTTACGTTCTTAAGTGCTTTGAGACATTCGGCGATGACACAGGACTCCGTATCAAATACAATGATTATTTATTATTTAAGCAAAGAGGAGAATACCTGTCTGATGGGGTCACCGAGAGATTCCAAGGTGCCTGGGTAGTTCTCGATCATCGAGACGTGGATGCTGTTGTCTGCACGTCTGGGCAAGGCAGACACCACAGCATACGCCTCTTCTAACAAAGCACAGTTTTTGTTGTTTCTTGCTTTATTTCGAATTAGTTCCTGGAAGAGACGAATCTTTCTTTCATACAGCAAATAAGAGTGCAACCAAACCGAACGATTTATGGGACGCCGATATCCGTAATTCACAAGACTGGTATTTAAATATGAATCAGGTGGTCAGTACAATCATTAAGTCCGACACCTTTCCGCGTGTTTCATTAACATGTGTGCAGTTAAATTGCATTTCAAGCTCATAAAGATTAGTGCCAGCTTCCGCTTGTCACATAAACAGTCACTCTCGGTCTTAGTGTGCAGCATCTTAACCCACCACCACCAACAACAACTTGCGTTTATATATTAATATAACAATAGTTATATCACAAATGGTTTGTCGTGGGGCTGGGGGGGGGGGAATGTGAAACACCAGTTGCAAACCTTGTGAATGTAAACCAAACGGTACACTTTCTAGGTAAGGTGACGCGAGGGGAAGTGATAAGGCACTATACCAAATGCAAGGATTATTATTTATTATTAAATCACCTTGAGAATGCTTTGGTACTTCAGGAGTCTGTTGGGCGGATACTCCAAGTAAGCGTCTATGGACAACACCGGAGTTTCTGATGAGCCATGTGTGGCTGACACTTCCTCCGTATATTTCTGAGGAAGCAACATGAACCATGAGAAAGACAACTCGACACTTGACATTGTATTCAATCACCTCGGACCCAGCTCAGCTCGAAGGAGGTCCTGCTCGCCTTCCTCCCTCCTCCCCACCACCCCACCAGAGGAAGCTTCCTGCTCTGTGTGGTTCAATTCCTCGGCGATAGGTTTAATAACTGAGTCTGGTCTGAGGTTCGCCGAAAGATTACTCACATTATAAAAGTCCTGGACAGTTGGGTTGGTAGCATGAGATTCGGCTTGTACCCTTCCAACCAGGTACTGCAAGTATTTATCAAATCCATCATTGTTCTTGATGAAACACAAAGCGATGTCGTCGTCTGTCTGACATTGCCTGAGATCATTCAGGAAGGTGCTGAAACAAAGAGACACATTCTCAGTTGGCGAATATTTGGTTTAGTTTCTCACATCTCCATCCAGTTCCCTCCCCACCCCCACCCCGCCCCTCCCCCCTCCAAAATGATTTATGTTCTCGGGATCTGTAGCCACTTTCAGCGGTGAGGATAGAAAAAAGTAAAAAAGAAACTCGTATTATTACCAAGCCATCGCAGATCTCTTGACAGTGCCAAGCCAAGGGGAGGGGACCGTAGGCACAGTCAAAGAGGAAGGTCTTCAGGCATGACCTGAAGCTGGGGAAGGAGGGGGCAAGGCCGAGGGATAGAGGGAGAATATTCCAGAGTATCGGGGCTTAGTGGTTGAAAGCGCGGCCATTGATGGTGGAACGGAGGGCCAAGGGGCAAGCAGGAGGCCCAGGGCCAGACGCGTGGAGGGAGCAGGTTGGGAAGTAAGCGGGTCAGAGAGGTAGGAAGGTGCCAGGGATTGAAAGGAGCCAGAGGAGCCTGGCAAGAACTGATGTGATGGGGGTACAGAGTTTAGTGGAGGTGCGGAGTTCTCGATTAACTGGATTTGGACTAACAAAACGCCTCAGTGTTTGCTTATACCCACTCGATCATTGACTGCTCATCACTACAATACCAACCTGTAGTGGAAATCTGCAATTTCATTAACATTTCGAAATATGGCCCCTTTGACGTTCGCAACTGAGAGTGGGACATCAGGGCTGGTTTCTGTATGTTTCACATGGTGTTTGACAAAGAACTGCATGTCTCTAACGTACTCCTCTTCCGATATAATCAGATCCTGCACAAAGAGGCTGCGAAGGGAAAACACACAGGAAAATGTTAAGTATTAATCTGTACTTCACACTCTCAATCCATTCCCCTGCTAAGATCTTCCTTCAATCTTCTTGTGTCTGTCCTATATTTATGTCCCCAGTAACTAACTCCCTACCAACAACAACAACAACTTGCATTTACACAGCGCCCTTCACGCGTGGTTGGGCCCCAGAGCACTTCATAGTGGCGGTGTCTGACCCTGAGTCAGGGGGGCAGCCAATTGCGATCAGCAGTGTCCCACAAACAGTTGTGGATTGAGTGAATTTTTTTTTTGAGCGATCGTTACCCTCAGAAAGAGATCCGCCAATCGACTAACAACTGGATTCCTACTCGCCACTAAGTAAACAGAGGTGTGTGGAGTAAGGTTTCGCCCTGGCCGGGAATTGAACCTGGATCCTCTCGCTTGCGAGGTGCGCGCGTTAACCGCTGCTACGCGACTCCAACGGGAATCTACGGGAACGCAATGGTTCAGCGATCAGAGCAGAAACCCTTCCCCTTCCCCGGCAGCGGTCCTCGGGCTAATTGTGGCACCTTAACTACACTGGCTGAGATTAGCTAATTCAGTACAGACCAGAATTAGACTCCGCAATTGCTTAGTCCTTCTAATCTAATGCTAGGCAGGACAAGCCGAATGGCTGACAATGCAGTGGGAAATGACAGCCAAAGTACTCACTATAGCCTTTTCTTGTATTCATCTTCCGATACCACCTCCCCAAGGAACTCAGGGCTATCCACTGCAACTTCAGGTGACAACTGTCAAGGGAGAAAAAATGTTTCAGTTCAAGATCACTACAAGTGGGGAAAACTTTCAACCGTTCTCCCCCTGCTCTTTGGAACTCCATCCTGAAGTCACTCCCTCCATCCTTACTTTTAAAACCCATCTTAAGATTTAACTCTTTGATTGCCCTTTCAACCATCTTCCCCCCACCCCACCCCCCTCAGGTGCCCAGTAGTATGAATGTCTGATGCTTTTAACATTAGGACTGGCTATGTGGGAGTCTGTTTTTCCCAGGTGAATTGGTAGAATTTAACATGAGGCGTAAACCCTCCATTTTTTTCTCTCTCTGAAGCAGAGATGTTTCTCTGGTAAGTGTGCTTTGTGCGAGGGTTTCACTGATGTTACACGGTTTACCTTTAATCTTTTATCCAGGTAGGCAGGTGAGACCCAGCCCTGCCTGGCAGGAGTGGATTTGGTGGGCTTGGTCCTGACCAGCCATTTCAGAGGATGTGCAGAGTCGAGGACTTCCACATACTGCCCCTCCTTCAGGTGGATGGATTCCTTGTCAGCAGGTACCGGGTTATAGTCTGCTGAGGCCATGTAGATGTCAAAAATCTGCCAAGAGAAAGGGAGCGACGTTTTATTGAAACCATTTGCTTATTGTTTCTAACAGCTCGTTGGACCATGTTCTAACTCGTCATTGAACTGTGAGCAAACATACTTGGTCCATACACTTTCTATGGTTATACAGTATTGTAAAGAGAAGTCCACTACAATAAAAATGACATTTGTATAACATCTTTCAGGTCGAGAGGACGTCCCAAGGCGCTGGACACTAGATTTGGACCCGAGCTCGGAGGTTTGATCAGGAAGGGTGGAGGGCAGGGAGGGTTGGGGTAGGAGGGTGAACGGACGCGATGTCGAAGAGGAGGGTCTTGAGACGTGCCTTGAAGGAGACAAGGGAGGGGGCGAGGCGAAGGGACTGCAGGATGGAGTTCCAGAGGGTGGGAGCAGAGAGGCTGTAACAGTAACAAAGAGCAGTAACAACCTCACCTGACATTTTTGTGTGCTATACAACATGAAGACGAGAGAGATGGCTACTGCCACAAATAGGAGGTCCGCTGATTAAGAACCAGTAGCCAACAGGTCTTGTTAGTAAAATTAAAGCCATTTGTCCTAACAAGATTGTGTTTGATCTCACTCTTCCAGTGGAGATCAATGCTCTAATCCCAATCCATTGCTCTTTCACCATAATCTCTGATCTTTCTTCTTACCAAATACATATCCAATTCCCTTTCAAATATTGTTATGTTATGGTCTTGGCTTCAATAATCGCTTGTGACAAAACATTCCTCCACGTTCAATAATTCTCTGCATGTCCCAACTTTTAACCCACCCACTTAAACCATCCAGAGTCTAAGGGTCATTTGATACCGTCCTTCCAGAATACCCGACGTACCGTTGATCATATTACAGAATGGTCAACAAATTCAGTGTGCTGGCCACAACCATAACCTTCCTGGTTTACTTACCCCTAATGGTAGAGTTGGCAAAAGGCATGAAGGACCAAGTGGCCACCTTCAATGATTCTATAAGTGCTTTGAGACAACTTGACATGATCGAGCTCCGCATCAAATACCCGTGTTATAAAATACAAAAGCTATACAACTAGAAGGATGAATAAGAAACTGCCAGCATCTACCTCGCCTCTCGTTTCCCCGTCCTCAGACTCGGAGGAGGATTCGTTGACGATAGAGGAAGGTCTGGATCTCCCATGGCGTGGAGACGGCGACGGAGTCTTCGATTCATCATCGCTGTCCGCTCCGGGGACACGAAGAGAAGCTGCAACAACAGAAACTTTGGACTAATAATCTTCATTGTATTTTGTGTGGTGCCTTTCACTCAGAAGCCTATCTCAACGTGCTTTACACGAACCCTGCCTTGAGTTTGGCCCTGCCTGGGAAACAAATCCGGGTCCTCACTTTCGAGGCGAGCGCTCCAACCACGACACCTCAAGACTCCACACATTAAGATTGAATAGAAAAATGTCTCAGAATTCTGCGCCGTCGGAGGAGATTCTGGGGCCTCTCGTGCCTTATGTTCTGTGATATCGTTCTCAGATCCTTAAGCATCTGAGAATTACCTTGGGTGATCTTTGCAGAGACCATTTGGGTGATCTGGGAGGTCAGTTTCTGGAGGAATTCTTCTGTCCCAACATCTGCCAGTGAGAAATGTGGTGGGGCTATCGGTGCACCTGCATTAGAAAAAAACACTGAGGGATGGGCAAGCATTTGTCGTGCCAAAAGAATATGACAAGACATACGCAACAACATATAAGGCCCTTCACATCGGTAGCGTCTTGAGGGCGCTTAATGGTGTCATATAATTTAAATTGCATTGTAACACTTCGCATAAATGCAACTAGTTGGCAAGGCACATTCTGCCTCAGGAAGAGAACAATAATAATACTAGTCCTTGCGTTTGCTATAGCGCCTTATCCCGTCTTCGAGACGTCGCAAAGCTCTTCAAAGAATATACTGCAAAGTGAATTGACTGTGCATTTTGTGGGCGAAACACGGCTGCCAATCGCGCAGCGTCCCCACAAACAGTCGCGTATTGAGTGACCAAATTATTATCATTATTCTTCTTGAAGGGGTTATTAACCCCGGAAAGCAACCCGCAAATCGACAAACAACTAGGTTGATATGTACTTACAATAAATATTTCTGATTAAGAGTTATAGTCGTAATGTTAACACTAAGTAATCTCGTTTTCAGAGAGATGGGTCGAGCTGCTGTTGATTCTCAGTCAGTTTATTTTGGATTTATTTATTTTTTAAATTTCCAGACGTTATTGAAATTTAGCACATGGAATTTGACTTTCTAACCAACTAATAGAAATCGACACAGAACCAGATTTCTCTGTTAAAGCTAAGGTCTAAGCGTGTAAAGGATCTACCGACGGTTACTCACCTTCCAACCCTTTGCGGTCGAGGTCTGCAGGTGACCTATACCACAACAGCAACGTCACGGTTCAAAGGGAAAGGAACACGGATTTAAAAAATATTAAACGAAGATTAGAATCATTTTTACATTTGACAGAGCCGTTATCAAGTCAGTGAGACATCTGGTAGCACCTCACAGGAATTTCTGTGACAAATGCAGGAGCCAACATGTGCACAGTCGTGTCGTAACACAGCTATGAAGTGAACAACCAATTTTATCGGAGGGGTTGTTATCCAGGACATCAGCCGGGTGTCAGACCAAGCTGAGAATTCCCTGTCTCCCACCTACTCATGGAAATTCCAGAGATAGATGGTTGGAATGGAATGCACTCTCTTTCTCTCTGGAGGGACGCCCCCCGCTTACCTAATTCTGGAAAGTATTAGGCGCAGGTTGGTGAGAGCCAAGGTGTGAGGACCCCAGAGTGTGCGTCGGGGTAACTGCTGGAGTCTAATCAGCCACAACATGCCATTGATATCACTGTCTACGGGATTTCTAACCTCCACCTGAACAGGCAGATGGGACTTTGGCTTAACGTTTGACCGAAGGACAGACCCTCTGTCAATGCAAAGCTCCTCTATCACTGCAAGCACAATTTGCGCTTAAACGGCAGAAGCTGTCTGTCATCTCATTGGTAAATTTACCCGTTTAAGAATGTTTGCATAAGCTTTTCTTTCATAGTGGTGCTTTCTTCTGTAGGAACTCCAACTTCTTGCACTGAAAATGCAAAGGACAAACCAAGGTATAAACTAAGAAGCTTGCGCTATACAACAATAATAAGCCTATGCATTAAACTTTATATTTAAGTGATATTTCAACTTTATATTTAAATAATATTTTTAAACATTATATTTAAATAATATGTTCAATCTATAGTCGCAAGAGCAACATCACTTTTCAAGTATATTCCGTTAGAAATGAACTCATTTGAGAACGAATGAACTCAAAGCAAAGCCTTGTTTGAAATTTTTTAAAAAAAGTCAAAAATTCCTTCGTTGTCATGTATCAATTTTAACGTTTGTGTAAAAAAAACAATTCTGTAAACCAGTCTAAAATAATCTGTTTTTTTGATGTCAAACATAATAGGGTCAAACAACAGATTACAATTGTACAGCGCTTTCTCACGTCAGGAGGAAGCCCCGAGACTAAAGCGCTGCAAACGAGAACCCGAGTGAAGGGCGCTGTATAAACACAAATTGTTGTCGTTGTTCCAAAGGTGCTGGATAGTCAGGGATTTGGATCCGAGCTGGGTGTTGGGATCAGGAGGGGTGGAGGACAGGGCAGGCTGGATAAATGGTACCCAAAGCTAGTTTAGCTTGTGCAAAATAACTTTCCCTTGAAAGCTGGCGGTTACTTGCCTTCCGCAACATCGAGACGAGCGGTGCAGATGGACTGTCCGGCCTTGTTTGTAGCAATACAGGTGTAGGTACCAGAGTATTCCTTCCCCACATCCAGGAGGATCAGACTGTGCTGCATGTTTGAACTGGCTAATTTATAGCCAGGCGTGTCTTGCTTGATCCAGATAACATCTTCCACAGACTCCTCTTTAAGCCAGGTTATGTCTGGAGCAGGAGATCCTGCAGATTTAATAATAATAAAATTAATAATAATAATCCTTGCATTTGATCACGTCACTCAGATGTCTCAAAGCGCTTCACAGAATACATTGTAAAGTGAATTCACTTCGTATTTTGAGAGCAAAACATGAAAGCCAATTGCATGTAGCAGTGTGCCACAAACAGCCATGGATTGAGTGACTAATTTTGGGGGGAAGGATTAAGACCGCAGGAAAGCGATCCACTCACCAACTAACAGCCGGGTTCCTACTTACCGCTGGATAAATAATGCAGTGGTCAGATGAAGGAGGCCTTTGGCCCATCTGATCTCATCCATATCGGAACACCCATCCTACTTGGCAACCCGTTCCAGTTAATTACCTTCTGAAAAACATCCCGGTGTCTGTCCTCAAATTGTCCTTTTGCGATATATGTCTTCTTGTCCTACTGCCTTGGTGCACCCTTATTAGTATTATTCTGGTTTTACTTTTCCAATCCCATTTAAGGTCCTCTCTGAAAGGGACGACTTCTCTCAAGACCTGAAGAGTCTTAACTTGTCTGATAGTTGCTCCAGCCAAGTACTCGCTGGTTAACCAGAAGTAGGAATACTGGCTGCCTCAGTTAACTCAGCATTGACCAAGGATCAAATACAGGACCTTCTCAGTCTATATGGCTCAGCCATGCACTGGACAAACAACAGTTGCACTTTTAGAACACATCTACTGCGCTGGATGACTACCTTTACAGTTACTAATGGATGCAAGACCCATCATACCTTCAACCTTGACCGTCAGTGTAATACTCGCTCCCTTCTTGACACGCTTGTTTGTGAACCGTTCCAGAAATCTCGGCGGCACTAAGTTTTCTGTCGCTGCTAAGCAAAAGAGATGGCGTTAGACGATAAAGTGCTATCGGCAAAACTAACTGCCTGGATATTCCAGCTTGTGAGCAAGTGATCCGGCGTTCAATATAGCACCTACCATGTCAAAAGAACTCCCAGCACTTCACAGTAGTTGTCAAGTGCAGGAAAAGCGATCCGCCAATTGACTAACAAGCAGGTTCCTTACCTACCCCGAGGTAAATAGAATAGATCTGGAATCGTAGAATTTCTTAACAATTCTACGATTCCAGATGAACAATGATCTTAAACGGCCATAACATTTTCAGGCCTAAGGTTCCATAAGATATACTGTTTCAAGCTGGGAGCAGCTGTAAATTTACCTTTGGTTTCAGGCTCCCGCTTCTCAAACTCTTCTCCTGGGGCTGAAATAGAATTGAAACACACAGAATGAACAGCTTCCTTGGGGAGCGCAGTGTCATCCATTGTAAGAGTGGAATGTAAGAGTGACTAACTGTCAACGAACAGGATCGGAGGCTCGAGTGCGATGTATCGCCTTCAGCCACAACTCCCCGAAGCTTCTGAACTCTCTCCCTCGATACCTCCACCTTGTTCCCTCCCTCCCCTCCCACATGACTGAAGACCTTCCTCTTCGACCGTGCGTATGGTCACCTTCGCCCTCCCCCTCTGCTCAGCGCCAGGCTCCGACACTGTTAAGCACTCCGAGACGCCTGAAGCTCGCCATTTGACGTGAGTTGTTGTTGATGTTGTTGAGCTTCACCAGCGTGGCCCTCTCACCATAACTCCCTGTCCCAGTGGCTAGTCGGCCCTTCCAAGTCCTGCCCATGAGCCAGGCTGGCAGGACAGTCATCAGCAGCGCCCTTGGAGTACTGCGGACCTGCCTGGCTCAGGAACTGGACTACCGAGTCCGCCACAGGAGAGTGGCCTCGATTCTAATATTCCATTGCTAAACATGCCACCTGGGAGCCGGTTCAATTCCAAGGTAAGCTTACCGCCACAAAGGATCCTTACCTTGTACGTGCAAGACAGCGGACGTATATGCAGAACCTGAAGAATTGCTGACGTAGGCGGCATATTCACCATCATCCTCTTTGGAAACATCAAGGATTTCCAGTGAATGATTCCCTTTGTCCTCACTCATCAGCACCTTGTCAGTGCCACGCAGAGGCTTACCATTCCGAAACCAATACACCCGAGGAACTGGATAGCCTGTGGCAGTGAACACGTTGAACCATCTTACATCACATGATTTAGAACAGAAGAGAATAACAATAATAACATAATAATAATAATAATAAATACATCCGGTCATTTCAAATAAATGACTATTATTAATCATCTCATAATATTCCATGCCTTTGATATCACGCCTTGACACTTCTTCGAGACGTCCAAAAACTCTTCACAGAATAGACTGTAAAGTGGATTAACTGTATGTTCTGCGGGCGAATCGTGGCAGCCAGTTGGGCACAGCAGTGTCCTACAAACAGTCGTGGATTTAGTAACCAAATTGTTATTATTTTGACTCTATCCCAGAGTCCCTCTGACTCGCTCACTCTCTCCCTACTTTTAAACCTCCTGTTTCGCCTACAAAATATACAGTCAATTCGCTTTACAGCGTATCCTATCTCGTAGACGTGATAAGGCGCTGTGTGTCAAATGCTAGGATTGTTATAATTATTATTTTATTATTAAGTAGGTTGACTGCGCTTCTAGTCATTGCCCAGAGAGACAATTGTTCAGCAAACCTTTCACTTCAATTTGCAGTTTCGTCATGGGTGCCCCAAGGGTGACGAAAGCATCGTGAAGTTCCTCCACTATTTGTGGCAGCTGCTCCTCCTCAGCCTGAGACTCCAAACCTTCCAAATTCTGCTCCCTGTTGAGGCCAGTGAAGACACCAAGAATTAATACGACGGATCCCTTATTCACAAGAACCCAAAATGAAACCTCCAGCCAAGAGTTAGACTGTTATTGATTGGCGAAGAAACGAAGAAGCCCCAAAAGCCAACAAAACAGCCTGTGCACTCAATAGTTGTTTGCCAATGAATACACAGTCACTACACTATAGAGGCACTGCACATGTCAGACACCCCGGCTGACCGAAGCAACAATGTGAAAAATCCCAGTGTCTATCACGGTAAATAGTCCCGGCTTCAAAACTGACCGTGTGAGAGAGGCTTGAGCACTGACATAGGAAGATGTTTCCGTGGCTTCAGCTGTATCGTAGTCTGAGCTGGTAACTGGAGAACATATCGTAAAACTGTTAGTAAAGGAATAGCAATTATTTCACAATTTTCCCAAAAGACAACATTGACCGTGGTCAATTTTTCCATTTAAATAGTCATTTTAATTTTCCCCAAAATTTAGCACTGTGTGATACTTTCGCCCTCGTTAATTCGTGCGAGAATTGTTATTATTATTGCTTACCATCCACTCTCAGTTCAGCCTTTGTTGAACTAACTCCAATGTAGTTTTCTGCCACACATCTGTACACTCCCATGTCACTCAGAAGGACAGACGTCAATATAAGCTGGTGGCATCCATCTTGGTCTTCATTGATCATGTAGTGGTCGTTCTCCTCAAGAACCTTTCCGTCTTTGAACCATCGAATGGTCGGAGGTGGGTAACCACCCACCATACAGTCAAAGCTGATGGGGTAGCCTTCTTGAACCTCCTGGTTCTGGAGCTCGGATACAAAATGGGGCGCTTCAGGCGATAACAAGACATGTCAAAGGCATTATATGGTGAAGTGATACCAAGCGTGCAAAAGCAAAACCCTGTAGATGCTGAAATAAAAACGTGAGTGGCTGGGAACACGCAACAGGTCAGGCAGCATCTATGGAGAGAGGAAAATGAGTTAACGTTTCAGGTCGATGACCTTTTGACGAACGGTCAACTCATTTTCCTCTCTCCACAGATGCTGCCGGGCCTGCTGCGTGTTCCCAACCACTTCTGGTTTGATCCCGAGCGTGTATCTCATTTTAAGCAACAACACAAATCCCAAAGGCGAATAAAGGGAAGTTTAACACAATGGAGTTTTCATTCACAAAGTGTTAAAGGACGCAGCTGTATTAACTGATCGACTTTTGCCTCTGTTGATGTTTATTCCTCACGGTTTTAACAATCAGTTGACGTTCGAATTCAATTGCACGGCACAGAAATAAGAGTCAACTTTCTGCGCCATGTTTGAGCCTGTTCAAATGGTGCGCAAGCAAAGCTGTGCTTGTCAGGTTTAAGGATCGGATGCAAAGGTGAGCGCTCGAGGGAGGGAGTTCCAAAGTTTGGGGCAGTAGGAATTGAAGGCTCAGCCACCGATGCTGAGCCGCAGCCGGTTCAGCGAGCCGGAGTTAGCTGAGCGCATGGGGACAAGCGGAGGGGTAGGGCAGGGGAAGTATGGAGAGATAAGGAGGTTCCAGGGAGCGGAAGAACTTGTGGGCAAGGATAAGGATCTGGGAGCCAGGAGAAGAGAGCGGCCAGGACTGGGGGTTAGTGGACGTTCAGGGTTTGGTGCGGGTGCGGATCATGGGGAGGGGAGGGGAGAGGGGGGGGGTGAGTTTTCGACGGCTTTGCAGCTTGTGGTGGGTGGCGTTGTTGGGAGACCAGCCAAAAAAAGGGGACACACGACACGGCAGACTCACCAGCCTCGGCCCCGCTGGCGGCTGATCTCTCTCTCGCGGGCGGCAGACCTGCTTCCGACTCAGAAGAAGCGGAGAACTGCGAGGCCTTTTTAATCCGGATTTGCGCCCGGGCCCCGTCCTCGCAGATGTCGATATGGACCGGGACCCCCCGGCCGACAAACATCTCCTTGAACCTGGCCGCCGCCAGCTCGGCCTCCAGCAAGGTGTCGAACTTCACGTAGATGTACCTCTCGTCCTCGTGGTAGGTCTGCTTGTCCCGGGGGTCTTCTCCCTCATCGGCACTGACGAATAACTCCTCCTCGACCTCGGAGAACTCGAGTGGCAGCAGCTGCGAGCGCAGGAGCCGGTGCAGCCGCTTGCCCGCCCTGCGGAAGGCGTCGTCCATTTCGCTCCCCGAGGAGCTCTCCGGCTCACTGTCGCTGCCGGGCTTCCTGGCCGGATCCCGCCGGGGCTCCGGGCCGGCCCACGGGCCGCCCCTCCCGACGCGGAGCCCGGCACTGTGCGAGGTGGTGCCCAAGGCGTTGGAAACCTCGCAGGTGTAGGTCCCCGCGTCTTTCTCTTCCACGCCCGCCACGATGAGGGAGCAGGTTCCGTCTGGGTAGCTGTCGATGTGGTGGTGGCGCCCGTCGGCCAGGGCCACCCCGTCCTTCAGCCACCGCACTCTGATCTCGGTCTTGCTCAGCGACACGCACTCCAGGTGCAGGGTCCGGCCTGGCTCGCTCACCTGGTCTTTGAAGACCTCCCCAAACACAGGCGGGCCCTCTTCCTCCCGCCGCTGCTGCTGCTTGAGGCCCTTCCTGGTCTTGTAGCCCTTGAAAGCCGCCTGGATCTTGGTGGCGGCCTCCACGAGCGACGGGTCCTCTCCCGGGGCGGCTGTGCCCTGCGGCTGCTCGGGTTCCGTCACCGACGTCTCCCAGTGCTTCCAGAACTTGCTTGTCGAAACGGTTTGGACTTTCCCGGCCACGGTGATGGTGGACTTGCCCGCCCTCTTCAGGTAGTGGACGAGGCAGGGGGTGCTCGACCTGGAATCCTCGTCGGAGCTCGTGTAGGAATCCCAAACGCGGGACGTTTCATCCGTGGACAGGTCCTCGCTCTCCGCGGCTCTCTGCTTCCGACGTTTCTGCGCCTTGTCGTCTTCCTCCGGCACTTCGCAGATGGAATCCAGGGTTGGCTCCCGGCTCATTCGCCGTTTCTTGGCCAAGGCCTCCCACAGGAGGTGCAAGTCTCCTTCCTGGGCGGCCTCCGGGGGCAAGCTTGGCTTGGCTGGCAGCTCTCCCGACTCCTCTTCCTCGCCCGTCAGCTCGGCTATAACCTGCGCGGACTCCTCTACGGCTTCCAAGTCGGGCTCCGGCACAGGCTGGGGCTCAACTGCGGAACAGTAAGGCTTTGAATTATTGGAAGTCAGACATTCGTTAAGTACAATCTCACCGAGACAGAGACAGGAGGAACGAACGGTCAGTGCATTGGAGAGTGAAATTAAAATTCACAGAAATTTTAAGAAATAGGAGCATTGTATTACAGCACTCAATACAAATGACAAATTTATATTGATATATAGTGCCTTCCACATCGGGAGGACATTCCAAAGCGCTCAAATTATGAAGTCTGTTTGAATATTATTCAGAAAGTGTTTATGTACCTATTTACAACGCCTCCCCTCCCCACTCCCATCACCAACTACCCTAGCGTCCTTTTAAACCAATCGGGCCTTCCGAGATTATACTTCACGCCGCGTACATGAAATGATTAATTGCACACAAAACGGTGACTACATGTTGAACCCCCTCCAGCTACACATCCTAACCTTTCAACAGCCTTATAATTTGCTAATTTTATTGTTTAGCCAGTAAAAGCAACTTTAACACACAGGTCTCAGGAGCCCGTATCCTCCAATTCATTCACTGAATATTTTATAAATAATAATAATAATAATACTCCTTGCATTTATTTGATAGATCAGGTCTTCTAGCCGTCTCAAAGCGCTTCACAGAATATACTGTAAAGAACTGTCAATAGCATCCTTCTATCGCTCGGTCTTGATTTGCATTGATTTTTTTTTGGTGGGGTGGGGGGAATATTTTTACGTCTAAACTGTGAGTCTTGGTGGCATTGTTTTACACGAACCGCGTACCAATTCACCTCTCATACACCGCTGGGTTACAGGAACTCTTACCGGCCACTGCCCAACACAGCAGAGTTTCTTCAGCGACCACTATTTAAACAAAGATGTCCAAAGTGAATGACAATGTTTACGACGTTGATTTCTTTTCCCCAAACAAAGTGATTGCCCCCCCCCCACACCCTTCCCCCCAGGCCCGAAATTAAACTGTAAGGCTGTGGGTAATTTTGGGTAACGAAATTAAAATCAAATGATAATAAATTGGTCACTCAATCCACACTGTGCTTTTAGATGTCTCGAAGACATGATAAGGCGCTGTATCTAATACAAGGATTATTGTTATTATTATGTTATAAATTTTGGAAAACGGTCTGGATTTGGAGATTGATTTTCTTCAATCGTGAAAAAGAACAGCAGAAAATATAGAGTAGATTTAAGACTGATTTCCAAAATACTGCTCAATCTTCAATTTTACGACTGTGGAATTTTACGACAGGAGGGTGAGAAATTTCGGCCCCAGAAGCAAAAGCAGTGCTGAACATCCTATCAATAACTCTCAGATCTTAATCTCTTTAGAAACTTCCAAAAGAGGGATTATAATGCACATTTCATTAACTGAATAATACTCAAACAGACTTTACAGTTTGAGCGCCTTGAAACGATGTCCTCCCGATGTGAAAAGAAACTATATAAATTATATTAATTTTATGCACATGAATCAATTGATTTTTTTAATGTTTCTTCTTGTTCAGTAAAAGTGTGAAACCCAAAATTCATAACAAAAACGTAGCAAACGGGCATTCAAACCCTTAAGACTTTGCCTTGCTACGTGGCAATGTTATTCGCAAGATCACAAGATTGGTTTGGATGAAGAAGGCCCTTTGGCCTATCTGCTCTCCTCCCTCGAGAACAACCACTCTGCTGTCCCCCACCATAGCATCGAGCTGTTTTATAAATGATATGATCAGACATTTAAATTCTCAGGGAACACAGTAGATTCTCAGCTGTGTTAAAACATTTGTGCCATCTAACAATTGAAAGTAGGCACATGGGTTATGGACACCCTTGGAAAAGGTTTCTTCAGGTAAGAAGGACGATGACGTGGAGAGAAAAAGTTGTAAAGAAATGAAAAGACCAAGAAGTGGTTGATTCCCAAATCGTGTGCTCTTGTCATCCGTCAAAAAATATTGGCCCAAAGTGAGAGATGAAATCAGTGGACATGGAATATGAGCGTACGCATTTGATTCCCTCTTTGAAGGAAGATATGCACGACACCTATCACACTGGCATAAAGCTGGTGAAAGTACATACAAGAAGAACATTTCCAAGCAAAAGCATTGCTTAGAAAATCTGCAATAACATTAACTTCATGTTGACCATTCCATAGTAGAGCAGCAGAGATTTCCTTCTCTGTCAAGGTTCATGACTTGCCTGTGTGTTCTGCTGGAGCAAGTCTTAGAAGAAAAAATGTTTTCTGTGTCTTAGAAAAAAATATTTAAAACAATCAGGAAGGACTGATGATGAGGTCAAAATATTTAACGTTTCCCAAATGTAACAAAGTGCTTCACATGGCCCAAAATTCCACACTTTTGAGTCTACTTTGACTTAAAACGGCACAGATTTGGGGGAAACGTCTTCAATTGAGTCTTAATCTGGAATCCGGTTTTCCATAACTTCTTAAAAAGAACCAGTTGCCAAATTAAGAGTTTTGCCCGCAATTCTGCACAACCTTAAATCTTGAGACAAAGTGGCTTAACAGCCTAGGACTAGATGGAATTTTGGGGGCAAGAGACTGCACAATTTTCTTAAAAGATCTGACCATATATAATATATATCAATGTTAATATATATATATATATAATTATATATAATATATATTATATATACACACTCTATACATATGTTTATAGACAGAAAAGCGACATATGTTTGAAAGGATTCACTTGCTCATTGATGTGAATGAGCAGGTTTCAGTTCTGCTGCCAGGTCCTGCTTTCGTTGGCAAAGCGTGAAAAACATGCTAAGCTTGCGGCGCTTACACGTGGGGCTTCCGACCCACAATTCTCACCCAGCAAAACCGTCTGCGGTAAATGAACAGGTTCTCCAGCGCCAGCCCGGTTCAGAGCCGAGATGCGGAATCTGTAACCCAAGCCTGGCACCAGATTATCAACGGTGAGCTCCGTGTCCTTGACCACATTTGTGTTACACGGCGACCAGCGGTCACTGTCAGTAGACTTCATCTCAATGCTGTAGCCTAGTAAACTACAGCCACCATCGCTCAGTGGCGTAAACCAAGAGAGCGTAACAGACTCGCTGGTCTTGCTAAGGACTTCTGGATCTTCAGGAGGATCGGGGAGGCCTGGGGGAGGTGCAGAGTTAAAATGATTAAGGAGACGAAATCAAATACAAATGTGCCCCAGTTGCTAACGTTTCACCCTCCTGCGTCCCGCCACTCTTCCTGGTGATTAGTTCCAGTTGCTTATTATTCCCTAGTTAAGCACTATCAGAAAATACTGTAAAGTGAATCGATTGTGCATTTATGTGAGCGAAACGTTGCAGCCAATTGTGCACAGCAGCGTCCCACAAACAGTCGTGCGTTGAGTGACCAAATTATTATTAATTTTTAAAAAATTTTTAGAAAGAATGATTACCCCCAGAAAGCAATCCGCCAATTAACTTTAATTTTAATTACTGTATATATCTCTATTAAGTCCCACTAGTTCCGAGACTAACCATCTCCGGTTTATCTAATCATCCTCAAAGCTCATTCCTCTAATAGTGGGGAGCAGCCTCCTTGCTTTCTCTGTTCTCCCACTTATGTCACAATTATACATTGCACTTCATGTCCAGCCTGACCATACAAGACTGCTGGGAATATAAAGTCAACTCAATTGGCAATGCAGCCATGCACCTAACTCACTTTGCTTACTGTAGTTACACTGCTTAAATACAGTGAACATAATATATAAATGCATCAACATATTTTAGTGAAGTCTGGGCTTACAGAATAACATTAGCCTTTTCTCTGATAGACATTTGTTTCCATGCAGCCTTCTCAGGTGAAAGGACAGGGAACGACCAAGCCACAAACTTTCCCCAAGCACAACAAGCACTGCAAATATGGGATCAGCAAACAGACAGCAAGGCAGAACAGCGCACTGTACGATAAGGAGATAAGGACTCAAAGCTTGGACAAGCGAAAATGAATATAAAAATGTCACTACTCGATAGGGTGTAATGAGAAACTGTATATGGAACAGCGCGGGAGACAAGGTGAGGTTGAATTGTGGTGTTAATTTAAAAGGGAGCTGGTTAGGTGTTTTTTTGGACGTGAAGTGACTTAGGAATATAAACGTGTATATTATTCTTACCAGGCAGCTCGGGTAACAACAGTCTCTCTCTTCTGAATTTTTACATGACAAAACAGAATATTTCTAGCCACCACTGAAAGCTGATGCTCCATCAGACACAACCACAACTCGCTGCCAAATTAAGCTCATTATCACTGAGGCCGACAACAACAACAGCAACAAATTGCATTTATATAGTGCCTTTCACGTCAGGAGGTGCTGGACAGTCAAAGCTTAGTACCTGAGCTGGGGGTTGAAATCAAGAGGGGTGGAGAGGACAAGGGTGGGGGGGGGGGGGTGACTGAAGATCAAAGAGGAAGGTCTTGAGATGGGCCTTGAAGGAGGCAAGGGAGGGGGGTGGGGGGTGAGGTGAAGGGATACTGGGTTCTAAATGGTGGGGGTAGAGAGGCTGAAGACCCGACTGCCAATGGTGGGGCGGGCGGGCAGCTCGGGGCGGGGACATGGGGAAGGCCAGGGCCCGCTGAGCAGAGGGAGAGGCCAGGTAGATATGGTTATAGCAGGTCGCAGAGGTAGGGAGGGGGTAAGACCTTGGAAGGCTTTATATCTCAAACTCCATCCTCTGGGGGACGGGGGGGGAGCCAGTGGAGCCGGGCGAGGGCGGGGGTGATAGGGTCACGGAACCTGATGCGGGAGAGGGCACGAGCTGCAGAATAATATGGAGCTCGTGGAGGGAAGAGTTGGCAAGTCCAGACAGAAGAGAAACTCAAAACAGCCCAACTCTGGATATCAGACAAGCATGTTGGGTTACTGCACAAACAGAGCACTGGTGCGGCTCGGCCAGACTTAAAGCCAAACGAAGCTTGCAGGATGTAAAGATCTTACCAATAACTGATAATTTTGCTGATGTAATGGCATCCCTGGAGGCAAAAGTGATTTCTCCAGAATGACGAGCTAGTGCGTGGGTCAGAATGAGCCTGTGAGTGGTTTTCTCTGCCTTTTTCTCCCAGTGTTCGTCTGGATGGATTTCAGTTCCATTCAGATACCAGCTTACTTCGGACACGGGGATTATTTCATTTAATACACACTCAAATTCAGCAGTGTTTGCCTGGACCACTTCAACATCTCTCATGGGCTCCAATACGTCAATATGCCAACCTATGCAGAACAAATATACGTCACATAGCAGTGGTGCTCTCTCCTCGATCACTGTGACCATAATAATCCTTGAATTTGATATAGTGCTTTGACTGTGTATTTTGCATACAGCAGTGTCCCACAAACAGTTGTGGATTGAGTGACAATTTTTTTTAAAAAAGGATTATTACCCCCGGAAAAGTCATCCGCCAATCGACTAGCAAATGGGTTCTTACTTACTGCTGAGTAAACAGAGGCGTGTGGAGTAAGGAAACTTGCCTAATGTTACATTCTGCTTGGGAATCAAACCCAGGTCATCTCTCTTGAGAGGCGAGTGCTCTAACCAATACGCCACAGGACTCCACAAATGGCAGCTTAGAGTCCACGATAACTATGTTTCTCAACGTTTGAGGTCTGAATGCACCTCATGGTGTTAGGAGCGTAGCGTAAATTAAAGATCATCCAGAACTTTGAAAAATAATTCTCAAGTTTAGTCTTAGTTTGGAAACCAGTTTGCTTTAACATCTCGTCCAAAAAGTCATCACCTCTGACAATGCAACACATCCCCCAGCACTGAAATGTCAGCCTAAAATACAAGTTCAAAGTTCCAACGTGGGGCTTGAACGCACAACCTTCTAATTCAGAGGCAAGTGTGCTACCAACTCAGCTCGGCTGGCAACACAACTATTTGGGTAGTGGGATCCATCCACGTGAACCAAGATCGCCCTAAGTTGCTCATCCATCTTACTTTCTCAACATTGAGCCCTCAGTTTATGGCCACAATCGGGAACAACACTGTGTGGAAATTAAACATCAGGTCAAGCAAACACGGCCAGTACAATCTCTATTGGATTGAAGCACGGTTGTCAATATGCTTTCTGTTGATTAATAATAATAATAATTCTTGTATTTGATATAGGGACTTATCACGTCTTCAAGGCGTCTCAAAGCGCTTCACAGAATATACTGTAAAGTGAATTGACTGTACATTTGTGGGCGAAACGCAGCAGCCAATTGCGCACAGCAGCGTCCCCACAATTGATTCCTGGATGCATCGTTGTTCCACATTAAGGATGTTAGAGATATTATGTTTTGTGCCAGAATGCGTAAGAGCGAAAGACTCTTCCCTGACTTAACAGAGCAGCTGGAAACCCACAGTGATGGTATCAAAAAATATTTTCAAGCAATGTCGTCCAAGAAACAACGAAATGAGCAGTCAACGAGTCAGAAATATTAGGGTGAATTTGGATGAGAAGGGAATATAAACCAAGACTGTTAAATGTAGAGGAAATTACATACTTCTTTTGCTTAACATGTGTTTGCCTCCTTTGCTCTATGAGGTAAGACTCTTTCCTTGAACAAAAGGTACCATCATATGTTAAGATTTTCAATGTCCCTATTTCCTTGAGAAACGTTTATAAAGGGGATGATGTATGAATGAAGTATATATGTATACTTTTAAAAAAAGAGGAAAATGCTAACAAAAGTCTTAAAGAGATATGGGATTAAAGCAGGCCCGTGGGATCGAGTAAAAAGCTTACTCGGTGTAGACTCGATGGGCCAAATGGCCTCTTTCTGAGCTGTAAATTTCGATAATCCTAGGATAAAATGTGCTGAGTGGGTAGAACCCCTACTCCCAGTGGTCAAATTAGACTGAGATGTAAGCTTAAATGAAATAATTTGATCCTGCACCAGGAATATTGGTGATGTATAAATAACATAATCACAAATGAAAAGCTTAAGTTTTTTTGAAGCTTAGATTATTCAATAACAAGCCACTGGTATGTGTGATAGTGAGTAATCTAACGCAGCAGCTCCTGGTAAAATAATTCCCTTTAGCTGTGATCTTGTTTACCTTTAACATTTAGATACGCTGACGACATTGTATTTCCAGCGACAAAGGTCACGATACAGCTGTCCAGCGGAGTTAGGTTCTTTAAGAGTAACATGTGTCTTTGTCCACCTTCAAAGATGGCCATTTCTATGTTTTCAGACTGTGAAATGGGAGCATCATCCAACAGCCACTTGCAGTCCTGTAGCTCTGGTCGGGTCAAGCGGCATTCGAACAAAGCTTCGCCCCCTTCTGAGGTGTCCACATTCTGTAGACCTTCAACAATGTCAGAGCGCTCTGCTAAAGAAAGAAAGATCCGTTACTTATATTTACGATAATAACAATCTTTGCATCTGATGTAGCGCTTTATCGAGTCGTCGAGACGTCTCAAAGCGCTTCACAGAACATAATGTAAAGTGGATTGTAAATATATCGTCATGTTGCGGATGAAACACAGAATATACTGTGAAGTCAACTGTGTATTTTGTGGGCAAAACGCAGCAGCCAATTGCGCACAAACAGTCGTGGATTGAGTGACCAAATCATTAATTTTTAAGGGATTATGCCGCCCCAGAAAAGCAATCCGCCAATCGACTAACAACTGGGTTCCTACTTATTGCTGAGTATACAGAGGCGTGTGTGTGTGGAGTAAGGAAATTTGCTTAACGTTTCACCCTGCCCGCCCGGGAGTCCTCCCGCTTGCCAGGCGAGTGCTCTAACCACTGAGCTACAGGACTCCACAACTTACTTGCACCACTACTTGCACTTCCTGCATCCCGAAAGTCATTACCTTTTCGTGAAAGTTCCTTTCGCGCACTTTAGACGTGTGCATTTTTAATGATTTTCAACGAAAGAGCGCATTGATCGGCGGTACGTTTGGCTCATAAACATTACCTATTGATATATTGTCCGGACTTGCAGCATAGACGCGATAGAAATAATAAGAAAATATACAATTGAGAATAAACCATACAATACACGTACAATCCAAGTTTACATTTAAGTAGCACCTTTTCACATCAGGAGGACGTCCCAAGACTCTAAGCTATTCTGTCTTGACGCCCGAGCTGGGGGGGGGTGAGGGAGGTGGGGGGAGTGAGGAGGGGGTGTGGGGAGTGGGGAGGAATTCTGACATTATACATTGAAAAAGACATTCACAGAATGGCAGTCGGGCATGTATGAGTGATTTGAATTTGTCATTAACTGAGAGCCTTGTGCCTTTTACTTCTGTAGGAAACGCAGAACTACCTTTCAACCCTGCGCATCGGAAATCAGTACAAGTTAGAAAAGGTGCAATCCGTCACACTTTCCTTTTGACTCTCGTTCTAAAGTTTCAGCTCTCCTGAGGGGTCCATTGACCACACACGTCCTTTACCTCCTCTTCACACCGTGACGGGCAACAGAAAGCTATACCGCAGAAGGAAGAGCTGAAACTTAAGAGCATGATATTACCTGGTCTTGTAAGGCTGGTAATTACAGTGTCCTTAAATGGGTGATGACTTGGACTACGATACTTGGCTTTGAAGCGCTGAGTAACATTAAAATGTATCATGGATGAGTGAGATCACTTAAGATACACATAGGAAGGTACAGAATAAGATCTGGTTGATTGCAAAGTTAAAAGAAATACACTCCTCAAAATCTCATAGTCTTCAATCAACTTCTTCACCAGATAACTGGCTAATCAATTCCCTCTTGAATTCACTAACAGAATCTGCTTTCACCGCCTCACTGGACAGTCAGGCCGCATATTCACCACGCCGTGTAAAGTAATTCAATCTGAACCGCACTGTTCACCTTAGGCTGCAGTGTGGACGTGGTGAATACGATGTTTATTTTGTAAGGAACACAACCAAGATAAGCTTCTGCAATAGACTTTTCCTCAAATAATGTTGAGTAAACTATGCGTAGGAAACATAAAACCAACGGCTCTCAAAGGCTCCCGCGAGTGAAAATTCCAATTGACAAACTGTTACGAATTGCTCTTGTAAGCTATAATTATTGCTGTAGGTACTTACGACTGAAAGCCAGAAATATAACAACAGACCCGGGGGAGGGCATAATATTGCAAATATCCAGTTCTTAAGGAATAAATCAATCGGAAATTGAACTGAGGAAAACAGCTAGTTGTAGAGCTCTGTACAGCTGCTTAGACTGTCTCTTTATTAAGCTTAATAAACAGGCAGTTGAAAGTTCCTGATTATTTCACTTAATAATAATAATCCTTGCATTTGATATAGCGCCTCGTCACATCTTCAAGACGTATCAAAGCCCCAGGACTGTATAGTTTGCGAGCGAAACGCACAGCAATTGGCTCAAGGGTTCCCAACAAACCACGGGGGAGTGAGACACAATAGGTTCCGTCTCAAGGTAAGTCTGCTTGTTGCGTTATGTTTAATCGAGCCGCGTTACATTTGCCCAGGGCTCACCTGGAACGCTGAGCACGGCAGAAACCATTGTCCCAGAAGCTTCGCAAGTGTACGTTCCACCGTCCTCCGGCGTGACGTCACTGATTTTCAGTTTCGCTACGTTCCAGTCCTGCTCAATAATGACGCGATGACCTGAATCAGCCTGAATCTCGTGCCCATCTCTCCTCCACAGAGCCTGGACTGGTCTGGAGTACTGGCAGATAAACACTGCTGTGCCATGTTCCTCTATAGTCAGGTCTTCCATTTCGCTCACTACCTCAACTGTTGGATCTGTCAACCAATATGTCACATGGACATGCATTAGCAGCACAGACTTTCTGTTTCTTTAACCAGAGTTTGCAATGTGGGATCACGTCGGTGCCACAAACAACATTAGCGATAAAGGTTATTTCCAGGTTAAACACTACGAGCCCCAGCCCACCACAGTGCTGATTGAAAAGATTTCAGATTTGGTCATTTATTCTAACTTAGTCAGGTTAGGTCAAATTTGACACTGATAAAGCAGCCTTAATCCCAAACCACAATCCAAAGACTGTGCTTGCACTACTAAACAATGCCTGTATTCCAGACACTTGTCAGATTTATGCTGTGGATTTATTTCCCAACTGAATCTGCCGGAACTCCTATTACATCCAAAAGCCTTGGGACGTCTCCCGACGTGAAGCTGTACAAGCGTAAATTGCCTTTGTTGTGTGTATATATATACATATGTGTGTGTGGAAAGTGGTCCAGGAAACCTTACCTGTAAGTGCATCAAAACTACCTGTAAGTTTTATTTCAGAATGAATTGTGATGCCAACAAAGTTCTTCAGACAAGTGCATTCCAACCAACATCCTTTACACTTTCTAATCTAAACACATCTTAAAGTGCTCTCTCTCTCCCTCGCTCTCTCTTCCTCTTTCTCATGACCCTACCTCTACACCGTTTAGATATTACCGACACTACTTCCCTCAGACAGAATAGCCGAGGGGGTGTGGGGAGGTGTTTATGGGCAGGAGTAGCTTATCTGTCAGCTCAGTGAAACTTAACACTAGTTACCTTCTGAACTCCGAGAATACAACCAAGGTTGTGCAACCTAGCCCCATAATTTAACCCTGTCATCTCAGGTATCGTTCTGGTGAAATTCACCAGCTACCACTCTCAGTCAGATTGAGTGAGGTCAGTATTCCCTGCTAAAACAGATTTGGGTGCAATTGTTATTCAGACACTGAGGGAGGGCAAGACAGATGGGCAAATTCGAAACACATTTTAACACTATTCCTAAAATAGGGAACCGAATATGGTTAAAAACAGTGCAATGATGCCCTCCAGTTCTTTTGAAAAGATGTGTTTGTTCGGTACTGCTGTAGTGCTTTTGAAAACCGCAAGAACTACAATAAACTGGATCAGATCAAAGTGGACACAAAACCAATCCGTCTGGGCTTTTCGGCAATGATTAGTAATTAATGAACACTTGCTTACTGAGCAGATATTTGCTAACTCCATCAATTAGCTGCGAAGCCCCAATACCCACTGTTCCTGTTGTCTCCGGTTAACAGTCAAAACGTGACCTTATCCATCACGGACAATGGCAGTAATACATAAACTGATATCTTTACCATGAGCACTGTGCAAGGCACACACATCATGTTGCTTTACCAACTGGCAAAGTATTCTCTTCATATTTCTGGCAGCAGTTCCAATTAACCCGAACATTTAGTTCGCCGATCACCTCAGAAACAAAGCATCTAATATTCAAGTCTAATTACGTCCCACAAAACAAAGCACACAATCTGTCACTGTATTAATAGCAGTGCGAGGCAGTGTGTTAATTGCAAACTAAACTACACTACTGAGCATGGCGAAGGGTGAATGATTCAAATCTATAAGCCCGAGTGATGGATAATACTAAGGAAACTCAGTTGGTCAGTATAGCGATCGAATACATGCAGATATATGAATAAACGCACACTCGGCCAATTAATTGCAACAAACACTACCCGGTGCAGTCGTGTGAAAGGGAACCAAAGCCATTTTCTTTACGTTTAATGCCGAAAGGAATTTAAAAGGGTATTTTTGGAATCTATGATATAATATGTTGCTTTGCATTTTATTCTCAATACTTTCAATAAGTGCGACTTCAGATAATGAATGGTCCATTGCTACTTATGATTCAGGGAATGGATTTGGCATTACATTTATAATCCCAACAGTAAAATTTACCGCCATATAATGCTAGATGGCATAAAAAAAAATTTAAATTACAGCACAGAAGGAGATTATTTGGCTCAGTGAGTTTCTCCATTGGACCTGTATACTCTAATTTCCCGCTGTTCCATCATTATATTGTTATTACTCTCGTGGTGTTATCCAATTCCCTTTTAAAGACTGTTCTGTTCTTTTCTCCAATGGGAACTTGTGGCAAAGCGCTGTGTGTAATAATATTTCTTCAAAACTGTACCAGTGACAGCCATGAGTTTATTTAAATATCAGGGCATTCTTAATCCTTTAGATTTCTCTGATTTAGATACTGATTACCCCATCCTTCTCCACTCTTTCCACCCGATCCTTCTCGAGTTCAAAATCCTCGTCCTAACCTTTACATCCCTCCATGGTCTTGCCCCACGCTACCTCTGTGACCGCCTTAAACCCTACCAACCGGGCACCAGCCTGCTTCACATCCCTCAACCCACCAGTTCCTCCATTAACTATTGGGCTTTCAGCGTATATGTTCCCACTCTCTGGAACTGCATCCCCGGAGTCCCTTTGCCTTACCCTTTACCTCACCACATTCAAGGTCCACCCCAAGATCTTCCTGTTTGACCAGGCTTTGGGCCATCTGTCTGCCATCTCCCACCCATCGTGGGCCCCCATTCCACCTCTTGCGAAGCACTTTGAGACATTTTCCTAAATGAAAGGTGTTTTATAACTACAAGTTGTTGTGGTAGATTTTTTTTCCCCCCATACCATGAAATACATTGATGAAGTATTTAAGCAGGGAAGATAGCATGAATTGTTCTTACTCTTCCCTTGTGATCCACTGAGACTAACATCATAATCAGTATCAACAATAACTTGTGAGTCCTTCACTTAGAGAAGCGTCTCCGAAAGCTTTGAAGAGTATCGCAACCTTTTCCCTCGCAATACCAATGCTTACAGAGGCCACAATGATCTTTTGTTGTCTTGTACGTTCCAATGACACTGTGACTACCTTTCAGCGGCTTGAGAAACAACAGGATTCTACACTACTTTCACAGTGAACCGTGGAATTTTTGCCCATAAAAAGGGCAGGTTAAGATACCCAAGGCAGGGAATGTAGTTCATTATAATATACCGATATATTAACGAACCCAAATTTATTCTTCTTTCGGTTTCTCATGGCATTTCAACTTCAATAATATCTTAGATTCTTGGGAGAAAACCTACAGTCGATATTCTTTATGAAATGTAGTAATGTAGTGCTTTTTTATTTTTGCTGGGTGGGCCATGGGTTGGCCAAGACAACACTGCACAGTTTGTCTCTTTCATACCACCTGTGCTATATGGCCAGCGTGTGATATCATGAGTTACATTACTGGCTGTTCCAAGGGAATTTCATACAGCAGAATCTCACCAACATACAAGTGTTTGACTGTTTCAACTTAATAAGAGGAACTTTGGATTACCAAAAAATGTTGTGAATATAAAGAAAATGGATTTTCTGGATTAAATGCGGTTGTTAATCGATTATTCAGTCACCGCGCTGAAGCGTAGAATTTATGATAAGTATTAGAGATCCTTTTGCTTTAATCCCTTCATTGCTGGCTACGTTGAGAAGAGGCTGCTCAAATCACGTCAATTATACTTGTAAATAAAGATTCTTTATCACTTTGCTGCAGATTTAACAATAATAATAATAGAATTTGATATCGCGCCCTATCACGTCTTCAAGACGAATCAAAGCGCTTCACAGAATATTCTGTGAAGGGAATTGACCGCATGTTTTGTGGGCGAAAATTTCAATTTTAAAACGGTATTATATAACAAACCAGTTGTCACAGTGCAGATTGGTATTCCTGTGATGAAAGGCGAGGTGCCTTCCCCAGATGCCCCTGCTCGGTTCGGGAACCCACCACCCGAGAAAAATCCTAGGTGCTGACATGTCCTCTCTACTCACCACTCTGCACACTGGTGTTGTCTCTGTGATTCCCAAACAACCTCATCCCATTCGTTCAATTCACCAATGTAGAAAAGCAGCTCAACAAAAACAGCCCAGCAGCCCCCCACACCCTCCCGCCCCCCCACCCAAGCACGCATACAGAGAAAGGACTAAAATAGCCGTGTTTCACAGAAATACCTTTCACTAATAGTTTGGCTGCAGAGCGAAGTGTCCCAGCTTTAAAAGTGACAGTCCCCGAGTCATTTGTTCCCAGGTCGTTTAAGGTTAATGTGTGGACTTTGGCGTCTCGGACAGATATCTCGTTCAGATTGGTATTGTGAAGACGTGACCCATCCAGCCACCACTGCACATTCTCCACCCCCTCGTGTGAGAGCTCGCACAGAAACGTGGCTGCCCCACCAGCAAAGACATCGGTGTTCTTTAGACCACAAACTATTTTTATTTCTCGTTCTGTAAAGTGAAGCAAAAAAAAAAAAGTGAACTTGACTGGATTGAGTTGGTGGGGAAAAAAAACACACCCATGTTCTTTTTCTTCCTTTGAATGACGTTAAATTAAGAGTTAAATTAAGTAAAGTAAGATAACTCAAAGTGGCCCGGCAGTAAATAAATTAAGGCAAAATTATACCCACTAATTAACGTAAACAGCCCTCTGGCACGTGACTTCACCCCTCAGTACTAGATAAGATTCGACCACAAAATACACAGTCAATCCACTTTACAATACATTTTGTGAAGCACTTTGAGACGTACTGACACTCAGTACTCTGCCGAGATGTACACTCCTATTCCTCTATGATGCAAGTGAATCTCTATTGTACGCACACTCTGGGGTCCCCAAGCCTTGGGTCTGACCAAGCTGCACCTAATACTTTCCAGAATTAGCTTGGTTTGGAGACTCTTAAGCGACGGAGATGGGTTTCCGCATATGTCAGACACCCGGCTGACCAATAAATTAACGACAGCTAGCAACAATCTTCTGTAACCCTTAGTGTGTGATATGTATTGGATACGTCAACCAGTGCTTGGGCAATCAGTGTGCTTTGTCGCTGGCATTAACCCTGTTAATTCCCAGGAACCTTTCTTTATTTAAATATGTGTTAAAACACGACAAAAGACATCCAGTCTGAATGTAAAATCACAGCGGTATCACCTTTAACAGTTACAGCAGCTGTAGTCTGTTGAGTCCCACAGTAACAGGTATATTTGCCGGCATCCTCCAATCTCAGGTTGTGGATGCACAACTCAACAACGGTGCCTTTTTGCTTCATCTCATATTTGTCACCCGCTCTTAGAACCGCGAGTCTCTTTCTCCATTCCACAGGAGCGTCAGCTTTAGACAGTTCACAGCGCAGTGTTCCCGTGTCACCCTCTTCAGCGTCCACATTCTCAAGCTCTCGTTCGAAATAGGCAGGTGAGGCTGCAGCACATGCATATGAAACTTAACGTATGTAACCAATATTTCTTCCATTTGACTGACAAAGAACAGACAACTGAGACCATTCATTATATTTGGTGAGAGTCCTGTAGCTTAGGGGTTAGAGCTCTCGCCTCGCAAGCGAGAGGACCCGGGCAGGGCGAAACGTTGGGCAAGTTTCCTTACTCCACACGTCTCTGTTCACCCAGCAATCAGTAGGAACCTGATTGCTCGTCGATTGGTGGATCGCTTTTCTGTGGGTAATAATTCGTTCAAAATAAATAAAAATAATTTGGTCACTCAATCCACGACTGTTTGTGGGACACTGCTGTGCCCAATTGGCTGCTGCCGCATTTCGCCCACAAAAGGTACATTCAATTCACTTTGGGACGTCCTCCCGACGTGAAAGGCGTTATACAATGTAATTTTGTTGTTTACAGTAAATTCTGTAAAGCGCTTTGAGATGGCTCAACGACGTGTTAAGGCGCTAACTTAAATGCAAGGATTATTATTATAATTGGATATGGATACATCATAAGAATCAAAAGAACTCAAAACTGTTTTAGTGGATGCATGTGAAGTAATCCAAACCCTTTAACAGGATATCCATTCCTGACCAAGGTAAGATCTGCGTTGAAAGTACAGTACATATTTATTATTGCAAATAATTATCGACGACGCGATAAGGTGCTATATCAAATGGAAGGATTATTATTATTACTAAATGCCTTCCGATAAAGTTCAGGACAACGGTGCCACATCTTGACATGCAGGTAAAGTAATCAAAGTGAATCATTTAAGCTTTCAGGATAACAGCTTAATTGAAAAACAAAAACTGTCAAAATTGTCTGACAAGTCTGCTCTGTCTTAAAAGTATCTTACGCAGCCCCTGCTAACAATCAACAGTGCTGACAGAAGATGGCGAAACACTTCATATCGCCATAGCGCAAGTTAAAAACAATGGTAATCCTATGGAAATACTTTCCCAATGCTTTATCTCAGCATTGTTCGCTGTGGTCTGAAACAACAACTCCAGGGACCGAATTCCAACGTGTTTTGACTTAAGGTAAATGCCTTAAAATTGTGATGGTGCGGAGTTTGGCAAAGCAATCTTAAACACAGTCTGAACTTGGAAGCCGATTTTCTGCAGTTCTTTTGTAGGGTGGCGGGAAAACAGCCTTAAAAATTAATATGGGATTTAAGATTGTTTTCAGAAATTTGGCACAATTCTAAGTTTTAATACAACGCTCTTAAGTCTAAGGTCTCAGGTTTCAGATAGCACCTAAACTACACCTGGTATCTGCTATCCCTTCTGCGAAAATCCCTCTCCAGAAAGAGCGAAGAACAAATACAAGTCAGTCGCAGGAACAACAACAACAACAAGATTGCATTTATAGAGCGCCTTTCACGTCGGGAGGACGTCCCGAGGCGCTGAAGGTAGGATGAGATGGCAATAGGGTTAAGTGGCGTCAGGCCAAAGAGTGAATTGCTATTCTTGGAGGACTGTGAAGACTTCCAGTTAAACGAACGTTTCTCCTCCTACCCTTCACATTCAGGGAGGCAGTGGTTTGCTGATCCCCAGAACCACGGCAATATTTCTCCGCATCTTCTGGTTTCAGGTCATGAACGACCAATTCAGCCACGGCACCTTCTCACCTGACTTCATATTTGCCATTTGCTTTGAATAGTTTCTGAGCCTCTCTTCCAGGTTACAGCTGCTTCAGATACAGAGAGAGTGCAGTGAAGAGTAGCAGTATTTCCTTCTGTGCTTCTCTATCCTAGAGATTTTGCCTCATAAGGACTGGAAGTGTGGAAGGTGAGATCTACAAGGTCACTCTCAAGACCCTCCTCATTGACCGTCCTTTCGGTCACTTACCCTTACCCTCAAACCCTCCTGATCCCAAACCCATGTTCAGGTCCAAACACCTGACCGTCCAGCTCCTTGGGACGTACTCCCGACGTGAAAGGCGTTATACAAACGTAATTGTTGTTATTTGTCAACTGTCTAAAGAACTTCAGCATTTAACACATTTCCAACCACCGTTATTATTACTGAAGTTACTCGACTACAACCGTCAAAAGTTATTGTGGGAAAACAAGGTCAATAATCCGCTTTATAATATATTCTGTGAAGCGCTTTGAGACGTCTCAACGATGATAAGGGGCTATATCAAACGCAAGGATTATTATTATTAGAATTTCCCCTCAGGAACCTACGTTTGTGAAGCAAATGCATTCAACAATTAATGAAAGTTATCTAACTATCCTGGAGAACGGAGAACCTTCCCACAAGGTGTCAAATGGGTCTCGTCGTAACCAAGAAATGTTCTAGTGGGTTTTACAATGGATTTAGCATTCCAGCTCTTCTGACAAACTACGAAGTACAAAGTAATCGTCGAGGTACCTTTGGATGTTTCTTCCACGGTCAGCTTGGCTGAGGAACTTTTCGAGCCGACTTTGAAGAGCACCGTTCCTGAATCCTTGGCCGTCAGGTTTCTCAGGATCAAGGTGTGCACCTTACCACAGACAGCAACTTCGTTCAGTTCATTCTTCTGGAGAGGCGTCCCGTCCAACCACCACTGAGCGTTTGAAACACCTTCCTGAGAAAGCTCGCATTCGAACCTCACACTGCTCTGTTCCGGCACTCTGGTGTCCTCGAGACCGCGAATAATTTTGGGATGTTCTGTAAAAGGAGATAAAGGATGAGATGATAACTCCTGCAGGTTAAAGTCAAACACGTAAGAATCCAATACTGCTTTTATACTCCTGCCCTGATCCTCTGTGTAGTGTCAAATCAGTCCATCTGCTTCCAATGAAGGCCAAGAGATCCTGTCTCTTGGAGTCCTGTAGCTCAGTGGTTAGAGCACTCACCTCGCAAGCGAGACACCTGGGTTCAATTCAAGGCAGGGCAAAACCTTGGGCAAGTTTCCTTACTCCACACACCTAATAATAATCCCTCCAAAACAATAATAAACTGGCCGTTTTCAATCCACGACTGTTTGTGAGCCGCTGCTGTGCGCAATTGGCTGCCGTGTATCGCCCATAAATATACGGTCAATTCACTTTACTTTATTGTGTGAAGCGCTTTGAGACGTCGAGAAGATGTGAAAAGCGCTATATCAAATGCAAGGATTATTATTGTTATTATTATAAGAGATAATAGAATGGCAGAACTGGCTCAAGGGGCTGAATGGCCTACTCCTGTTCCTATGTCCCTATAACTCAAGTACAGTGAATAATGATCTTTGCATTTGATACAGCGCCTCATCACGTCTTCGAGACTCTCAAAGCGCTTCGCAGGATATACTGTAAAGTGAATTGACTGCATATATTGGGCGAAAAGCGGCAGTCAATTGCGCACAGCAGTGTCCCCACAAACAGTCGTGGATTGAGTGGTGGATATGAATATTATTATTACTGCTTAAAATGTTCATGGATGAAAAATCCCAATCCTTGGCACCGACTGTTTCCCATTTACCTTTCACAATCAGCTCCGCAGAGGAGGCCAGACTCCCGACTCTAATGGTTACCGTGCCAGAGTCTTCCTGCGTGATCTTTCGTAACTTCAGCGTGTGCGTCTTCCCGTGTTCGAGCCCCACTTCGTTCATCTCGTTGTGCTGCAAGGGAATGCCTGCCAACCACCACTGCACATCCGCTGCATTTTCTGGATGGACCTCGCACTTGAACACGGCATCTTCGTTTTCAAATATTGTCACGTTCTGCAGCCCCTCGATGATCCTCACTTCCGACGCTATAGTAAAAGCAAAGCTAATAATCATCTACAGAAGTTAGTGAGCAAATATGAAGGCATTTGAGAGTGGTCTGCTTGTATGTATGTGTGTGTGTGTGTATAGGGGGTCACCTAAATGTGATCCAGTTATATTCAATGGTTGCAAAGGGCAAGTTCAGATCGCGCAAGGACGTTTCGCCCACAAAATACAGTCACTACACTTTACGGTGTATTCTGTGAAGCGCTTGGAGACGTCTCGAAGACGTGATAGGGCGCCGCATCAAATGCAAGGATTATTATTAAGTATTTATTAGCGTTGTCGTTGAGTCTGATTATTTCTTTTTCCCAACTTCAACACGCATTCGCTCTCACGAAAGGTGACATAATTGATATGTAAAGCGTCCAACTATTTTTTTTAATCATCAAGATGCAATTGAAGGTCCAGAAAGCAAATGGGTTCAAACCCCACGTTGGGACGCGAGATCTAGGCTGACGCTGCAGTGCATTACCGAGGCAACGCCGTGTTGTCAGAGGTCCCGTCCTTCGGATGTAATCCAAGATCTTTTAAGAGCCCCAAGTCACTAAAACACAGGAAGCAAAGGGAGTTTCTCGTTTGGCGTTGCACTCACGTTTCACGGTCAAGGAAGCTGCAGTGTGTTGGTCTCCAGAGCTGCAGGAATACTCTCCCGAATCCTCTGGTTTCAGGTCACGGATCACTAACGTGTGCGCAGCCCCTTCCCGTTTAATTTCAGTCTTCCCGCTCGGTTGGATTTTAATCGATCCTTTCTTCCACGTAACAGAAGCATCGGGCTGTGAGAGCTCACAGCGCAAAGTTGCCGTGTCGTTCTCCCCTGCGACTGTGTTTTGCAGTTGTAGTGTGAAACTTGCAGGAGTGGCTGAAAAAAACCAAAGTGACAGTAACAATCTTGGCGTTCGGCAAATGTGAGGCACTGAGAGAGGCAGCGCCCTTCACAAAACGCTGTGCGCAATTGGCTGCCGCGTCTCGCCCATGATATATACAGTCAATTTACTTTACAGTGTACTCTGTGAAGTGCTTTGAGACGTCTCAATAAGGCGCATATCAAATACAAGTATTATTATTATTAATTCAGACCGCAGCGTAAACTGGATCTACAGTGCGTGTCAGCCTGGCTCCAGTGATAATCCTCTCTCTTTCGCCTCTGGGAAAGACGTTTGGGGGTTCAAGCCCCTTGTTGGAAGTCACAGAGTCTTGGCTGACCCTCCAATGCGGAGCTGGGGATGTGCTGCGTCGATGAGGTGCTGCTCTTCAGTTGAGTCGTTGAACTGAGCCGCGAAGGGCACTTACACAGCGCCTCGGTTTAACCTCTCGCCGAAGCGGCGGCGGTGGGGGGGACATTCAAACAATTGCGGACACCACCAGCCCTGCATTGGAGTATAATTCCAGACTACACAAAGTCCTAACGTGGGGGCTTGAACCCTCAACCTTCTGACTCAAGAGGCCAGAGATGCCACCCACTGAGCCAGGGTCACTACCGAGAGATTAACATTAAGAGTTGCAGCTTTACCTTTTACTTTCAGTTCTGCCGTAGAAGTGTCTTTTCCAACCGTGAAGATCACGACACCGGAGTCATCCCACGTGACTTTCCTCAGCGTCAAGGTGTGAATGTTGCCACTCTTCACCGAAATCATATTCATTTCGTTATTCTGCAACTCGATTCCTCCCAGGCTCCACCGCACGTCGCCTGCACTCTCGTGGGAGACTCCGCACTCAAACAAGGCGTCCGCGCCCGCAAATACTTCCACGTCTTTCAAACCCTCCACAATTCTTATGTCTGGCTCTGGGAATACAAATCATACAGTCAGTGTGCCCAACGCCTGCAAGTGAATCCTCTTATGAAAGTGTCAAAGCTCTGACCGAATTTTTTATTGAAGGGATTATTACCCCCAGAAAGCATTCCCCCAATCGACCAACAACCGGGTTCCTACTTACTGCCGGTAAACACAGGCGTGTGTGTGGAGTAAGGAAACTTGCCCAGGGTTTCGCCCTGACCTGCCCGGGAATCGAACCTGGATCCTCTCGCTTGCGAGGCGAGCGCTCTAACCACTACGCTACAGGACGCCAATGACCCGCTGAGCGTTCCCAGCGACTTCTGTTTTTGGTAATTTTAAGAGATTGATTACTTAAGGTTAATGCCATGAGTTTTCGCGGGAGCCTCAAGTTGCCATTTGATCTTTCTCGATCGAAGCTCGGCTGTTGATAAAAGTAATCTTATTTAGATTCTGATGTCAGGAAGACTTAAAAGCAGGATTTATTTTGTTCCTTACGCGTGACCGCTAAGCAGGCAGTAGTTTGCTGGTCCCCAGAATCGCAGGTGTATTCTCCTGTGTCTCCTGGCGTCAAATTGTGGATAAGCAACTCCACAACGGAGCCTTTCTGGAGCATTTCATGCTTGTCGCTAGCGTGAAGCACCAGCTCTCCTCTCCTCCATTCCACCTGAGCCCCAGGTTTAGTCAGCTCGCAGCGCAGTCTGCCTGTGCCGCCTTCCTCTGCTTCCTCATTCTGAAGCCATTTCAGGAAAAGTACAGGCTGGGCTGCAGAGAGAAAAAGAAACTCGCAATGCAAATGTTGTGCTGTTACCAGAATAAGAAAACGTTTGCGCAAAGCAAAATATTTCAGATGCTGGAAATCGGAAACTTAAACAGAAGTCGCTGGGAACGCTCAGCAGCTCAGGCAGCATCTATGGAGAGAGAGAGGAAACTGAGTTCACATTTCGATGATGAAACGTTAACCCATTTTCCTCTCTCCTGTCTCCCCGAGTGTTCCCAGTGACTTTGGTTTTTATTTCAGAAAACGTTTATGTTCATCGGTCGAAAGATTAAAAAAAAACACACAGAAAGTTGAAAATATTTTTATCCATAAATATAAGTCGGCTCTTCGGTCTTGAGGGAAAACAATTCAAAGATGTGACCTCACCGAGCTGTCTAACCCTTTAAATGGGATCTTGGTCTTAAAAAGTAAATATAGGACAATTTCTAAGCATCCAAGCAACAATACGGATAGGTTTAGAGTTGCAAATCATAAGTTAAGGAGACACCAGGAAGGTTTTCTTTAACTAGAGTGTGTCATTAATCATCGAATCTAACAGCACAGAAGGAGGCCATTCGACCCATTGTGCCTTTGCCAGCTCTTTAAAAGAGCTACCAACTCGTCTTTCCCCACAACCTTGCAATTTTTTTTCTTTTTAAAATACTTGTCCAATCCCCTTCTGAAAGCTACTATCGGATCTGCTTCCACTCGCCTTTCAGGCCGTGTATACCAGATCCTAACAACTCTCTGGGTAAAAATGACTGGACCCAGTTGCCAGGAAGGATGGCTGAGGCCAGGACACTGGACTCACTTGAACAAGCAGCTTAAGTGACTAGCCACAAGCGATCAGTATTTGCTTGCCTCCAGCTAACGGCTTCCTCACCTTTCACGGTTAAGGAAGCTGTTGTCTGTTGACCCTCAGAAGAACAGGTGTAATTTCCCGAGTCTGTTGGTTCCAGGTTGTGAATCAGTAGCGTGTGTAGAGGGCCTTCCTGTTTCACTTTGTACTTCTTGTTTGACACGATTGCCAGTGACCCTTTGCTCCATGTAACCGCTCCACTGGGTTTAGAAAGCTCACATCGGAGGTTTGCTGTGCCATTCTCCTCGCCCTCTGTGTTCTGAAGTTCTTCTTTGAAGTACACTGGAGCACCTGAAACGACGCAGCAATATAAAATGATTAAACTTTCACTGATTATTTTTTAATATTATACAGCATAGCCATGATAGAGTTTCACCCTGCATAAGAAATTCAGTCTTACTTCCTGATTAATAATAATAATAATTGGGTCACTCAATCCACAACTGTGTGGGACACTTCTGTGCCCAATTGGCTGCTGTGTTCCACCCACAAAATACACAGTCAATTCGCTGCAAAGCACTTTAGAGACGTCTCAAATGTACCATTCGCAGCGTTCTGCCACATTTTGGGCAAAATTCTTCCCTGTTCTAAGTCACCGGGAGAAAACTCTGTCCCTTGCCTCTTCATTTATATGTCAGTTACCTTTTACAGTCAACTCTGCTGATGAAACATAAGGTCCGACTCGGAAGGTTACGATACCAGAGTCTTCTTCTGCGACTTTCCGCAGATGCAGCATATGAATCTTTCCACGTTCGACTGAGATCTCATTAAGCGAGCTGTTCTGGAGTGTGGCATATCCAAGTTTCCACTGCACGTCGCGTGCATTTTCATGAGAAATTTCACATTTAAACAAGGCATCTTCGTCTTCGAACACTTTAACATTCTTCAACTCCTCCACTATAGTGATGTCTGGCTCTAGCAATTCAGGAAAGATGACAAGAGGGTACAACTTCAGTTCTACGATGCCATTCAAGTAACTAATAAAAGACAAAATACTGCAGATCCTGGAAATCTGAAACAAAAACAGTAGTCGCTGGGAACGCTCAGCATATCAGGCAGCATCTATGGAGGAAAGAAAATGAGTTAACGTTTCAGGTCGATGTCCTTTCGAAACGTTAACTCACTTTCCTCTCTCCATAGATGCTGCCTGCTCTCAAGTAACTAATCTCTTGGCAACTCTAAAGGTAAATTAAAGATACTCATTAAGCGGTTGCATATGTAAATTAAACACAGACAAAATATTCGGTGAAACGCTTGGAGGCATCTCAATGACATGATAAGGTGCGATATCAAATGTAAAAATGATTATTATATGTTTATAATTTCTGCATGGAAGCACTGGGAGAGAGAGCGCATTAAATTCCAACAATCTTATCTCTAATGAAAAGAACAGCATTCAACAGGTAAGAAACAAGAAACAAACTTATGTTCATCCACTCAACAGAAATATGCAACACCAAGAATAAAAGCACCAACTTTGGTCTTTGTTTCACAAAATCAATCTCAATTAACTATCAGAGAAAAGATTATGATAGAGGGGTAACGATGCAACAAAAAACAGAACACGAACACCAAGGTCAGTTACGATTAACAAACACGAGGTTGAAGAAGAATCAGTGAAGAACAGGAGACGCAAGGGGGGGTGGGGGAAGGAAGGAAAACAGGAGGTGAATGGGGGAAGACGTATTAAATTGTGTTTAATTTTTCCACCGTTAACTGTTCCTACCATTAACTTTCAAGTCAGCTACGGTCTGCTGATCCCCAGAGTCACACACGTATTCTCCAGCGTCTTCTGTTTTCAAATTGTGGATCGACAACTCAACAAAGACACCGACTTGAGTGATTTCATACTTGTGGCTGGGCTGAAGAACTACAGCTCCCTTCCTCCAACGCACTGGGGCGCCAGGTTTAGTCAGTTCACAATGAAACGTGACTGTGTCGCCCTCTTCAGCTTCTTCGCTGTGCAGCTCTTGTTTGAAGAACACAGGTAAAGCTGGATAATGTACAAAGACAATTTATGTGAACAACTTAAAAGAGATTTCAAGAAATTCTCGTGATCATTGTCCTCATCCTCAAAGCCCTCTTGCTCCGACCGACCTTCGTAACATCCTAAAGCCCTACCGAACTGTCCGCTCCCTCCACCAGAAGGCAGAGACAGCGTTTTTCTCTCTCTCTACTCCATCGAAACCCCTCACCGGTTTAAAGACCTCCACCAACGAAGGGGAGTAAATTCAGAACAAATCCGCGGAAGTTTGTGAGCGAGTTAGGAACAGGCTCCCTAGGGAGACGGTGGAAGCAGAAAGTGTTGTTTGTTTCGAGAACAAATTAGATTAGATTTCTGCTAGAAAATAATATCCAGGGATACAGGGTATAGTTTGGGACAGGTCATGTTAAACGACTGTCAGGATGGTGGAAAGCAAACTAGATGAACCTTGGGTCTTCTTTCGCAGGCACATTCTTACTTTCTTATTACGTCTTCCCTCTACCTCGATTTCCAATGCAAGAATACCTTCTTTCTTACCATTTACTTTAAGAGAAGCAGTGGTTTGTTGATCCCCAGAATCACATGTATATTCCCCAGCGTCTTCTGGTTCCACACTCGTGATGAACAGTTCCACAATCGCACCCTCTTGCTTCATTTGATATTTGCCACAAGGTATAAGCGCCACTGACCCCTTTCTCCATTCCACTGTGGCGTTGGCTTTAGTGAGCTCGCAGTGCAGTGTGGCTGTGCCACCCTCCCTCACTTCCTCTTTCTGAAGCTCGTGTTTGAAAAGCACTGGCAAAGCTGAGAAATATTAATTCAAGGAAACGTTATCAGACGACAATCATGGGCTCTGCTAGCCTACCTTACAATTTCGGAGTGACGTTTGCCTACAAAATATAATCGCTTTACATTTATTATAGCGCTTTCCATGTCGGGAGAATGCCTCAAAGTGGTTCACAGAGCCGAGCTGGGGGCGGGAGGAACTGAGGGGGAGAAGGTTGACCAATACACACAGCCAGTTCGCCTTACACTCAATGCTGTGAATGTCTGAAAACGTGCGACATTCACCCGATGCGAAAGGCGCTGTCTCAAATGCAAGGATTTATCTTTATGTATTCTGGTAGCATCACAACTCCAGCGTTTCCTTTCCAGCTTTTACTGCTGTCCTCTGGGCCACTGAAGTGTTAGCAAATCCGAGGCTTGCTTTCAGTTTATAGATTTCCAAAAAAATGATCCTTTGATAGGATCTCAGCATGTGCTTAGCTAAGGTAAGGATATCAAACGTATGAAGGGAAATAAATGCTTGAAGAATTCAGGGTCTTAAAATGTTGAAACATAATGCGGAATCATATCAATACCCAGTGTGATTACCTAGAAGCTAAATTCGGGAGGTTTAGTGCGATAATACAGGATGGACTGTATGTGAACTTAAATTATGCAATAAATCCTTGAGAAGTGAAAGTATTACTGGATGAGGGAAAAAATACCAGGGGAATGGGATTAAAAGATATGTCATGGTATAATAGCCAAACAAGCTCGATGTGACTAACACACGACTCCTTTGTGCTCAGAGGCCATTCAACCAATTGAACTTTTGGTGAAAAGGTTTGCGATAAAGTTAATTAATAAGGCATGAAAACCTATGCAAGTTTACAGTAGTTACAGATCATTTTTAAAATGTGTCCATAAAAGTAAAACAGATAAAAAATGTCCCAAAGCAAATGTAAAACTCATGGCGTCTTCTCCAACAGGGAGGCAAGATACACATATATAACCAGCCGCTGAATGAGGAGTAAGGCAAGTATAACATGACCAGTGCGGATTAGATGATGAACTTGTAAAGTCTTTCCTTCCTACCATTTACTCTGAGAAAGGCGGAGGTCTGGTGATCTCTTGTAAAACAAGTGTAATCTCCAGTGTCTTCAACTCCCAGCCTGCGGATCAATAACTCGACGCAGGGACCTTTCTGTTTCATTTCATATTTGTCCCCGGCTTCGAGTACCGCAGAGCCCTGCCTCCACTCCACTGGAACATCAGCTTTGGTCAACTGGCAGAGCAGCGTCACTGTGTCCCCTTCCTCCGCTTCTCGGTTCTGAAGCTCTTGTTTGAAGAGCACAGGCAAGGCTGCGTGATTTAGGGTGACAAACGCACAGCCACGTTAGGATAAGAAAGAACCAGGCTGAAACGTGCATCGGAGAACACAGCTCTTTTCAACTGTTTGGGATCTCAGGCAGGATTTCTCGAAGGGGTTCAATGTATGGTTTTGAACTGTACATTAGTACTTGATGGACAAAATAAGGAACTGCCCCAAAGCAAAGTTAGAACCTAGTTAAGCCCAGATCTGCTTGGACCCCTGCTATCGTGAACCATGTTGTAAGCAGGGACACCCAGTTTCCAGCAGTTGCTGGCATTATAACAGAGTTGTTCGCCCACAAAACGATCCACTTTACAGTACATTCTGTGAAGCGCTTTGAGACGTCAAGAAGACGTGATAAGGCGCTATATCAAATGCAAGGATTATTATTATATTATTACCCTGGTACATTTATTACCTCACTAAGCACACCTGTCTACACACAGAATGTGCAGTTCAACTGACACAGTTTACAATGCAATAACTTAACTTCAAACAAATAAGAAATGAATTACCGATGCCCCAGAGTACTGCTAGAACCTGCACTTGATAAAAGCACGGTAACCTTTACTATGTTGCTGGATATAGATATGACTGTCGAGTATGAAATGCACAATTCACAGTCCTGCTATTGTCAAAAATCGCTTAAGAGAGGAAATAACTTCCATCGGAACCTCACAGGTTGACAATGACAAGGGTTTAAACGGCCTGTGTCAGTGGTGGCCAACCTTTACGGTCAGCCAACCAAATAAATGTTTCTTTGTTGTATTTTTCTTCGTCGATGGCCGTGTCGTGGTTATCACTGCTCGGCAGCTACTGGTCGATCGCAAACGAACGGTTGGGAGATCCCGGCACCACATAAATATGAATCTCTTACCCTTCACTTTCAAGGAGGCAGAGCTCTGCCGATCTCCAGAGTCACACCTGTAGCCTCCCGCGTCTTCTAGCGTCAGGTTGTGTATAAGTAACTCAACATGGCAGCCCTTTTGCCTCATTTCATACTTGTCACTTGAGTGAAGCCCCACAGATCCCTTCCTCCATGTCACTGGGGCGTCAGGTTTGGTAACTTCACAGCTCAGGGCGGCCGTACCATCCTCTTCAGCCTCTACGTTCTGAAGCTCTTGTTTGAAAAGCACTGGCAGGGCTGAGGGAGACAGCAAACGTACTTGACTTAAGATTAGTTAACATTCATCAAACGTAGCAGCCAGTTTCTGAACAACCGGACAGAATAACCAATGAGATAATAATAATCCTTGCATTTGATAAGAGAGCCTTTCACCTCGGGGGTTTGTGAAAGGTGCTATATCAAATGCAAGGATTATTATTATGATTATTATTCCTGTGATGAAAATTTGCAATGATAGAACGACGATGAGTAACTGTGTTGTCCTACCTTTGACTTTCAACGCAGCGGAGCTCTGCCGGTCCCCAGTATCGCAGGTGTAGTCTCCGGCATCTTCCAGCTTCAGCTTGTGAATTAGTAACTCAACCCTGGACCCTTTCTGCTTTATTTCATACTTGTCGCTTGAGTGAAGCCCCACAGATCCCTTCCTCCATGTCACTGGGGCGTCAGGTTTGGTAACCTCACAGCTCAGGGCGGCCGTACCATCCTCTTCAGCCTCTACATTCTGAAGCTCTCGTTTGAAAAGCGCTGGCAGGGCTGAGGGAGATAGTGATTCAACTTGTGATAACAGATATCTCCATCAGTTGCTGAATTCAATTCACTTCAAATCCGCTGTAAGGAATTCCTGTGGAATAAGCTATAGCCCCACTTGTATCCTCAATTCTATCTACGTAATTGTTTCTGAATGTGTTTCACATTGTTAGAGGTTAAATCGGGCATCTGTTACACTGAGATGTCGATCTTAACAGTGAAAAAGGAAGATTGCCTTTCTCTGTTGATTCTCCTTCATTCTTCAAATCAAAGGTATGTTCACTAGAGTTAAACTATTACCCCCCCTCGGCGTTAGACAACAATAACTTGCATTTATATAGCGCCCTGCAGGGCAACAGCTTGCAACGCTTAACATTGGCGGAGCCTAAAACCGAGCCATTGGGAGGAAGTAAGGTGACCGTAAGCAAGGTCTAAATGGAAGTTCATGATCTAATAAAGGGGAAAGAGTTGGGCAAGGAAGAGGGATTGAGGGAGCTACTTCCAAAGCTTCGGGGTGTAGTGTAGTGGCTGAAAGTGCGACCACCGATGGTGGAGCGGAGGGGACGAGGGACAAACAGGTGGCCAGAGCCAACCGAGGGGAGGCGGCGGGTAGTGGAGTGGGGAGAGAGGTTCAGAAAGGCCGGGAGGTGCCTGGGAGTGAAGGGATTTTTAGACGAGTGAGAGAATCTTGAAATCGATCCGTTATGTGACAAGGAGCCAGTGGAGCCTGGCGAAGACTGGCATGGTGGGGGAACAGAGACTAGTGTATCAATGAAACATCATTCAATGTGCCTTTCATATTAGCCAACAAAACGCATTCCCACTTTAAAGTATTTCCTGTGAGGGCTTTGAGACGTCCTCCCGACATGAAAGGCTCGACACCAAATGTAAGGATTAATCATTATTTAACCCTTAAATCAGTCCCCCAAGGCTGGGAGGCACTCCATGATGTGTGGAGGATGTTGAAAATGAAGAAGAAAGAGCGTTAAGATTCAGGGCTGCCGAAGGAATCCACACAGAAAGATTGATGGATAATAAGAAGGATTTTCTGTGCACTCGTTAACATATAGTTGAATAAAAACAAAGGGCAAATCCATGATAAATGACACTGAATTATGAGTAACTAGCTGTACCTGTTGCAGCTTCGCTGGAATGGAATGTAGATTGACACACACACACAAGGCACACTTACTTATCCTTGAAAGGTTTAATTTTTGCTGAGACATCTTCCTAACGATCAATATGAATGTAGGATTTCTAATCTTTGGGACGCCCTCCCGACGTGAAAGGGGCTTTAAAAATGTAATTTTGTTGTTGCCGTGGCTTAGCCTCGTCTGTGTTCTTTATTTTGTTCCCTCCGCTGCTTGACTACGTGCAGGCTGTGTGTTGCAGGATGCCACAGTGCCACAGTCAGCCGGGGCGAGCAACAGGTGTAACTGCTGTGCGTGAGTATATACGTAGGTGCTCTATGACGCCCGATGACGCAGCGCCACTTTATCTCGGCGGCCACCAAGTGTAGCGAAAAATGCAAAACTGAAATTTTAGGTCATAACTCATGAACGATAGGAGATGCCCGAAAACAAATATGCCTATGGCACTCTCAAGTGCAAGACCTTTAACGTCTATACGTCAATTGATTATTTAGTTCTCTCTTGAAACGCAGACAGACAGACAGACAGACAGACAGTTGTTTTATATAGAAGACAGAAAATAGATAGATGACTGTTGTCCTACCCTTCACTTTCAACGCAGCAGAGCTCTGCCGGTCCCCAGTATCACAGGTGTAGTCTCCGGCATCTTCCAGCTTCAGCTTGTGAATAAGTAACTCAACTTTGGATCCTTTCTGCTTCATTTCATACTTATCGCTTGAGTGAAGCCCCACAGATCCCTTCCTCCATGTCACTGGGGCGTCAGGTTTGGTAACCTCACAGCTCAGGGCGGCCGTACCATCCTCTTCAGCCTCTACGTTCTGAAGCTCTCGTTTGAAAAGCGCTGGCAGGGCTGAGGGAGACAGGAATTTAGTTCACAACGATACAGCGTTCAAACAATCATAGAAGTGCCTTGTGACCTCCTCCCGACTTGAAAGGCGCTATACAAATGTAATCTTGTTGTTGTTGTAAAAGAGATTTCTGACAGTCCGTGAACATCCAAAAGAGCAAGAGGTAATGAGAAAGAAAATGATGGGTAATGCAGTTGATGATTTCTGTGAAAAACGATACGATGAGAACAATGTAATTTTACTGAGTAATATTGATGGTTGTCCTACCTTTGACTTTCAACGCAGCAGAGCTCTGCCGGTCCCCAGTATCGCAGGTGTAGTCTCCGGCATCTTCCAGCTTCAGCTTGTGAATTAGTAACTCAACTCTGGACCCTTTCTGCTTCATTTCATACTTGTCACTTGAGTGAAGCCCCACAGACCCCTTCCTCCATGTCACTGGGGCGTCAGGTTTGGTAACCTCACAGCTCAGGGCGGCCGTACCATCCTCTTCAGCCTCTACGTTCTGAAGCTCTCGTTTGAAAAGCACTGGCAGGGCTGAGGGAGACAGGAATTTATTTCACAATGATACAATAACAACAACAAGATTAGATCTTGTATAGCGCCTTTCACATCGGGAGGATGTCCCAAGGCGCTGGACAGTGTGCAGCATTTCAGACCCGAGCTGGGGTCAGGGGGGAGAAGGGAGAGGAGGGGAAGGCGCTGGCAGGGCTGAGGGAGACAGACACACAGTTTATTTCTAATTCGGTGGATTTTACTAATTAGCCAAACCTGATTGATTCAGATGGTCAAAGAGGAGGGTCTTGATGAGGGACTTGAAGGAGGCTAAGGAGGGGGCGAGGCGGAGTGATTGGGGGATGGAATTCCAGAGGTTTGGGGCAGAGTGGCTGAAGGCTCTCCCGCCAATGGTGGGGCGGATGGGTCGGGGAACGTGGAGCAGCCAGAGCCGGCTGAGCGGAGGGAACGGGCGGATTGGTTAGGGGGTTAGAAGATCGCAGAGGTAGGGTGGGGAGAGACCTTGGATGGCTTTGTAGGTGAGAACCAGGATCTTGAACTGGATCCTCTGAAGGATAGAGAGACAATGGAGTCGGGCGAGAGTGGGGGAGATGGGGTCACGGAGTTTGGTGCGGGAGAGGACACGGGCTGCAGAGTTCTGGATTATCTGCAGCCTGTGGAGGGAGGAGTTGGGAAGGCCGACAGGCAGGGCGTTTGCATATTCGAGCCTGGAGGTGATGAAGGCATGAACAAGATTGGAAGCACAAAAGTGGATACAGCCTTCAAATAAACATAAAAGAGATTTCTGACAGTCCGTGAACATCCAAAAGAGCAAGAGGTAATGAGAAAGAAAATGATGGATAATGGAGTTGATGATTTCCGTGAAAAACGATAAGATGAAAACAATGAAATTTTACTGAGTAATATTATGTTGTCCTACCTTTGACTTTCAACGTAGCAGAGCTCTGCCGGTCCCCAGTATCACAGGTGTAGTCTCCGGCATCTTCCAGCTTCAGCTTGTGAATAAGTAACTCAACTCTGGATCCTTTCTGCTTCATTTCATACTTGTCGCTTGAGTGAAGCCCCACAGATCCCTTCCTCCATGTCACTGGGGCGTCAGGTTTAGTAACCTCACAGCTCAGGGCGGCCGTACTGTCCTCTTCAGCCTCTACATTCTGAAGCTCTCGTTTGAAAAGCGCTGGCAGGGCTGAGGGAGACAGACACACAGTTTATTTCTAATTCGGTGGATTTTACTAATTAGCCAAACCTGATTGATTCAGATGGCAGGGCTGAGAGAAACAATAATTTTACTTCTGTAGAATGGCAGAACTGTTCGAGGGGCTGTTTCTACGTTTCTAAATAATACTCTGGCTAACCTACACAAGTAACATCCCACAAACAGCAAGGAATGACCGATTAATCCCGTTGTATGGGGAATGAATTTGGATTAGGGGCAATATTGACCAGAACTCTGTGTTCTTTGAAACAGAATCATGAATACTTTAAGCTTCCAAGTTGTTTAATTCCTCATTCGAAACATCTTGCACCACGGTGCTGGGTTTGATGCACGTCATGTTGTGACACAAGAATTGGAGTTGTTTTGGGTCAGATGGGTATCTGACACATGCAGAAACCCATTGCCATGTTTAGGAATATCCTAACCACCTGGCCAGCCATTGCCAACACTATCTGGCAAGCTTCGCCTGCTTGTCCAGCTGGGACCACCGATAGGGTTTTACGCTCTGGCTTGCAAGATTAATAATAGTCAAGTGGGAAGAATCCCTGACCCCCAGTGACTAGTTTTGCACTCTTAGATCCGCTTGAGTCTAGTATTCAGTTGCCAGACAGATCACCTTGGAGGCAGCCTGAGCTCCACGCCAAAGTTACCCCTCTTACCTTCTCTTACCCACACACACACACCCACTACCACATACACACATGCACACGCAGAGACACACATCAAAGAGGAGAGTCAAGAATTAGAACAATAAATCTGCGCGAATTAAGAAGGTGGATTGTCAGTAAGAGGAGAATCACCAATGATAGAGTTACGGTGAATATTGATGGTTGTCCTACCTTTGACTTTCAACGTAGCAGAGCTCTGCCGGTCCCCAGTATCACAGGTGTAGTCTCCGGCATCTTCCAGCTTCAGCTTGTGAATAAGTAACTCAACTCTGGATCCTTTCTGCTTCATTCCGTACTTGTCACTTGAGTGAAGTCCCACAGATCCCTTCCTCCATGTCACTGGGGCGTCAGGTTTGGTAACCTCACAGCTCAGGGCGGCCGTACTGTCCTCTTCAGCCTCTACGTTCTGAAGTTCTCGTTTGAAAAGCACTGGCAGGGCTGAGGGAGATAGTGACTTTATTTCTCGAGACACAAATGACCCAAAAATGATATCTATAAACAACACACACATATTTCTAGGCAAACCTGCTGGAAGAAATGTGTTCCGGATATACCGTCAAGTTTAAATCCTGCTATTCTCACTGCTGAAAAGAGTTAATAATTCTTTTGATTGCCTTTATTCACCAATGCCACGCAGTGCATAAATTAGACATGATACGGCGCTCTATCAAATACAAGGATTATTATTATTATTATTAACCGAAGCGCTACAGCAAATCCAATGAACCGCCATGAGCCATCTTTGCGAACTGTTCAAATTTAGGAAAGGAGAACGTATCTAAAACGCCCAATTCACTTGCGGATGCTGGATATTGGCAGTTCCCATTTGGATCATGCACAACCTGCGTTTGCAAAATGTAACTCCTTTAATGCCCGATGAGATCTTGCATTGGTGCTGGAACAGCAGTGTGTGTGTGTGTGTGGTACCCTCAGTCTGAAACAATATCTCCACGTTCAGCTTACTGTTGAATTCTCTTACCAAATCTAATGTCGCTGAACATCTTATTGCAACGAGCAGTACTGATCTGAATACAAACCCGCACTGTGACCAAACTCATCTTCCCACCAAGATCCCGATTAAAATAAAGTGACCCTCAACACCCTATGTTATGGTGAAAATCATTAAGGATATAATTATACTGAGGACCGATAGTTGACTTACCCTTCACTTTCAATGTTGCAGTGCTCTGCTGATCTCCTGTATCGCAGGTGTAGTCTCCAGCATCTTCCAGTGTTAGCTTCTGTATAACCAACTCAACGCTGCAACCTTTCAGCTTCATTTTATGCTTGTTGCTTGAATGAAGCCCCACAGATCCCTTCTTCCATGTCACTGGGGCGTCAGGTTTGGTCACCTCACAGGTCAAGGTGGCCGTGCCATCCTCCTCAGCCTCTACGTTCTGAAGCTCTCGTTTGAAAAGCACTGGCAGGGCTGAGGGCGTGAGGAATTTTATTTATATTACAATTTGCTCAAGGTCAAAACGTGACAATGACTTCTGCACATCTAAGTATAATTCCACTGAGTACAATCTGTCATCGATGATTACTTATGATAACTGAGAATGGATACGTCAGCATACAGGTGTTCCAGAATAACAAAGGAACCAGACGTCAACAATTTATTTTTTTAAGTAAAATTTCTTTCCTCATCAGTGGACATTCAAGCCCTTTAAGTACTGCAGCACAGTTGCAGACATCTTTCATCTACATCGTTGTGTTCAGTAGTTTATTTACATCAATAATATGGGAGTAAAGGTCCATATGAAGAAAGGGAAATAACACTATAAGGGCTTATATTAAATGCAAGGATTATTATTATTAGTATCTGTGTCCCCTCCCTCTTGCTTGGCATTCAATTGCAAGAAATAGAGATGGCCAACACACAGTACCTTTGACTTTTAGGGAGCCAGTGGTCTGCTGGTCTCCAGAATCACAGGTGTAATCTCCAGCATCCTTTAGTTTCAGGTTGTGAATAACTAACTCAATGCAAGAACCTTTTTGCTCCATTTCATATTTGTCACCCGGGGTAAGCAGCAGAGACCCCCTCCGCCATTTCACTAGGGCGTCGGGCTTAGTAATCTCACAGTGCAGAGTGGCGGTGCCGTTCTCTTCAGCTTCCACTGTCTGAAGCTCTTCTTTGAAAAGCACTGGCAGAACTAAAGGAAGACAGTAATACAATTCAGAACGATCTAGGTTTCAGTTTGTGCATCATAGGTTGCAAAAATAAACCTAACCGACACTGTGAATACCAAAACACAATATAAATCACTATATAAATGCAAGTGGGTGTTTTTGTGGTATTGTCAGAAGTGCCATCCTTCAGATCAGACATTAAACTGAAGTCTCGTCTGGCTGTCCTGGTGAACGATGAAGATCCCATGGCGCTATTCGAAAAGAGAAGGAAGCTTCTCTCTCCCAGTGTCCGGCCAACAAACCCCCAAATAAATTAGTCAATCATTTCACAGCTGTTGCTGTGCGCAATTGGCACAGTCATTCCTGTGGGAAATTTTGAGACGTATTGACAAAGTGATAAGGTGCAGTATCAAATGCAAATATTATTAAATGTGAATACAGTACAGAAAATATACATTAATAAAAATTTAACACTGGAAAAGCAGGGTAACCGTTGTGTTTTATGTGCTGGGTGAAGACGGTGGTAAATCTTTTAAGATGAAAATTCACGAGATTCAATTACTACCCCTTAGAACATCCTTCCACCGTGAAAGGCGCTGTATATATTTGCTGCCGCATTTCGCCCACAAAAATAGAGTCACTACACTTCACAGTATATATCCTGCGAAGCGCTTTGAGATGTCTCGACGACGTGTTAAGGCACTGTATAAAATGCAAGGATTATTATTATATAAATGCAAATTGTTGCCGTACGAAAAAGATTGTTGTCCTACCTTTCACTTTTAAGGTTGCAGTGGACTTTTTATCGCCTGTGTCGCACGTATATTCTCCAGTGTCTCCTGGCTTTAGGTCACGGATAAGCAATTCAACGCTAGCGCCTTTTTGCTTCATTTCGTGTTTGTCACTTGAGTGGAGCAGAACCGATCCCTTTTTCCATTTCACTGGGGCATCGGCTTTGGTCACCTCGCAGCGCAGTGTTACGGTATTTCCTTCCTGAGCCTCCTCATTCTGAAGCTCCGTTTTGAAAAGCACTGGCAGAGCTGAGGGAGACAGTCTTTTCAGTATTTAGCTCAAGATGACCTCCCTTGGAGGTATTCTGGAAACTATTAGGTCCGAGGCTGGTGAGAACCAAAGCTTAGGGTGTATGTTGAGATACTGCTGGGAGTTTAACCAGTTAAAACCGCATATTTACTCACCTCAGCTGTCTCGCTTCTCCATCTGCAGACAACTTGTCCGCAAAACATGCAGTGAATTCACTTTACAGTACATTCTGTGAAGCGCTTTGAGACGTCTCGAAGATGTGATGAGGCGCCGTATCAAATGCAAGGATTATTATTTATATTATTATCTGGAAATCCCAGCGAAAGTAAGACAAAGTTGAAACGCTTTAAAAACACTGATTTTCCAAAACACTGATTGTCCAGCGCCTTGGGACGTCCTCCCGACGTGAAAAGGCGCTATTCAAATGTAATTTTGTGGTTCTTGTTGTATCGACTCAAAATTAAACTACCCACATACAAGCACAGGAGAGCTGACCTTGCTCGTGACAGTTTAGAGACAATCTTGAGAATTACGAGTAAGAAACCTAATAGAGATTGAATGAAAACAGGTGATGAACTGTTGTCTTACCTTTCACTTTCAACGAGGCTGTGGTTTGCTCGTCCCCAGAATCACAGGTATATTCTCCTGCGTCTTCAAGCTTTAGGTCGTGAATAATCAACTCAACCGTGGAGCCTTTCTGCTTCAGTTCATACTTGTCACTGAGCTGAAGTACCACAGATCCTTTCTTCCACTTGACCGGGGCGTCAGGTTTAGTGATTACGCAGTTCAATGAGGCGTCACTTCCCTCTTTACTTTCCTTATTCTGAAGCTTCTTCTTAAAAAGCACCGGAAGGGCTAATAGAGGGGGAAAAAAAATAAGGTCAATCTAAATGTATTGCTGTTGAATCCATAATTTCTTCTGTTGATAATAAAATCCTTGCATTTGATGGCGTGGGTTACAGCTCTGCCACAAATAGCAATTCCGTGTGAAACAGAAAATGGGGAACAAAACAATACAAAATTGCATAGCGCCTTTCACGTCAGGAGGACGTTCCAAGGCTCTGGAACATCTCTGGATCTCCTCGGTCACACATCTGCGGTCAGGACTTCAGCCTCTCTGCACCCCCACCCTTTGGAACTCCATCCCACAGTCCCTTCGCCTCGCTCCCTCCTTTACCTCCTTCAGGCACATCTCAAGACGCTCCTCTTCGACCGCAACTACGGTCATCCTCCTATCCCCACCCTCCCCCCGCCCCTCCTGACCCCAACTCCCAGTCTGGGTCCAAATCTCTGACGGTCCAGCACCTTGGGACGTCCTCCTGGCGTGGAAGTACCAGGGGATAGGATGGTCAGCCTGGTGTTGGCAATCGAAGTGAGAAATGGTCATGGTTCTAATGTGCATTTAATTCCTACCGTTAACTTTCAAGGAACCCGTGGTCTGTTGATCTCCGGTGTCGCAGGTGTATCGCCCACTATCTTCAGGCTTTAGGCTGTGGATTAGCAGCTCGACGACGGGACCCTTTTGCTTCATTTCGTATTTGTCACTGGCACAAAGGACGGTGGATTCCTTTCTCCACACCACTGCGGTGTCGTCTCTGCTTATTTCACATCTCAGTGTGGCGGTCACACCCTCCTGCGCCTCCTCATTCTGAAGTCCTTTCTTGAAGGTTGTTGGCAAGGCTGATTGGGGACGGGATTAAAAACAGCATTGCCGTTAATAAACTCCTAGCCTCTTTTCATTTGACATGAAAGGTAAGATGTTTGGAGACTGCAAAAGGTACAGACTGTATCCTATTGTGGATATTGACCTCAAAATGGAACGAAATGTCTTGTTATCCAAAGCTTTCAAAATTTGGGTGAAGTAAGGAAGTGATGATGAATCTTTAGTACAAAGACTTTGGTGAGCCACAGCTAAGGTCGCAGGATGGAACAAAATATCAGCAGTGGCTGTTGGAGCACTATTGACTGGAGCGTTTAAATTACCAGTGAGGCATGTGTGGAAAAGGGTATTTGAGGGTATACGGAAAGAGCAGAGAATCGGGATCAGAATTGATGGCTTCATTAGAAGAGCAGAACATCAACACTAATATAATTTGCATGTGTGGAATAAAGCAAGAGAGATAATTATATGCATTTCACTTCCAAGTAATCACCCCTATATGAAATACAGCTGTGGTTAAACCTGTAGTGAACTGAGTTAGCAAGTGTCTCTCGAAGTAAAATATGAATACACAGCAATAAAAAAAACACATGCAGTTAATCAATACTGATGGTCACACATTGCTGGAAATTGAAGGAGTCCAGGAATAAAATACACATTAAATGGTACAGTTGTGCTGGAAAGCCATCAGCTTTGGTAAATAAGGTAAATACGGCACAACGTTCCTTCAATTGTAGAATAAACCATTGAAGACTGTTGAAGAAATGTTGATAAGACTACAAATCAAAAGGTTATCTTATTGCCATAGAAAACATTAGCCGGGACAACCATCTGAAAGTAGCTGTCCAGTTATTGCCCAAGATACTATGTTTTTTTTTAAGCCGAACAAAAAAAAAAAATCAACCAACATTGCTTGAGGTATCGGAAATTTACATTAAGAGAAACAATGCAATAAGGTATTGATTGCTCCCCTGGGAAAGACTGGAAGACTTTAATATAAACCAACAGAAGAAATTCACTTGCCCCTTTTGCAGAGTCTTGTGGAGGATAATGGAAAGACAGTTGGACATATGGGAAATTTGATTCAATAGACTGAAAGCCAATACACATCTGATAGTCAGGTTGAAGAGTTTTAAGTCTTTTAAGCAGACAGACACTGATGTAGGTTTAAAAATTTTGGTTCACAGCAAACATAAATAAATATGTAGGTATAATAGTCACAGATTATTTTGCCCACGTGGCCACTTTACTAATCTTTACTCGCCCGTTAAAAATAAAAATGAAAATTTTACAAATCCTCTATCCTGGTTAGCTCATAAGACGTTAGCTCAAATGAACAAAAGGACTAAAATGATTTACCGAGTGAATGAAACAAAAATCAAATGACGTAATCAATTGTGACTGATCGAGGATTTAGTTCACCAGCTTGAAATTTGTGTGTGGTTCCTCAAGTAGAATTTGGGTTAGGCTAAGTGAGGTTTAGACATGCTGGTAAATTTTAGATTAACTGAATACACTATGCAAGCCTTGTCCGGTGTCTTGGCTAGACAACATTAAAACCGTTGTATCCTGTCACATTGATCACAACAACAATAGGGGGGGGCGGGGGGTGAAAGAAAGGTGCTGGATAAAATGCAAGGATTATTATTAATAATAATTATTCGTGCCGGTCGGTAACTATGCTACTAAAAAAAGTTTAAAAAAAGACAATAAAAACAGATATACTCGCACATAGACCATGCGATTTAATTTGCGGTATTCTTTAAACCAGATTCGTTTGAATTCCCATCGACACGGGAACACCGCTCTGGAAGTACACCGTATTGGAGCAGGATGACGTACTTCCCATTCAGGCAATAACACTTAAGAAATACCGCAAATTAGACGAAGGAAACGTACTCGAATGAAAAACAACTGAAGCACCCTGGTTTTGATTGGGACACACACAAGCACAACACGCTTTGTGAGGTGTGACAGGACACGTAATATTAATATTGTCGAACTTTGGGTAATTAGTAAAATTGTGGAATAACCAATCGTTACTGCACAGGGGTAAACACTACCTCATGAGCAAACGTCTTCCTTACCAGTCACTGTGACAATAGATTTAGTGCTCGATGCTTCAGTCTGGCATTCATATGTTCCAGCGTCCTTCTGCTCAGCTTTACAAACAGTCAATCTGGCATCATTTCCAGAACGACTGATTCTATGTTTGGACGTATTTTTCAAAAGCTTTCCATCCTTAAACCACTTAACGAGACATTCTGATTTAGACGTTTCACAGCACAAGGTGACATCCGCTCCTTCAATGACAGCAGTAAATTCTGCCAGTTCTTTTGTTACGGTTGGTGGTTTCTCTAAAACAATATGAACACAGGTTGGCTTTTAACTTTGTAACATGTCCAGTGGGTTGCACTTACCCAGCTGGACCGAAGAGGTGTGTTGTTTTAGTTTATTTGTGAAGGATGAGTACACAGCCGGGAAGATGTATAAAAATAACCCTTGCGCTTGATGTAGCACCTTATCACGTCTCAAAGCGCTTCACAGAAACACTGTAAAGTGAATTGACTGTATATTTTGTGGGCGAAACACAACAGCCATTTGCACAGAGCAGCGTCCCACAAACAGTTGTGGATTGAGTGACCAAATTATTATTTTTTCAATGGGATTACTTCCGCCGGAACGTGATGCGCCAATCGACTAACAACTGGGTTCCTACTTATTGCTAGATAAGCTGAGGCGTAAGGAAACTTGTCTAAGGTTTTGCCTCGACAGGGAATCAAGCACGGGTCTTCTCACTTGCGAGGCGAGTGCTCTGACCAATACGCTACAGGAAATCCGTAGCTGGTTAGACTCCAGCAGTTACCCCAACGCACAGCTCCCCCCGAGTCTTGCCTCTTGCCAACCTGCGCCTAATACTTTCCAGAATTAGGTAAGCGGGGTGTCCCTCCGGGGAGAGAGTGAGAATCCCATTCCAACAATCTATCTCTGGGATTTCCATGTGTAGTGGGAGGCGGGGAATTCTCAGTTTGGTTTGGAGACGCTTAAGCAACGGTGATGGGTTTCCACACGGCTGACCAAAACAAAACATGCTTTTATACACTGCTCTATTGTGAAGACGCTATATGTTATATGGAAAGTTTGCTTGGGTTATTTTTTTTTGGGGGTGGGGGTTGGGGTGGTGGGGGGTGGGGAGAGCGGAGGAAATTACCTTTCACTGTCAAGGCAGCAGAGGTTTTCTGATCTCCGGCATCAAATGTGATAGTACCAGAATCTTTTACTGAGAGTTTTTTAACAGTTAGAGTGTGATAGCCACCTTCCAGTGACTTGATTTCATTCACATCATTTGTGTGAAGAGGTGTCTTATCCAAGAACCACTGTACACTGTCATAATCTGACGGTGAAATCTTGCACTTAAATGTCGCGGATTGACCTTCGAGAACGTCAACATCTTCAAGATCTTCGAGAATTCGGACTTTGCGACCTGTAAGCATCACATAAGAGTTGCACATTTTGTTTTTCGACGGGTGTGAGAATGTGCTAGCGCTGTTTTGGATTTCACCAATACGACGTCTGAATTTAGCTCGGACTGAAACTGTGGAAAATTCTCCCACGCTCTGAATGATATTTAGCACTGTAAGCCTCGAGTTGTAATTCTAGCGGTTCTGGAATCGAGGGTGGAGGCAGAGAGATAGTATTGGGTGTCATCCTTGTATGTGTGGAAGTCGGACTAGCAGCAGGAAGCTTTCCGGACAGTACTCTCAACGTAAAGCAATACGGCCTTAGCTGGTTCTACTCCAGCAGTACCCCAATACGCGCTCTGCAGTTTAGGTAATTCTGGAGAGTTTTAGGCGTAGGTTAGCAAGCGCCAAGGTTTGGGTAGTTAGGCGTTCCCTCCACAGAGAGAGTGAGCATTCCATTCCAGACAAAGAAAAAGTTTGATATGTTTGCGTCACCTATACGTGGATCTCTTGGTCTGGTATGAGTTTCTGCATGTTTCAGACTTCCAGCTATCCAAAGAAAAAAGAAAAATGCAGCTCTGGGACTTCGCTGATAGCACAGTGAAATAGGTAAACCACAAGAACAGGAAGGGCCAAGGTTTGATTTTCAATCTGCATTGGGTTAAGCAACATCAGAAATGATGGCAATTGATGTATTGAAACTGGCCTCATGTCACGAGCAAAGAGAACATTAACCAGGGCTCCCTCTGTTGAATATGAATAGGTTTCAGCAATCCTGTAATGGAGGTAAGAGTGTGTGGATGTCACTGAGAACCACAAGGAACTCAGCTTTGATGCCCATTACAGTTTAACAGCCTGTTGACATTCACTGAGTGGTCCATTCATATGGAGTTACACAGAGTGACAGAACACAGCACGACCCAACGAGACCATCTGAATGATTGTACTCCACACAAGTCCCGCTCCTCCTATTTCCCTCACCCCTCACTCCCCTACTGCCTCCTCTCTCGTGTATGCATCAATTTTTCTCTTAAATGCATTGAAGCAATTTGTTTTCATCACAGCTTTTGACGGTGAGTTCCATATTCTGAGCACCCTCTATCCTCTAAACTCCCGTTGCCCCATTAGTCATAATCATTATTATTACTGGTTATTCATACCTTCTAGTGTTGGACTCACCAACATAAATAACTCATTAATAATAATAATAACTAATTGGGCAAAGTATCCGAGAGCACCAGCCTGTGGAATTGTAACCTTGCAGCAAGCAACAACAACAACAACAACTTGCATTTCTGTCATGCCATTCATGCAGGGGGAAATGTCTCGGAGCGCTTAACAGTGACAGAGCCTGACGGCGAGCCGGGGGAGAGATGACCGTAAGCACGGTCGAAAATGAAGGGATTCAGTCATGATAGCAAAAGAGAGGAAGGAGCGGGCGAGGCGGAGGGAGGGATTGGGGAGAGAGTTCCAAAGATTCGGGGCGTGGTGGCTGAAGGCCGACAAATGTCAGCGGGATGGGAGGGAAGGAGAGAAATCAAAGTGACGTTAAAAAAAAGAAAAGATTTCAAACCTGTTACTGTGAGATGAGCTCCTGATTTTGCATTCCCAATATCGCACGTGTAGTGGTCACTGTCACTCCTTTCTAACTGGTTGATGGTCAGGCTGTGTAAGGTCCCGACTTGTTTGATCTCATATTTCTGATTGGCCTTGAGCTCCACCATCCCCTTCCTCCAAATGACCTTCGAGGTCGGCTGCGCTGTTTTACACTCAAAAACAGCCACTCCCTTCTCTTCAGTCTTAACGTCACGTAGTTCCTCAGTCAATCGGTTTACTAGTTCTGAAATTGAAGTGCAAATACAGGCAATACGTGTCATCAATAATAATAATAATAATCATCCGTGCATTTGATGCAGCGCCTCATCACGTCTTCGAGACGTCTCAAAGCGCTTCACAGAATACACTGTAAAGTGGCTGTATATTTTATGGGCGACACTCGGTAACTAATTGTGCACAGCAGTGTCCCACAAACAATCGTGGATTGGGTGACAAAATTATTATTATTATCAATTCATATTTCAGAAGCATATATAATAAACGTATCTGACCTACACTTCACGCCCTACCTTGATTTGCCTACAAAATAGTCAGCGCGCTTTAAAGTACTGGCATAGCAGACGGAAAAATTGGAAATATTTGAAATGTTTACCGGTGATGGAAACTTTAGCTGTAGTTTTAGAAGCCTCGGCCCCACACGTATACTCTCCCGCATCCTTCGTGGTGGTTTGATGGATGATTAACGTGTTCTCATTTCCACTCTGAGATATCTCGTACTTCTGACTCTTTCGGATTGCTTTGCCGTCCTTAAACCATTTGACTGCAGAGACGGGTTTGGAGGCCTCGCAGCTCAGTACAATGTCTTCTCCCTCTACGGCCACCACATTCTCAAGCTGCTTTGTAATTTCTGCTGGTTTTTCTGAAAGGTGATAATAATCCTTATTTATTTATAAATTAATAATAATAAAAAATATTATTAATACGTCCATTTGATACAGCACCTTATCACGTCACCGAGACGTCTCAAAGCGCTTCACAGGATATACTTTAAAGTAGATCGACTGTGTATTTGGTGTGCAAAACGCGGCAACTAATTGCGCACAGCAGCCCACAAACAGCCATGGAATGAATGACTAATTTTATGTGGGGTGTTGTTAGCCAGGACACCAGGAGAACACCCCCACCACTTCTTTTCACATGGGATCTTTAATAGGCAGAGGGGACATCAGGTTAACGCCTCATCCGAACCGACAATCCAACACCTCCAAAGCCCTTCGAGGAAGCTCTTAGTGGGAGTCGAAGGGATGGGTGGGGTGGACAGATGAATGAAAGCGAGGTCAAAGGGGTATGTTTTGTGACGTTCTGAAGGGAGGGAGGGAAGGAGTTGGAAAAGACTCCAGGATGGCACAGGACACCCATTCAAAACCGCTGCAGAATCACTTTACCTTTCACAATCAATGAGGCCTTCGAGCTGAGGCTCCGCACATTGAAAACCACTTCTCCCGCATCCGTAAGACCCACTTCCTTAACGTTCAGCATGTATTTCCGGCCAATGTTGAATGCTTGAAATCGTTCATTGCCTTCCACTGGCTGGCCGTTTACAGTCCAGTAATACTCATCCACGCTCTCGTGAGAGAGAATACATTCGAAAGACCCGCTTTCTCCTTCCTTAACCTCCGTGCTCTTTAGCCGTTTCGTGATCCCTATGTTCAGCTCTGCACCAAAATAACCATGTCAGTGAGACACAAATCAACATTGTCACAACACGAGCACAACGAGGGTGTAACACTAGCTGGTGATTTGAGTCCCAGACTTAAACAGATTCAAGAGACACGTTCTATATTCTCTCCGCCTTGCCCCCGCCTCCCCCATCTTCCCGGTCATGCCCGAACGCCTTCCTCTTCAACCGGCCTTAAAGTCACCGCCCCTCTCCCCCACCCCACCTCCAACTCGGCATCCTGCTCCGCCACTCTCAAACACTCTTGAGACGCTGAAACAACCACTTGGATTTATATAGCGACCTCCATGGCGGACGGCGTCTCAGAATGCTTTACCTGTGCGAGGGGGAAGTTGTTGTTGTTGTTCCTATTTACTTAGAGATAAATTGAGTGTATTCTTTAAAAGCATTTGCTGCTCTGTGTTCAGATACCAGGTGCGCTCGAATTTATAGGATCAGGAAACATTAATTATGGCCAGAAAAATAGAAATTGGGTCAATGTGAAATAATATACAGCTGATACAATACACACAGTCAACTGTGTGTTTTGTGGGTGAAACTCGGCAGCCAATTGCGCACAGCAGCGTCGCACAAACAGTTGTGAATCGAATCACCAATTTTATTTTGAGGGATTATTATCCCCGGAAAGCAATCGCGACTCGACTAACAACCGGGTTGCTGCTCACTGCTAAGTAACCTGCGGAGTGAGGAAACTTGTGTAAGGTTTCGCACCACCCAAGAATTGAACCCGGTAAGAACATAAGATTTGCTGGGAAAGAAGACCAACGTCCATCTAGTTCGCCTTCCCCCATCCTGTCAGTCGCTTGACATGTCACGTCACAAATTATGTACGGTATCCTGAGATATTATTTTCTAGCAGAAACCTATCTAATTTGTTCTTGAACAGCAAATGGACATTTTCTGCTTCCACCGTCTGTCTCCCAAGGGAATTTTCGAAGCCTGAGCTCAAAACTGTACTAAAATAACGTGCATACCTTGGATGGTAACCTTGGCGCTGGCTGTGTCACTGCCTACATCACAGGTATATATTCCAGCATCGCTTTTGTTCAAGTCGTGGACTATAAGGCACAATGTCTTTCCAGCGTGCAGCAGCTCATATTTATCGCTTGATCCAAGGACCACCTCATCTTTTTTCCAGACAGGATTCACTTTGGGTTTAGAGACCTCACACTCCAGTGTGATCATTCCTCGCTCATCCCCATTGGCATCGTCCAATGATTTCATGAAAACCACTGGCTTTTCTACATTAAGGTACATAGAGATAAATTCATTTGAACATGTAACTAACTCACTGAAGAAAACGGCATCTGTGTGTTGAAAGAAAAATAATAATAAACATTGCATTTGATGTGGCTGCTTATCACGCCTTTGAGACGTCTCAAAACACTTCACAGAATATACTGTAAAGTGAATTGATTGGATGTTTTGTGGATGGAACACGCAGCCAATTACGCACAGCGAGGTTCAGTTAGTTTTGCAATTTGCATTTAAATCCCACGGCACTCAATGCTGGTGACAGCACAGCTCAGCCTTGGCTCATCGGCAGGTCCTGGAAGGGCCGACCAGTCACTCGGGGCAGGGAATTCTCCCCCTCAGCTCCTGTTAACCCTGCAGCCAAAGCCCTAACGGGTAGGGTGATCCCAGCTGGACAAGCAGTGGAAAAGTTTGCCAGACAGCAATATCAATGGCAAGCTATGTGTGGTTTTAGCTGGTTAGACTCCAGCAGTTATTCCAACACGCACCCTGGGCTCCCCAAGTCTTGGCTCTTGCAAATGCGCCTAATACTTTCCGGGAATTAGGCAAGTAGGATGCTTCCCTCCAGGGAGAGAGAGAGAGAGTGCACATTCCATTAATCGATCTCTGGAATTCCCATGTGTACGTGGGATGCATGGAATTCTCAGTTTGGTTTGGGTGGGTTTCCGCACGTGATTTGTATTTATGAGATTACAGAACATTTGCTTTGAAATATACTCGACAGCAACTGAGTCCAGGTAGTTTGCCCACACGAGTATCCTTTTCTCTCTAAACAGGCAATCGAGGGTTTGCTTGCTTGCTTACCTTGAACTTTCAGCTGTGCTGTTTCTGTCACATCTCTCACTTTCAATTTAACTGTTCCCGTGTCATCAGGAGTGACCCCTTTCAGAATTAGCTTGTGTGTCTTTCCTGCTTTCTGTATCTCATTGAAGTTATTGGAGAACAAGGTAGTATCATTTAGGTACCACTGAACTTCCTCGTCATCATGAGACAGCTCGCATGAAAATACCAGATTGCTTTCCTCCATAGTCTCCACATCTTCCAGATGTTTCACAATTTCTATTTTTCTGGCTGTAATTACAAGTTTTGATATTGACAATTAATTATCATTTCTTGCCTTAAATATACATCATAGAAAAAATAATAATAATAATGCTTACATTTGATATAAAATGCTTTTCACGTTAGGACGTCTCAAAGCACTACGCAGGATATCATGTGAAGTGTAATGATTATGTATTTTTGGTAGGCAAAGGTAACAATAATCCTTGCATCTCATATAGTGCCTAATACTTGAGACACCTCAAAGCATCTCACAGAATATATTGTAAAGTGGATATCAGACAAACAACACAGATTGTGAGGAGTGAGTCTTACCTTCCACGATGAGTGCCCCTGAGGTCTTGGCGTTATTCGACTGGCAGCTGTACTCGCCGGAGTCTTCTGTCCTGAGGTTTATAATGGTGAGTTCGATCACGTTCTTATCTTGGCGGATTTTGTATCTGTCGGACGACTCGATCAGACTCTGGTCCTTGTACCACCTGACCATCTTGGGAGCAGGTGTAAACTCACAGCTCAGAGTAGTAGAAGTCTTCTCCTCGGCCCGAATATTCTTAAGCTCTCGAACTACCTTTGCTGGAGGCTCTGAAATGCAATTATAAATATTGATAATCGTCCTTATGTTTGATATAGCGCCGTTCACGCCATGAGGGCATCTCAAAGTATATAACAGGTGACACTGTGTAAGGTGACACTCCAGTGGAGCGCTGGGGGAATGCTGTTCAGGCGGATGTTAAAAATCCCATGCCACCTGTCGAAAAGAGAAGTGAGTTTCTCCCAGTGACTGGTCCAAAATCCCACAGATAAAACAGGTCACTCACTTCATGCCTGTGTCTGGGACATCGGGCAAGTTAGCTGCCCATGCTCACCTATAAACTCACAGCCATTACAGTGAACAGTATAGCCTGTGAAGCACTTTGAGACCGTTTGAATGTGTTACAAGGTGGTATATGTAAGGATTATAATGCTATTATATTTACTGTAAAGTTTTATGGCTATTTATATCTGGGTGAATTATGTGTGATTTTATGATTTATTCTGTAAATGCATTCTGGTACAGAGTGAAGAAAAACATATTTTCACTGATTTCAGTGCACTAAATGGTCACGATGGATTAAATGGCCTCCTCGTGTTCCTTTGTCAGATTGCAGTACGTTTATAATAATAATACTTGCATTTGATATATCACATCATCAAGACATCTCAATGCACTTCACGGAATATACCGTACAGCGGAGGTGACTGTGTATTTTGTGGGCGAAATGCATCAGCCAGTTTGCGCACAGCAATGTCCCACAAACAGCCATGGAGTAAGTGACCAATTTTATCGGCGGGGATTGTTGGTTAAGACACTGAGAGAGAGAGAGAGAGAGAGAGAAAGAGAGAGAGAACTCCCTTTTTTTTCCCCGAGTTGTGCCCTGGGAGTCTTCACCATCCACCTGAACAGGCAGACAGGACCTGGGATGCTAATTTGGATGCTAATTGTTATAGGTTTGGAAACCATCGACAGTGAAAGCTGTGGACATGAGAGGTCTGAATACCTTTAATTGTCAGCCTGGCCTCAGATTTTGATTTGCCTGCAGTGAACTGCACCAGGCCAGTCATCTTGCAGTCTGTCTTCTTCAGAATCAGGCGGTGAAGGGTGCCCTCGTGCTCAATGACAATGTCTTCAGCGGCACGAAGAAGTTCACCATTCAGGGTCCATTTAGGAGGCTTCACTTCCGCAACTGAAAGCTCACATTCGTACCTGGCCTCACTTGGTTCTGTTACCTCTGCATCGCAGATCTGTTTTACAATGGCTATTGCTTGCTCTGCAAAAGTAAAATGCAAAACATTTGCACACGTACAGTTAATCTACAATAATAATCCTTGCATTTGATATAGCACCTTATCACGTCTTCAAGACGTCTCAAAGCGTCACTGATGACCTAGCGGTAAGTAGGGACCTGAATGTTAGTCAATGGGCAGACCACTTTCCGGGGTACCATTCCTTCAAAAATAATAATAATTTGGTCACACAATCCACGACTGTTTGTGGGGACGCTGCTGTGCGCAATTTGCTGCCGCGCTTCTCCCACAAAATACACAGTCGATTCACTTTACAGTATAATCTGTGAAGCGCTTTGAGACATCTCAAAGACATGAAAAGGCGCTGTATTATTATTATAATTATTACCTCTTGGACTCTGTTCATGGTCACCTCTCCCTCCCCTTTTCCCTCGGAGGTCCAACCCTGCTACCGTGCACGCTATACTGTGCGCCGGTCACTATGTAAATGCAAGTTGTTGTTGGAAGCCAGTAGTCGACAGTTCATAGAAAGATCATGATTACCTTCTACGTTTAGCTGTGCTGTGGTTTTGTCATCGATAGCATCACAAGCGTAGCTGCCTTCATCTTCGAAAGCCACGTTATTGATGACAAGCTTCCTGTACACGTCTTCACTCACGACCTCAAACTTCTTACTGGGGAGAATCTCTTTTCCTTTGCGATACCACTTGACTGTAGCATTGGCCCTGGAAACCTTACATTCCAAAACCACACGATGTTTCTCCATGGCAATCTTCTCTCGCAAAGGTTTGACAAATTTAACTGGCAATTCTGAAACGGAGATAAAGACAAATGGTTTTGTACCTAAAGTACAAACATGTGAGATCCACGACTGTTTGTCGGACGCTGCTGTGCGCGATTGGCTGCCGCGTTTCATCCACAAAATATGAAGTCAATTCACTTCACAGTATATTCTGTGAAGCGCTTTGAGACGTCTCAACGACTTGATAAGGTGCCATATCAAATGCAAGCATTATTATTATATCAGCATTACATTATATTATTACTAGTCAAGAGTTTATTGATGTAGTTAGACCTCTTCTCTCCAAATAAACCAAGACTCCATGGGTTAAAGAATACACGGTATCAGCCAGATGTCTTCTTTTTACCCTTAAGACATGTATTTCTTTAATCGTTGCTGGTACAGGATGTGATCTTACCTTTTATTCGAAGACAAGCCATGGAAACAGCGCTCTCAGCCACAAATTTGATCTCAGCAGCATCTTCAGCTTTTACTGATTTAAAAAGCAAAATATAGGTCCTTCCTGCATGTAAACATTAAACACATTGGATTTTAGCCTTCTGCGACCTTCAAATTTACTGGCAGACCTGAGGCTCAAAAGTCCTCGTATTTAATGCCCATCTTATGATCACTGTTCCCCTCAGCTCCCACCCCCAGCTCATGAATGAACTTTCAGACATCCTCCCGACACGAAAGGCGCTGTTGAAATGTAAATTGTATTGTCTTGTGTACAATTCAAGACCATGTAATATTTTGGGGAATTTATCAGCATTTGAGTTTGAATACTCTGGTTTTAAGGTTAAGATAATTCGATATCCAGGTGTGAATATTGTATTGGAAATTGACAAAAGTCTCATCTCTAACCAGCCCTGGAAACTCTAAACTTTTTTTATTATTGTTACCTTTTCATCGGCTGCAACAACTTTAATAAGTTGGTTCCCACCTTCCAAAGTGGGTGTGAGCAGTTGGAAGAAAAAGGAAACGTCAGTGGAAGCTTTGTGAATGGAAATAGCTTTTTTTGAACAATTGAAAACCGGCTGGGACAAAGGAATAGGTGGAAACAGTACATTGTAAAGATTAATTAATGCCCGACTCAGTAACTGGACTTCCAAGACGGCCACAAAGGGTGGATTTGATTCCCAATATTCCATTATCAGGCACAGAAGCCAAGAAGACATGCGTGCTTCTCCCCCCCATAGCGTACAGGTAACGTTATTTAAATGCAAGACATGAGAACAAAAAAACTACAGTATGTCAATCAGAATCTGTAGATAAAGTTCCCACAACAGATCATCCAACAACATTCCAATTGGAAAGGCTTCAAGAAATGAAACAAAGCCAAAATTAATCTGAAAAAGCCGCATTTCACTCTACCTTCCTGACGCATTTTCACGTTTTCCCCAGCCTTCACTTTGACATCGTTCTTAAACCACTGAATGTTGACCTCGTCGTGTGAGATTTCACACACGAATGCAGCGCTCTCCTTTTCAATCACTTCAAGGTCTTTCAAGGCTTTGATAATTTTGATGTCACGAGCTGACAAAGCAAAGTGAAACACTCAACAACGTGTCTGTGTTACATTGATAGTGTGACTTGTTTTTAAAAACTTTGCAAGAATAAAAGAGAAGGCAAATCTTTATCTGCTTTGACCGTGCTTTCGGTCATCATCCCACCTCCACCCCCGTTGCCCTCTATCCCCTCGACTCCAACCCCCAGCTCGGGTGCAAACCCTCGACTGCCCAGGCATCTTGGGACATCTTCCCGATGCGAAAAGCACTACATAAATGCCAAAATATTTTTTTTTTAAAAATTATTGGCCACTTCAATCCACGACTGTTTGTGGGGACGCTGCTGTGCGCAATTGGCTGCCGTGTTTCACCCAGAAAATATACAGTCAGCTCACTTTACAGTAAATTCTGTGAAGAGCTTTGAGTCGTCTCTGAGACTTGACAAGAATCTATATCAAATCCGCACAGCCAATTGCGCACAGCGGTGTCCCACAAACAGTCGTGGATTCAGTGACCACATTTTTTTAATAAAGGGATTATTACTCCTGGAAATGCGATCCACCAAAAGTGTAAATGATGCTTTGTCTTACAATCATGAAACACATACCATGGACAGTCAGGGTGGCTGAGGACTTGTTATCCACTGCATCACAAGTGAATTGGCCTTGGTTTTCATATCCGCACTTCTGAATTATAAGACTCTTCTTCCTTCCTTTGGAGAAAATGCTGTATCCTTTTCCCGGCTTAATCTCCACATCATCCTGCAGAAGAATGAAGGGTAATGGTGATGCATCAGCTGATTTTCAGCAGGAATTCATTTAAAACTTAAGTACCAAAGAGTTGAGATAAGATGGAGGAAAAAAGACGACAGAAAGGTTGAGAATGAGTTCCAGCTTGAAAATAAGGAATATCAGATCTGCAGTTGTATGTCTCTCCAAAGGTTCATGTGGTTTGGGATGTTAGTGGAGTGCCTCACAGAAGGAATAATAATAATTCTTACATTTGATACAGCGCCTTATCACATCTTCGAAACATCTCAAAGCGCTTCACAGGATATATTGTGACGTGTAGTGACTGTGCATATTTGTGGGCGAAACGCGGAAGCCAATTGCCTCACAAAAGGCAATATTGGTAACAGAGAGGGGATAAACTAAGGATTGTTATGGGAAGGTTTCCTGTGTCAGAAATCAAAGGGATGAACCTACAGAGTTGTGCCTGTGATGTCTCCTTTTCATCATATCGCTTTAGCTCTCCTGCTCTTGTTTTTTTTAACCATCTTTCTCTTCCTTCTCTTTACCCTTCTTTCTCCCATTTCTTTCTCTTTCCTCCCACCTTTCCTCCAATAATGAAATGAATTTCCTCTGGTGACTTTTACCTTGAACCATTTAACATCCACAGTAGACCTGGAGAGTTCACATTCAAAGATGACTTTCTCTTTTTCTGGAACTTTGATGTCTTCTAAAGCTTTGGTAAAATTCACAGGGAGCTCTGTTAAAAAAAACACATACCGAAAGTATAAGAAAAGCAAACAAAGGAATGAAATGCTAACAAATTTAAAGCACAGGAAGGTTGATTTTAGGGAATACCTATTCAGACCACCAACAAGAGGGTAAATAATAATTCTTGCATTTGATATACCGTCAAAACTTTTTTTGCAGATATTTGCTATCAAAAGACTGCGTATTTGTGGAAAAATGCAGAAGCCGGTTTGCACGCAGGAAAGTCTCACAAACAGTAAATGATCTATATATCTGGAACATTGTTAGCCGGGTCAACGGATCTCTTTCGCCACACTTTCAGTCATCTATCCCTTCCCCACTCTCTTCGGCTCCCACCTGCATGAACAGATAAGCGCTCTGAAATGTCCTCCCAACTTGAAAGTTGCTATCTAAGTGTAAACTGTATCTTTAACATCCACCTAACAAACAAGACAGGAATTCGGTTTAACACTTCATCAGTAGGATGATCTCCCCCCAGAACTTCACTGAAGTGTCAGGCTGGACGATGAGCAGTGCAGGTTCTAAAGTGCAGCTTGAACTCACAATTTTCTGACCCAGAGTTGAAAATGCAACCGACTGAACCAGACAGACATCTAAAGGTTCCCTTTTGTGGAGTCCTGTAGGGTTCGATTCCCGGGCAGGGCGAAACGTTAGGTAACTTTCCTTACTCCACACGCCTCTGTTTAGCTAGCAGGAAGTAGGAACCTGGTTGTTAGTCGATTGGCGGATCGCTTTCCACGGGTAACTATCTCTTCCAAAAAAAATTAAATTATTATTAAATGGTCACTCAACCCACAACTGTTTGTGGGACGCTGCTGTGTGCAATTCGCTGCCGCATTTCGCCCACAAAATACACAGTCAATCCACTTTACAATATATTCCGTGAATCGCTTTGAGACGTCTCGACGACTTGATAAGGCGCTGTATCAAACGCTAGGTCTGTCTTTCAATGTTTGTGCTCCAGTGTGGCTACATTTTGCTTACAGCACATTTCAGAAGCAAATATGGCAGCAGACGCTGACTGGCAGAATAATTCAGTCATTTTCTCATCCACCGGATGTGAAAAAAAATATTTCAGAGTCAAAAAAACATCCGACGTTTGAATCTCCAAAAGTAAATGCAAGGTTAGTCCTGTAGCTCAGTGGTTAGAGTACTCGCTTTGCGAGCGAGAGACCTGAGTTCAATCCCAGGCAGAGGGCGAAACCTTAGGCAAGTTTCCTTACTCCACACAGAGCCTAATAATAATCCCTCCAAAAAACCAAAAAACAATAATAAATTGGTCATTTTCAATCTACGACTGTTTGTGGGACATTGCTGTGTGCAATTGGCTGCCGCGTTCGCCCACAAATATACAGTCAATTCACTTTACAGTGTGTTCTGTGAAGCGCTTTGGGACGTCCTCTCGACGTGAAAAGCGCTATATCAAAATGCAAGGATTATTATTATTATTATATTATTATAGTATAGAGTATGTGTTTGGTGTAGGGTTTACCTGTTACAACAAGCTTTCCAGATGTACGTATCTCTTCTGCCTGGAAACTGATCTGCCCTGAGTCTTCAATCTTCAAAGCAGATAAGGTCAGTGCATGCTTTTTGCCCAATGTGGTGGTTCTACAATTGGGTCCAGGTTTCACTCTTATACTGTCCTTTAACCAGGTGCCTTCCACATCCTCATGGGACAACTCAACTTCAAAAGTGCACGTTTCTTTCTCATGCACCTTCACCTCCTCCAACTTTTTAATCAGCTGGATTTTTCTCACTGAATGAATAAATTAAAGCGATTAACATTCCAACCAGGAAATTATTTCTAAGGCAACAACAACAATTTACAGTTTGTATAGCGCCTTTCCCAACAGGAGGGCGTCCCGAGGCAATGTAAACAACAGTGAAAGTTTCACCCACAAAATATACAGTCAATTCACTTTACAGTATATTCTGTGAACGGCTTTGAGATGTGCTGACTACGGTGATAAACTACTCTGTCAAATGCAAGGATTATTATTATAATTAATAGATTGTACAATAGAAAGAAAGATGAGAGTCCATGACTTTTCCTATAATGAGAGCTCACTAGGGATGAGAATTCCACTGCTTAGTAAAGTTACCGATCTTGAAAGGCGCTATAGAAATGTAATTTGTCATTATAATTTTATCACTCCCTCCTCTTGGCAGACCCCGGCTGTTTCAGGTCCCTCGCACTTCCCGCCCCACCATTGGTGGTCGGGCATTCAGCCTCTCTGCCTCCACCCTCTGGAACTCTATCCCGCAATCCCTCCGCCTCACCTCCTCTCTTGCCTCCTTCAAATCCCATCTGAAGAACCTTCCTCTTCGACCGTGCCTTCGGCCGCCACCCCCACCCCCTCTGCCGTCCTCCCCTTCTGATCCCAATTCCCAGCTCGGATCCAACACCCCTGATTGTCCAGCGCCCTGGGATGTCTTTCCTATGTGAAGGGCGTTACACAAGCGTCATTTGTTGTTGTTATAATGTGATACTTACTTTCAACGCTCAGTTTGGCCTTTGTCTTTTCATGAAGTGTCTCACAGGAGTAAAATCCACGGTCAGCAAAGCTCACATTTTTGATGGTAAGCGTCTGTTTGCTGCCGTCGACCTTTATGTCTACGTTCCCATCGGGCTGAATGACAACGTTGTTTTTTATCCATTTCACTTCGCTACATGGTTTGGTGAGCTCCACTTCGAAGACGGCATTCTGCTTTTCTTCAACAGTCATGTTCTCCAGCTTCTTTTTAAACAAGACCGGAGCTTCTGTTACAATAAAATAACACAAGATTGGTTCAGATGAAGAAAGCCCTGCAGCGTATCTGATCTCATCCTTCCATCGCTTAGAGTAGTGGTTAGAGCGCTCGCCTCGCAAGCGAGAGGATCTGGGTTCAATTCCCGTGCGGGGTGAAAGCTTAGGCAAGTTTCCTTACTCCACACGTTTATCTAGCAGTAAGTAGGAACTCAGCTGTTAGTTGATTGGCGAATCGCTTTCCAGGGATGATAATAATCCCACAAAAGGAATTTGGTCACTCAATCCACGACTGTTTGTGGCACACTGCTGGAGTCACAAAATCCCAGGAAAGTCCAGTCCTACCTGGGTGCACAGCACTTTCCTTACAAGACATCTCTTTTAAGAGTGAACCATTACGTTAATAATCTGTGTATTGTATTAATCAAGGTGCTTGCTACAAAACCGTTTCCTTTCATAATCATTTCTCACCTTGAACCTGCAAGGCGGCTGTTGTTTTTGCATTTTCAACTTGTGCAGAAATTTCACATGCATCGTCCAGTGCGAGCTTTGTGATGGTCAGACCGCGGTTCATTCCTTCGCATGATACGAGGTCCTTCTTACTTGGCTCAATCTTCACTCCGTTCCTGTGCCAAGTGACTGCGGCCTCCTCGTGAGAAACACTGCATTTAAAGATGGCGTCCTCTCCTTCCACAGCCACCACACTGTGGAGTTCACTTGTAAACTTAATAATCTTTGGAGCTGCTCAGAGTGAAACAAATTGCATTGATGATCAATCTTGTCTTTACAACTAGTAACATGTACACAACACACATTCACACACTCCACCAACAAAATGTACCATCGCAGTCTCTTGTGTCAATTTTGCTCAATTTGGAGCACTCTCCCCTTTGGATCAGTTGGTTTAAGATCCTTGAGTTTAAAATGGCTTGTCCTCACCTTTAAATGGGGGGTGAGGGAGAGGGAATCTTTTGAAACCTTTATGTGAAAATATAAATTAAAAAATCAAGGGAGTAGTATTACCTTTACTGGTCACTTTAGCTGTCGTAACGTCATCCTTTGATTCGCACAAATACTCCCCCTCGTCCTCAGCAGTAATGCCAGTGATTGTTAACCTTCGTTTGTGACCCTCTGACTGTATTTTTAATCTGCGGCTCGGTTTGATTTCAATTCCATTTCGTCGCCACAGAACGTCACCCTTCACTTGGTTTAATTCGCATGTGAGCACAACTGTATCGTTGATCAATGCATTTACGCTTTGTAGTTTCTCTTTGAACAGAAGAGGCAACTCTGCAAAGAAAACAAACTGTTATAATACATAAAATCTGCGCATCAGCCTGGTTCAGTGGTAGCACTCTTGCCCCACATCGGGACTTGGTACCATTATCGTCTGGGCTAACGCTCCTATGCACGACCGGGGTGGGGTGGGGGATGCCATCCTCCAGATTAGATATTAAACCGAGGTCCTGTCTGACTGTCCAGGTGAACGTTAAAGATCCCATGGCACTGTTCAAAAATGAAGCAAAAATGTCTGGCCAACAATCCACCCCAGTTAAAAAAATTGTTCACTCACTCCATGATTGTTTGTCGGACACTGCTGTGCGCAAATTGGCTGCCATGTTTGTCCACAAAACGCACAGCCATATCCAGCTTACACTTTATAGTGGATCCTGTGAAGCCTTGTCACGTCTCAACAACATGATAAGGCTCTACATCAAACATGAATTTGCCCTGCATCAAACGCGAAAGCCAATTTGCACACAGCAGTGTCCCACAAACATCCATGACGTGAGTGAGTGACCAATCTTATCTTTTAAATCTGAGGGATGTGTGTTTGAAAAGGGAATTTCCCTTGGTGTCCTGGCCAATATGTCCTGGCACCAGATTTTAAATGACCAAAAACTAGTGGTAGTTACTGCCACGTGAAGTGAATTCTTTGGTGTCAAATACGGAAGCTATTTGCACCGGTAAAAGTCCCACAAACAGCTATTGCACATTATAGCTGTATAGTTACTGACCTGTGACCTTGATGTGGAATGTCAGTTTCTCTCCAGCTGCCTCACAGACGTATTCACCTCCATCCTTGGACTCCACGCTCTGAACGACAAGTTTTCGAGTTTTGCCCTCGGATTCCATTTTGATTTTCTTACTGATCGTCAGCGCTTTGCCATCTTTGAACCACTTGACCTCAGTTTTGGACTGTGACACTTCACAGCTTACCGTGGCACTCTCCGACTGGTGAACCTTTACCTCCTTTTGAATTGAAGCGTTATTGGCAAATATTGATTCTGAAAAAAATACATACATTTTCCTTTTAGCTGGTACGGAAACACAATCAGAGCATTTAACAGCTCACAAACAGGGTACTTGGCTCATCCCGTCTCCACTGGCGTTGATCTCCACAATGAGACACCCACTTTATTGCACTTTCCTGCATGCTCCACATACCTACTGACGTGGATTCTAATTCCTTACATCAAAGCAATCTATTCTGCGGGAAAATATATTAACAGATACTCAACTTCAAATTTAATATTGACCAAATATTTAGAAGAAGTGTAAAAATTATCCTCGGGCAAACAGATTCATGTGTTTACAGCACAAAAGGCTATTTTGCCCATCAAGCCTGTACTAATGGGTTCCTTCCGTTGAACCTATCTTTGAACACTTTGGGGAAAAAATGCTGTAGCTCAATCCACGACCGTTTGTGCGGCACTGATGTGTGTTTCGCCCACAAAATACACAGTCAATGCCTTTTACAATATATTCTGTGAATGACTTTGAGACGTCTCAACTAAGTGATAAGGCGATACATCAAATGCAACGATTATTATTATTACTTTGGTTTGACAATGAGAAAAAAGTAATATCACACAATTCTGAACATTAGCAAATTGCAACTTGATAGAAAGACTGAATGTATATAAAACACAGATCTTAACCACCTGTAAACATCTTTAAAAGGTAACAGACAAAGAGCGAAAAGTATTGGTGACCCAGTGACTCACCTGCAACCTGGATGTTGAAGGTCAGTTTCTCTCCCGCTGCTTCACAGATGTATTCACCTTCATCCTTTGACTCCACATTCTGAATCTCAAGCTTTCGTGTTTTGCCGTCAGACTCCAGTTTAATTTTTTGCCGGGACTCAGAATTTTTCCACCTTTAAACCACTTGACTTCAGTTTTGGATTGCGACACTTCACAGATAAGAGCGGCATTCTCTGATGAACGCACCTTCACCACCTTTTTAAGTGAATCTTTATTGGCAAATACTGGTTCGGGCTCTGCAAGCAAGAAGAATGAGATAGCTGAATCAACAACAACAACTTGCACTTATATAGCGCCCTCCACGCAAGGTAGCGTTTCAGAGCGCTTAGCAGAGGCGGAGCCCGACTCTGGGTGAGGTGGCCATAAGCATGCTTGAAGAGGAAGGTTTTCAGGCGGGATTTAAAAGAGGGGAGAGAGGGGGGGCAAGGCGGAGGGACTGAGGGAGAGCGTTTCAGAGTTTCTGGGCATAGTGGCTGAAAGCGCGACTTCCAGGGCGGAGGGTGCGAGGGACGAGCAGGAGCCCGGTGCTAGTCGAGCGGAGGCATCAGGTAGTGGATTGGGGAGTGAGGAGGTCAGAGAGGGAGGGAGGTGACAGAGAATGAAGGGATTCGAACACGAGTGTGAGACGATCTTTAAGTCGATCCGTTCAATGATGAGGAGCCAGTGGAGCATGAGCCAGAACTGGTGAGATACGGGTACACGTTCTGACTCCTATTATCCAGCTAGTTTTCATTGGAATTTTACGAAATGTAAATTCCCAAATGGTCTTCATCCCATTCTTTTGTAAAGCACAAATGGAAACAATAATTAATATCTTTGGGACTTTGCAATCACTGAAAGCGTTAATTTTCTTGCAAAACCTTTTGGAGTTTTTTTTTAATGTCAATTTCCCTAAGTTAGATATGGAAGCACTTTTGCCTGGCAGCACTCACCTGTAACAGTAATGTGGAAAGTCAGCTTCTCTCCCGCTGCTTCACAAACATAGTCACCACCATCCTTTGACTCCACGTTCTGAATGACAAGTTTGCGAGTTTTACCATCAGATTCTGGCTTAAATTTCTTGCTGGCACTAAGAACTTTTCCATCTTTGGACCATTTGACTTCAGTTTTGGATTGCGACACTTCACAGCTAAGAGTGGCGTTCTCTGCCACTTGAACTTTCACCTCCTTCTGAACGGATGCTTTATTGGCAAAGACTGGTTCTGGCTCTGCAAGAAAGAAGCAGTTTAGTATGTAGCACATGCGTATCAAGAAAGAAAAATAAACAGGGGTTTGCTTTGAATCCCCCAATTTTGATTGTGCCAATGATTCTATTCTCGGTGTTGTTTTCTGTCCTGGCCTCGTAACAGCTGGTAACCAAAATTGCAAATAATTGGGTAAAAATTACAATAGTGAGACACAGATTAGGAACATAGGAACACGAGTAGGCCATTCAGCACCTCGGGCCTGTTCCACCATTCTATAAGATCTTGGCTGATCTGTACCTCAACTCCAACTTAGCAGGATACAACAAGTACTTATATAGCTCCTTTCACACTAGACAACCTCTTCAAACGGTTTACAAAGACGGAATGGGAGCCTGAGCTGGGTGGGATGGAGGGAGGAGGACAGTGATGTCCGAAAGTACAATCATAGAGACAGTTTTAGACAGTTTTTAGAAACAGACAGGGAGGGAATCACTTCGATTTTTTGTTAAAATGATAAATCGACTCATTACTGCGCTCCAATCCAGCATGTTAATGTTAATTTCCCCAAATTAGATTGGAAGCACTTTTGCTTAGCAGCACTCACCTGTAACTGTAATGTGGAAAGTCAGCTTCTCTCCCACTGCTTCACAAACATAGTCACCTCCATCCTTTGCCTCCACGTTCTGAATGACAAGTTTGCGAGTTTTACCATCAGATTCAACCTTAATGTTCTTGGTGGGTCTAAATATTTTTCCATCTTTGGACCATTTGACTTCAGTTTTGGATTGTGACACTTCACAGCTAAGAGTGGTGTTCTCCGCCACTCGAACTTTCACCTCCTTCTGAACCGACTCCTTTTTGGAAAACACTGGTTCCGGCTCTGAATAAAAGAAAGCAGTGTGTAGCACAGAACTGAGCATTTAAAAAAAAATTAATCACTTTATACAATACAGGTTAACATTTGTCTTTCACATTGGGAGGATGTCCCGAGGAGCTTGACTGTCCTGGCTTAGTAGACAAACTAGGAGAGGATCCGATAGGGGTGGGGAGAGGAAAGATAACCAAAGGGTCAGCCAAAGAGGAAACTCTTGAGATGGACCTTAAAAGAGGGAAGCGAGTCAGGGAGACTCCAGGATGGAGTTCCAGAAAGTAGGGGCAGATAAACTCAAAGAAAAACAACCACCTAAGGTGGGGCAGGTAAAGCGAGGTACGTAAGCACTGGGTGACTGGAGCAACCCCATCAGTATGGTTTGAGGAGGTGGCAGAGGTGTGAGAGGGCAAGACTGTATTCCTTATACCTTCAGTTTGTTAGTCAGTTTTCATTTCAACCACCTTGTGTCACACTAATAGCAAAAGCTTCAACTTCTGAGTCTTGTAAATTGAATTCTGTGAATAGTGATTATCTCCGTAGAGATAGACTTCCATCCTACTCCTGAATAGATATTTATCCCGTTTGTTGTGAAAGGAATTAACACAATGGAAGATATTCAGGAATGTGCAATCACCTGAACAGTTACATTTCCCTTCGAATCTCCAAGGAGATTTTTTTAAAGTTAATTTCCCTAAATTAGATATGGAAGCACTTTTGCTTGGCAGCACTCACCTGTAACTGTAACGTGGAAAATCAGCTTCTCTCCCGCTGCTTCACAAACATAGTCACCTCCATCCTTTGCCTCCACGTTCTGAATGACAAGTTTGCGAGTATTACCATCAGATTCTGGCTTAAATTTCTTGCTGGCACTAAGAACTTTTCCATCTTTGGACCATTTGACTTCAGTTTTGGATTGCGACACTTCACAGCTAAGAGTGGCGTTCTCTGCCACTCGAACTTTCACCTCCTTCTGAACTGATTCCTTTTTGGCAAACACTGGTTCCGGCTCTGAATAAAAGAAAGCATTAGAATGTAGCACATATACAGGAAAGGTAAATAAACAGGACTTTATGTTAAAATGTCCAGCTAACTTCAGCTAGTTAAGCGCTTAACCTTGATACTTCAATTCCTCTTTAAAGCTAAGATGGCATCCAAAATTCTAATAGACATCCCTTCCTTGACTACACACTCACTGCTTCTTGTTCCAGCAAGAGGGGATAGCGCTGTATTGTCAGAGGTGCTGTACTCAAATAACATTTAAGAGTTTGTGTCTGTGTTCCTCAAATGGACATTGATATCATAGGTTTGCTTTATATTGCAGGAACTGGCCGACTCCAGTCACACATAAAAAGTGTAAATAGCAGAAGATCCAGAGCAGATCTCAGTGGAATTCCACTACTAACTACATTTCAAAATTTATAACTTATCACCTTCTACCTTCATTTTGCTCACAAAATATACAATCGATTCACTTTATATAAGCACCTTACCACCTCATCAAGTGCTTTACAGGATTTTCTGTAAAGTGGATTAACTGTGTATTTTGTGGGCGAGGTGTAATTGGAGATTTATCAAGTTAATTTGGGAAACAAAAATCAACATAATGATAGGTGTGCAGGACCTTGCAATCAGTTACTTCTCCTAAGAATCTTCTAGGAGAGATTGCCTTAATTAGATATGGAAGCACTTTTGCCTGGCAGCACTCACCTGTAACTGTAATGTGGAAAGTCAGCTTCTCTCCCGCTGCTTCACAAACATAGTCACCTCCATCCTTTGCCTCCACGTTCTGAATGACAAGTTTGCGAGTTTTACCATCAGATTCAACCTTAATGTTCTTGGTGGGTCTAAATATTTTTCCATCTTTGGACCATTTGACTTCAGTTTTGGATTGTGACACTTCACAGCTAAGAGTGGCGTTCTCCGCCACTCGAACTTTCACCTCCTTCTGAACCGACTCCTTTTTAGCAAATGTTGGTTCCGGCTCTGAAATGAAGTAATAATGTATTACATCTCCCAGAACATATTGTACATGCACATAGTACGATAAAACAATTTCTCATTCATATTCGTGCAGTGGCCCTGCTTAACTACCATGCAGGTTCTATGGAGAAAGAACTGGCCGTGAGACAAATTGGATAGCTCTTTCAAAGAGACGGCACGGGCACAACGGGCCGAACGGCCTCCTTCTGTGTGTATGATTCCATGATTCTAGTATTAGAACTGGAATACATTGTCAAATTAATCTAACATGTTGCACGAACAAACAGATGGGTCATGAAGGAAAATAAATGAGGACTGCTCCTGAGTGTTTTGGCTAATATTAAAATGGGAAAGATAAACTTGGATAAACATTGGACGGAATAAAACTTTGTTATGTTCTGAAAAATCACAAACTAGGGGCCGAAAATAGCGATTCTTTGCTGTGTCAGCTGGGCTCAGTTGGGCACCTCTGAGTCAAGAAAATTGTGAATTCGGACGCCACGTCAGGTTGATACTCCAGTGCAGGGCTCTGCAGTGTAGGAGGTCCAGTCTTTCAGATGAGTTGTTAAACTGAGCTCCCATCTAGCTAATCTGATAGGCATTAAAGATCCCGCAACATTATTCAAAAGAGAAAGGAATGTCTCTCAATGCCCTGCCCGGGTCCTCTCGCTCGCAAGTGCTCTAAACAATACGCTACAGGACTCAGACTCTTAAGTGCACACACATTAAACTTATACACTACATGCCTCACCTTTTACATTCACATTAACAGTGATCTCATCCTCTTGGGTTTTGAAAGTGTACTGTCCAGAATCCCCCGATTTGGCATTGTGAAGGACTAGTCTTCGTGTCGCTCCCTCTGACTCAACACCCACTACTTTGCTCTGCTTCATCTCCTGTCCATGTCTGTACCAATTTCCTTGCACAGTAGAGTGAGACACTTCACAAACGAGGGTTACCTTCTCACCTACACTTGCCGCATACTCTGTTTGTGTCGTGGACTTCTTTAAGATAGTTGCAGCTGATTCTGCAAAGGTGGCAATAGCAAAAATTAGGATATGACCATTGGACAACATTGTGACCATTAAACACATAATTGCCCAATTGTCACCACAACCATAATAAGTCCCACAAACGGCCAGGAAGTGAATCGACCAATTTTTTATTTGGCTGAAACAAATATCATAATAATAATCCTTGCATTTGATATAGCGCGTTATTAAGGCTCTCAAAGTACCAGAGAGATGCATACATGAGGGAGAAGAGGGGTGGGGACTTGTGTTGAGTATAACCGCCTGCATGGACTAGTTGGGTCGAACTCCTGTTCCTTTTGTTATTGTACAAGGAACAGAACTGGAACAGGAATGTGGGTTACACTAACTCATCGTCTGAAGGTCAGAAGCATTCTTGTGGTGGGAACACTGCTAACACATCAAGCGCAGATGTGATTCTGATTTGGGGTGTAATTGAGGGTGTTTTAGCCAACGGCAGAGAGAGGCAAAGCCAACCCAACTACCAGGAGATATGGTAACTGATCACTACTTATTGCTTGAAAACCTGGTCGCTCCCGTTTTGGTAATGGGTCTTTGCACTTTGTATAATCATCGACTGTGGAACGACAGTAAAGGAAACGATTGTTTAACTTCCAAATTGCGAGCACACTATTTCATCATTAATTAAATAAATTCACTAAACCCATTCACTAAACATTGAGTAGCGCAAAAATTTCCATTCAAGATTAATTTGTGCTGAGATCCTCTTTAATTTTTGGATCAATTGAAGACCTCAAATTAGGCATGACCGTGTTTTCTCTGGTAATAATAATAATAATCTTCGCATTTGATACAGAGCTTTATCACGTTGTTGAGCTATCTCAAAGTGCTTCAAAGAATATACCGTAAAATGAATCGATTGTGGGCAAAACACAGCAACCTATTTGCACAGAGCTGTGTCCCACAGTCACGGATTGAGTGGGCAAATTATCATTAGTGTTTTTTTGGAAGGGATTATTATCCCCAGAGAAACACAACCGGATTCCTACATACTGCTAGGTAAACAGAGGTGTGTGTAGTGAGGAAACCTGCCTATATTTTCATCCCGCCCAGGAATCTAACCCATTTCACTCTCACTTGCGAGGCGAGTTCTCTAACAAATACACTACATGACTCTACCTAGTATTAGTACAAATGACATATGTTAAGAGGACATTTAAAACCCTCTGTAAAATAATACTTTAGAAATGGTGGCAACAACAGCAGCTGGTTTACTGTCGTGACAGCAGCAAAGTACATGCATCTGGTAAGTGGATAGAAATTGGAGTCAGAGAAGTGTCAGGAGATTGTGGGGATACAGCCAAGAAATGGTGAGAACAACATCGGGAAATCAAAGAGGGGCCATGTCAGAAGGCCACAAGATTGGAGGAGAAAGACAAAGAGAGAACATTCAAGAAACAAATCTATTCAATCTTTCCAACCATCTTTGCAGGAGGCCCAGAGATACAAAAAATGTCATTGCAAAGGGAGATGGATGTTTGCAAGGTACAGGTATCAATGAATACCAAGAAAAAGGCAGTGAAATGAGATTGAAAAGGTAAAGATGTCCAATGAAATCATAACATGGCAGAGCAGGTTCAATAGGCCGAAGAGTCTATGTGTGTTACTACATAATTTTATAATTTTTATAGTTGCTTTTAAGCATCAGCTTGCTTTTATATAGTGCTTTTCCCACAGTGTGAACATCTTAAAGCATTTCACGGAATCAGTAGGGAATACCGAATGCAGTGAGACAAGCGAGGAGAATTTAAGGATGTTGACCAAAGGCCAAAAAGTTTTTAAGAGAGGTTTGAAAGCAAGAGAGGAGGAATTATTGAAGCGTTCCAGAAAGAAAGAACTTGCACGTTAGAGCATCTGATCACATGAAAACATCTAAAAGAAACTTCACAGGTAATTATTGTCAATGAAATTACTGCTTTATACGTCTGCTCTTGTTTACTATAATTTTTAAAAATATAATAATAATCCTTGCATTTGATATAGCTCCTTAATACATCGTCTCAAATCGCTTCACAAAATATATTGTCAAGTGAATTGTCTGCATTTTGTGGGCGATTGTGTGATTTTCTAGCCTGATCTATTGGAATACAATATATATATACCGTTGTACCTCTACAACCTGAGTGCAAATCAAGCAGACTTATAGGATAAAAGAATATCTGATGGCTGAAACGTATAACCTTATGTGGAGTTATTATTTGGAGTCCCAGCCACCAAATTAACATGAACTGATCCGACAGTAGCATTCTGGCTAAGAAAGGCTGCCAGGGAGCTTGGCGTGCAAATTGGCACAATAATGAACACAAGGTACAGAGTGTTCTTCTCAGGTTATGGTTAAGGAATGTGGATGGAAAAAGATCAAGGAACCTGAGTTTGCATATAACCTACTCCTGATGTCGGACTGTTCGATGTTGGCAATAGGTGTCAATAGTAGATGTTCCATTCCCTGCACTGAGAGCCTTCAGCTGGCAGAGCACAAGATTTCACCCCCTCCCTGCCCACTTTCGAAGCTCAAGACTCTCCTCTTTGACCCTTCGGCAGCGTGAAGTAGTTTGAGACACCCTCCTGACATGAATGGCGCTATAGAAAGGTAAATTAGATTGTAAATTGCATCCAGAGATTTGATAAAATATAAACCACGGCAGAAAAATGATGATACAAAATGAAACTGCTGCAGTTAAAATTGTCTGTAAAATGAGGAATTGTGTGTTGCCTTGTTCTTTAATAATGGAGAGACAATTTAAGATAAGTCACTAAAATGACAGACAAAAAAAATGGTTGAGGTACATTGGCACTCTCTGCAACAAACCATAATTAAAGCTTTGTCCATAAATGAATTTAAAAGGGAATTATATAAATGTTTGAATAAAGAGGGATATTAATGGGTCTGGGGAGTGAGCAGGAGTGTGGGATTGGATTAGATTCGGTGGTTCATTTCTAGACTTGATTACCCAAATAACCTGGTTCTGTGCAGTAACATTCTACGTTCATACACATAGAGTGTTCGTCTGAGTTATAAGTGCTCTGAGACTCTACCTTATATGAGGGACACAAGTTGCTCTTGTTGATAAGTAAAAATTGACAGTTGGTAGTTGACCAACATGGTGTGCTTGCAGTAGTCCAGTTCCTGAGCCAGGCCGGTCTGCAGTATCCCAGGGCACTCACTGCTGATGGCAGCACAGCCCGGCCTGGCTCAGCGGCAGGACCTGGAAGGGCCGACCAGTCACCGGGGGCAGGGAATCCTCCCCCTCGGCTCCTGTTAACGCTGCAGCCAAAGCCCTAACTAACGGGTAGGGTGGTCCTAGCTGGCCAAGCAGCGGGAAGGCTTGCCAGACAGCAAAATATGAGATGTTAATCTTTCCTTCACACTTTAGTGTAGCAGGAGCTAGAGACTCGAGGCTGTAAACTCCGAATTAGGATCTGAGATTTCTTACTTGTTGGACTACCCAGCAGCTACTACAACAATCATTACCTTTGATTTTCACTTGGAATGTTAGTCTGTCATCGTTGGCCACACAGGTGTAGTGTCCTTGGTCGCTCTGCTGCATTTTATTGATGACGAGTTTGCGTTGTGTTCCCTGAGAGATGATGGTTATCCTCTGGTCCTGCTTAACCTCTTTTTGATCCTTTCTCCAAGTGACCACAGCACTCGCTGCCGACACCTCACAAGGCAATTCGAGACTCTCTGAGGCGGTGGCTACCACTTCCACAGGAGTTTTGGGCTTGTTTACGAATTTGACAGCTGCGTCTGCAAAAGTGAAATGCATTTCCATTAACTGTGCAGTTATGATAATACTAATAATAATCCTTCATTTGATACAGCCCCTTATCATGTCTCTGAGACGCCTCAAAGCGCTTCACAGGATATACTGTAAAGTGCCGTGACTTATGTATTTTGTGGACGAAACATGGCAGCCATTTGCGCACAGCAGCGTCCCGCAAACAGTCATGGATTGAGTGACCAAATTGTTTTTAAAAAAGGGATTTTTATCCCCGGAAAGTGATCCGCCAGCCAACTAAAAAACAGGTTCCTAGTTACAGCAGGTAAACAGAGGAGCGTGGAGTACGGAAATTACCTAAAGTTTCCCCATCCAGGTTTCCTGAAGGAGCCACGGCCCCAAAATCCTCCCGGTAGCTTTAAAACCACTTTCTTAAAATGTACAAAACTTTCAATATTCTGAAATTCAATTTCAATTGGAAAACTGGTGTTCTGCTGTTCCTAGAAAAAACTGGCTTCCAAGGAATGAATTTTCCAAACTTATGCACAATATTAAACTATCTAAAACCATGAGAAATTGTAGACCATTGATTATTCTGTCACTTTTATACCGAGGCTGTGTCAGCAATGCCACATTGAGCAGTATGGATCAACTGGTAACAAGAATAACAACACGAATAATAACCCTTGCATTTAATATAGCGCCTTATCACATCTTCGAGACATCGCAGCGCTTCACTGTTTACTGTGTATTTTGTGGGTGAAGCGCCCACAAAAAGCACTGACTTCAAACACTTTCAGCTCTCTTTCTGGTCTTTATTGTGTCTGAAACGTGCTGAAACCCATCACCGTGCTTAACAGTACCCAAACCAGACTAGAGTTCCAAATATGCAAGCCACAGATGCATGGAAATATCCCCGCCTGGAATGGAATGTGGGCTTTCTTCCGGAGTGACGCATTTTGCTTATCTGGTTGGTGACAGCTACATTTTGGAAGGTCTCCAGAGTGTACTTTGGGGTATTGCACAAGATAAACCAGCTAAAACTGACCGCAATAGCTAAAAATGCAGCACTTTCGGACTCAAAAGGGGATGAAGTAATATGTTCCATGCACAAATAGAATTTTTAGGATCAATTTAATTAACACTCTACAAGCCCAGTACAAAGAGATATTTGTGGAGTATGGTTCCACTGGTGCCAGCTGCCCTCTGATGCCTTTCCCTCACATGAGGTACCTAGACAGTGAGCACTTGTAGGCTGTTTAACCAAGAGGAACATCAAGGATGAGAGTGATTTTGTTTTCCCCTGAGAGCCATACCACTGTATATAGTATTTAGGATCCATGCTATTTCCAAAACTATTTACAATGGTGGTGTCCTACAGCTTTGCCATTCCAACATTAGTTTTATAGTGTAATGCATTTCTTTGTCATCCCAATAATAATGGTGAAGTGGCCTGATAGTATTTATATTATTGTTATTATATAGCATTATTAATATAATCCTTACATTTGATTCTGCACCTTTTCACGTCAGGAGGCACTCAAAGCACTTCACACAATATATTGCAAAGTGACTCCCTTCCGTTTCAAATGTGCAATGGGATCTTTATCGTTCACCTGAACAGGCGGACGGGAGCTTGGTTTTACGTCTCATCCAAAGGACAGCACCTCCAGCATCGCAGCACAACCCCAACAATGCACTGGAGTGCCTGCCTCAGCTACATAAGCTCCAAGTCCTAACGGGGGCTTGAACCCACAACAACTTGCACTTAAATAGCGCCCTCCATACAGGGTGTCTCAAGAGCAGTTAACCGTGGCAGAGCCACAACCTCCTGACTAGGAGGTGAGAGCGCTACCAACTGATCCAGCCTGTTAGCTAAAATATCCAGCCGGTTCTTCTTGTGGAATTAGCTGAGCTCTGCTAAAAGTCTGAATACTACTCCAGTAAAACCCGATTCCTGATAGAAAAATTGGCAATCAGAGAGTAACACAGCACTGCAATTTGTGTACTGGATACTGGTTCTAATTTAGCACAGTGACAAACTTTAGTATGAGACAGTTGTAACAGTAGTCACCAAACTAATCCGTAGTAGCATTCACTGTGGATTCCAGCGCCATGACAAACAATATTTAAAATAGCACAACAATTATGATTGACAATTTAAAATATCATACTTGCATTAACACCTGTGCAGCTATTGCCAAGGGATTACAAAGGAACAACAGAAAGATATCGGAGTATACACTGTTGGAGGTGCTGTCCTTTGGATAAGATGTAAACTCACCAGGTTGGATAATTATACCCACAGCTAGGTTCAAGTGACTATAAGCAACGACCACCTATTTAGATGAAGACTATCAAGTCCTCTAATCCGGGATAAGAAAATCAGACGAGACGGCCTCTGAGCTCAGAATTCTATAACCTGTCAATTCAAATAATTGAAAGTACTATAATAATAATCCTTGCATTTGATAAAGCGCGTTACCATGTCGTCTCAAAGTGCTTCACAGAACAAAGTGAAATGCCTGAGTGTTTTGTGGGCTAAACGCGGCAGACAATTGCGCACAGCAGTGACCCACAAACAGCGGTGGATTCAGTGACCACGTTTCTTTTTATTTTTGGAGGGAGGGAAAGAGATCCGTCAACTGGCTAACAATCGGGTTCCTACTTACTGCGAGGTAGGCAGAGGCGTGTGGAGTAAGGAAACTTGCCTACAGTTTTACCCCGCCTGGGAAATGAACCCAGGTCCTCTCGTTTGCGAGGCGAGGGCGCTAACCTTTACCCTACCATAGAGCTTACAAACTATAGAGCTTGCAAATTCTCCAGTGTGTTGTTTTTTAATTTCTTCGCTGTCTTGCAGCGAGTGCCTGTTCAGAGAGCGGCACATGTGATGGGAACACTTGTTGGATTATGTCAGAATGCTTGTCCTATAACTTGACACAGCGCTGTGGCACCCAACAGGTGATCAGAAACAAATCATCCCGATTTAGAAACTGTATAAAAGGTTATGCAATGCTGTGCAGAAACGCAATGTACTAAATAAGTAAAAAAAAAGTGTACACTGAAATCCCAGGCAATGGATGTTGCAGTGCGCAAAAGATAAGCTGAAGATGTGCCAATAACTAGCAGGACATTGCTGCTTAAACAGACATCCATCTACCTGGCTGTCAGAAGAAGGGATTTTCATCAAATCCCTGGTGTGGTGAACCCTGCAGGAGCAGCACATTACATTGTGGAGTCCTGCAGCTCAGTGGTTAGAGCGCTCGCCTCGCAAGCGAGAGGACCTGGGTTTGATTCCCGGGCAGAGCGAAACTTTGGGCAAGTTTCCTTACTCCGCACTCCTCTGTTCGCCTAGCAGTAAGCAGGAACCCGGTTGTCAGTCGATTGGCGGATCGCAACTTCGGGGATGATAATCCCTTCAAAACATTTTTTAAAATAATAATTTGGTCATTTGTGGGACACTGTTGCTGTACGCAATTGGCTGCCACGTTTCGCCGATAACTTATACAGACAATTTACTTTACAGTATATCCTATATCAAATGCAAGGATTATTATTATATTATCCTGTGAAGCGCTTTGAGACGTCTCAAAGATGTAATACTGCGCTATATCAAATGGAAGGATTATTATTATAAATCCTTTCAGTATGAACTTTACACAATGTGGCTTTATACCCTTTGACTTAACTTCTCCTTGTCCAGATGGACGTTAAAGATCCCATGAAATTATTCCAAAGAAAAGGGAATTTCTCCCAACAATCCTCCAGATTAACTGCACATTCACTTGGGCAGAAATGTACTGGGGCTTGACAATTCAGATGAGTAGGGTCTATTTTAGAATGGCCAGCTGGGTCTGACACATGTGGAAACCCTTCACCATGCTTAAGAGTCTCCAAAACAGACTGTGAGTTTCACCATGTGCATACCATCCAAGCAGGAAAACTTTCCTGTGTCTGAAATGGAATACAGAGCCCCTCCCTGGAGGGACCCACCCACCCACCCACCCACCCCGCCAACCTAATTATAGAAAATAATCAGCACAAACTGCAGATTCTCACGGCTCAGGAGCCAGACACTCATTGCATATCCGCAGACACCAACCTCGACATCCATTTACTTAGCGCCCCTCATGCAGAGTAGCGTGCCAGAGCCTTTGATTGACTCAATTCTGCTTATTCCAGCCAAGCACGACACCTTGGAGCCAATTCAGTTCCAATTCAGACCCCCACTCCTCCTTCCAACAACAAGTTACATTTGTATAGCGCCTTTCGCTTGGAGGATAGACATTTATTTGAATTGACAGGCTGTAGGATTCTCATCTCGGAGGACTTCCTGCCTGAGTTCCCTGAAGTCCTTCGCTAGCTCTGATCTCATTAGATAATAATCCTTGCATTTGATACAGTGCTTTTCACATCCTCGAGACGTCTCAAAGCACTTCACAGAATATTCTGTAAAGTGAATTGAGTGTATTTGTCGGCGAAATGCAGCAGCCAATTGCGCACAGTAAGGTCCACAAACAATCATGGATTTTTTTTTAAGTTTAGTTCAAACACATAGTTCTCCAAGGGTGTGGACTATAGCTTTGAAGCTGTTCCTTGACAAACTCCGCTGTTTGAATTTAAAAATGCTCGTTCGGAAATAACTATCCCTCAGTAAGTGAGAGAAGTCCAGAGCCTAATTCTGTTTGCACTGTCCGAATAATTGGTTTCTAAGCTTGTAACATTACACTTTTTAATATTAATATTAGTTTCTTATTGTAAATGGCTCTCTCTCTGGATAGGGCGAATGGGATTCAGAATGAGGATTCGTAGCTTGAACCAGACAGATAGATCCAGTATCTGCTTGAAAGCGCAGTGATGGCTTACAATGGCAGACATTGGTGGCAGCTGCAAATGGGAGTTGAAACAAAGCCTTTCCTTGTTCCGCCTGCCTGACCCCAGCAGGGGGAACAAGGGGGAACGCAGTTAGATGGTAGCTAACCACACGTACTTGCCTTCAGTTATAATTATGCAGCATGTTTGTGAGACATGCAGTGCACAAATTACTTTAAAATAACATTCGACAGCCTCCCTTAAATTTATATGAGCAACAACTACTTTACAAAGAATGTACAGCATGGAAACAGGCCACTTGTCCCAAACAGTTCGGTGGCTGATGGCCACACAACCCACAGATTGGCCACCAATGATCTACACTATCGGAGTCAACCACTGCTTCAGGCAGCGAGTTCCACAATGTCACTACTGTGTGAAACTCTCTAGTTGCTGTTTTATTCTTGTGTCCCTTGGTTACAGACTCCCTATCCAGTGGAAACTTCTTTATATATATTATATATATATCTTGGGCGTTATATAAGTACTCATTAGTTTTATTGTGTGAATGCATTTGCTTGTCATCCCAATAATAGTGAAATGACCTGATAATATTTGTATTATTGTTATTATTTATTATTATAATCTTACAAATATTTATATGACACCATTCATTTGGATAACGTCTTAGGAGTCCTTCGGAGTTGGATGCCAAGCAAGGGAGAGTGGGGAGGTCAAAGACTTTTAATATGAGACTTAAAGACAGAGAGAGGGAGCCAGGCAGAAGGATAGAGGGAGATCCAGAGGTCAGAGGTTCCAGCATAGGTGGGTGGCTGAGGCTAGAGGGCTCTCAGCAACCCCCCCAAATCTATCTACAGCTCATCTCTTTAAGGTCAGGTGAGCTGTAGAGAGATGGCCTACCTTCAAGGGTGGCCACCCTCGTCCTCCCCATTATACAGGCTCCAGAGCACGGTGAGGAAGGTGAGGGTGGCCATCTGTGATGCTGGCACAGAGGCTGTGCCTATCTCAAAGGAGACCAACCACTCAGCCTCCACTCCGCCCACAAAAAATAATATTTTCACCCACCGCCTATGGATTCCAGAGGTTAGGGATGCAGTGACTGAAGGCTCTATGGAAGGGAAGATGAAGGAAATAATCATAATTGACAAGCCAAATTTAGACAACTATTTTAGTTCAGAAATCCGTGCCCTTACCTGTGATTTTCAAATCAAAGGTCATAATGTCGTCTCCGCATTTGCACGTGTATGTGCCCTCGTCCTCTTTCTGGGCAGCAGAGATGATTAATCGATGTTCCTTTCCTTTGCTCTCCACGGTAAATGTTTTCAACGGCTTGACTTCCTTCCCATTCTTGTACCACTGCACTTTAGCGTGGATGTCATTCGTCTCAGCTGCAAGCTCTGCCAACACTCCACAGGCAGCAGTGACAACACGTTTCGATTTCTCTTTGTTGACAAATCGAAATTCTTTGTTCACCGATCGAGAGAGACATTGACGGGAACAATAAATCAAAAACATCAGGTATAAATTATTTGAAAAAAAACATATACGACAACAACTTGCATTATATAGCGCCCTTCACGTGGGGGCAGTGTCTCACAGCGCTTAATGGTGGCAGAGCCTGATGCCAAGCCGGAGGGGGGGGGGGGGGATGGCGGAGATGTTTGCACGCACGATCGAAAAGAAAGGTGATTTAAAAGAGGGAAGAAAGGGGGAGGGATTGGGGAGAGAGTTTCATAGTTATTATTTCAAGATGTTACCAATTAGTCAATTGGCGGATCGCTTTTCTGGGGGTAATAATTGCTTCCAAAAAAAAAAAATGGATCCCTCAATCCACAACCGTTTGTGGGACACTGCTGTGTCCAATTGGCTTTGTATTTCACCCACAAAGTATATAGTCAATTCATATACAGTATATTCTGTGAAGAGCTTTGAGATGTCTCATCGACGGGACAAGGCGCTATATCAAATGCAAGGATTATTATTATTAATAATAATCACAAATTGGAAAAAGCACAAAACACAATTCTCACCATATTTCAGCCCTAATTGAACATCAATTTGACTGCGTCTAACTTTAGTCTGTAAGTAAGTAAGTGTATGTGGCACGGGGGGGGGGGGGGGGGGAGGGGGTTTAGCTTCCTATAAATAATAGCTAATGACAAACCGTTGAACGTTTTAGTGCGGCTGTCACTGAAACCTTTGGTTATAACTAGCACTGCAACTGAAACTATTGATTTAGATGAACATGCACATTCACCAATAACACTTAGTATCATACACACCCTCTACACGGAGCTGGAATGGCATTTTATCACCGTCACAAACACATTCGTAAATCCCCTCGTCCTCTCGGCTTACATCGTTGACCTTCAGGAAGCGCCGCTGTTCCACGGTCTGGAATACATACTTTTTGCTCGACTTGATCTCCTTGCCATCCCTTCTCCAAATTACCTTCACAGATGAGTCAGAAACCTCAGCAACAAACTGCGCTGTGCCTTGCTGTGAAGCAGACACAATCTCCTTCTCCGCTGACTGTTTTTTGAATCTTGGCACAACTGGCAAAGCTGTAAAAACACATACATTTCAGTGCGTTTTAAGCTGTCACGTTTTACATTCCACTCCCTCCCATGCCAATTAAGAATGCGGAAAGCCAAACTGAGTCCTTAAATACATCATGGTCTTTAGCCTTCTGACTAATTTCTTTGCATTGACTGTGCAAAACGTTGGACATTTCTTCTTAATTTTCAGAAGAATTTTCTTAGTCCTTCAGACACTATGGAAAACCAACTTCTAAGTTAATAATAATAATAATCCTTGCATTTGATATAGCGCCTAATCACATCGTTCAGATGTCACTTCACAGAATATACTGTAAAGTGAATTGACTGTATACTTTGCGGGCGAAACGCAGCAGCCAATTGTGCACAGCAGTGTCCCAAAAACAGTCGTGGATTGAGTGACCAAACTTTTTTGGGGGGGGGGATTATTATCCACGGAAAGCAATCCACCATTCGATTAACAACCGGGTTCCTACTTCCTGCTCAGTAAACAGAAGCGTGTGGAGTAGCAGAACTGTAATTGGCAAGGTGAACATCAGTGGCAACTAAAAACAACGCTCACCTTTCACTCGTAATCTCGCCAAGCTTTCAACACAGCTAGCCACAAACTTTACTTCCATTGAGTTGTCAATCGACCTCACTTTTTTAATGATCAACGTGTGGGTATTTTTAGTTCTCTGCATGATGTGACTCTCACTGCTTTCTATAGCTTTTCCATTCAGGAACCACAGCCCAGGAGCAACTGTAGATAGTTCAATCGTGAAAGTGGCATCTTCACCCGCCGTGACTTCAACTTCTTGCAGAGGAGTTTTAATGGATGCTTTCGGTTCTGGTAGAATAAAAGATAGAATTTAACATTAGGTACTTAAACTTAACTGTCATCAGAAACTATTGACTTTATAAATGTGGTTATATTAAAAAAATCGCATCACTTTGGAGCCAAGGTCCTAAATGGGGCACGATACAGATGGAAATGCAGAAAACTACTTTGCGTCCCCACATTAAAATTTACATTAATGTAAGGGCTTTCACATCAGAAGGACAAAGTGCTTCACAAGGCTGACTGGGCACTAGAGCTGAGAGGTTGGTTGAAGAGAATAAAAAGGGGGAGGGAAAGATGAACTGAAAACGCAGTCTAAGTGACAAGCCTTAAGGTAGCCTTTAAAAGTGGGCTGGGGTCAAGTCCTAGAGGCTCCTTGATGGAGTTCCAGAGAGGAGGAGAAGAGGCACTAACTTCATTGTGTTTTGCTTATTCCAGCACTTTTTCAATCCTGCTAAGAACAGAATTGGTGAGTGAAAATGAAATATTTAGCAAAGAACACATTGGTCGCAGCGATAAAGAGAAAAAGAAATACAGAAGACTCACTGTAAATATCATTCTTAATGTTTTACTTACCGATACGAAAGGTTCCTGGCACTTCCAAGTACATGCTCTGGGAAAAGTTATTTATGGAGGAAATTCTGAACTGGTAATCGCCTCCTTCTGTCACGCCCCTCACTGTGAATTCTTGCACCACCACATTTTCTGAATGGCACCTTGTCCAGGTATTGCTTCCTATTTTCTTTTTCTCGATTATGTAGCCGGTCACAGGGACAGGAGGCTCGTCTTCAGGCAAGGACCAAGCTAAAGTGACAGATGTTTCCGTTTCTTCTTTGACCACAGGGTTGACTGGGGAATACGGTGGAACTTTTCTTGCAGCTAGAGAGAAGCACAAAACAATACTGCTTGTGAGCGCTTGTCTAATGGAGTTTAGCTGAAGTTTGAAGTGAATGAAATGTTATCAAATCCTATAAATCCTCACTTAAATCCACTGCAATAACCTTTGTGTTGAAAGTCAGGGAACAGCTTTGCTTCCAAACTTTTATCATCTCCATCCCTGCATTTCACAATATAATATTATTAATAATTGCATTTGATATAGCGCCTTATCAAGACGTTGAGATGTCGCAAAGCGTTTCACAGAATATACTGCAAAGTGGATTGACTATATATTTTGTGGGCGAAACTCGGAAGCCAATTGCACACAGCATTGTCTCACAAATAGTCGTGAATTGAATGACCAATTTTTTTAATATATGTATAAAAGGGTTTAAAACACCCGGAAAAGCGATCCGCCAATCGACTAACAACCAGGATTGAAGAGCCCAGAAATAATACTAAGAAGTGTCCTACTGCTTCCAACAAAGATTACTAAATAGCTTCTAACAGCTGCCAATGTTTTAAGAACCTGTGCAAAGGACAGGGGTATCGGGGAAAGGGTTGCTCTTAAAAGAGCCATCACGGACACATTGGCCCGAATGGCCTTCTTCAGTGCTGTAAATTCCAATGTTCTATTCAATGAGGAAATCTGAGCCAGTTCTTTACCGTTACAACAAAAATGAGGAAAAAGGAAATCCTGACCATTTTCCAGACCACTGCTGCACATACTGAGATGTTTCTGCCTTATAATCACCTGGGTGCAACTTCACTGGGTTTGAATCATTAATCCCAGAAGTGCTCAGAATCCAGTGTATACGATATTACACCATATTGTCAAGAGTTGGCATTTGTGGAATTTCTGATTTTATAAAGGAATATTTGCAAAACATTTCTGTGTGTTTGTGGGACGCTGCTGTGTGCAATTGGCTGCCACCTTCCGGCCACAAAATATACAGTAAATTCATTTCGTTCCTAGGAATTCGTTCCTATTGATCTATTTAATCAAATTACCCAACCGCAAACATGCACTCTTCTCTTTGGTTGCGTGAGATAGTGAGTACGTGCACATCAACCACATATTGCAGGTTGACTACGGATTTGTCCGTCCACTAGATCTCTCAGGAAATGCATATCAATTTGCATGATCCTTCTCCAAGACGTTACTAGCTCCAGTTCTCTGGACATGTCATTTGGTGGTTCTTCTTTCAAGTTGTTGACAACACCAAGTATCTTGGTGATACTTTGACCTATTGGTGGAGAGACACATGGACGTGTATGGAAATAGTAACACGCTCATCATAAAGCTTAGCAAGTGTGAAGACAGGGCTATGATTTCAGAGACTTTTTCCTCAGATGTACATGGTTAATCTGTACGATCATTTCCCACCTATCAGCTGGAGGTTTAGCAGTTTCATTCTCGATGAGGCCAAAATCAAACGCAGCTGAAACACTGGACCATGTGTTCATCACCTCATTTTTCGACATCCCAAGGTGATGGACAGTCAGGGATTTGGACCCAAGTTTGGAATCAGGAGGGGCGTAGGAGGGTGCCTGAAAGTGCAGTCGAAGAGAAGGTTCTTGAGACGGGCCTTAAAGGAGGCTAGGGAGGGATTGAGACGAAGGAACTGTGGGATGGAGTTCCAAATACTAAACCTGTTCTCTTCTGCCCATACCAATAGACCTAAATTACAGACATATTTAAGAACATGTACAAAATAAGCCGGAACTCACTGGTTAGGTTGAACTGGGTTGATGTTCTGGAGTCATCGGCCAAAAGTGTTATTTCTCCTATGTCTTCCCATTTGCATTCGCGAATCGTAAGGACGTGCCGCATGCCAGATACAGTGATGGTTGTTCTATCATTTGGTTTCAGTTCTTGTCCATTCTTTGTCCACGTGATGTTCTTACAGCTGTGACTCAATTCCACACAGAAAATAGCAGTATCGTTTTCTGCCACTACAGTTTTCCTTGGCAGTTTCTTAACAATGTTACCTGCAGGAAGAAATAAGTGAAGAAAGAAAGCTTAAACAACCTTTTACTATAACTTAAAGATGAACCTAAACATTTCTTACTGTTATAGATGTAAAGTGTCTATACCCAATAGGAAACTATGGGACATTAGACTATCTCTTAATTACATGATACTCAAGAGTTCTTGGTTAATTATCCTCCCCTGTTTTCTCCCCCTGCCCGCCTCCACCCCTCCACACCAACTGCCTCAATCCTAACCTCTGACACCAAATGTGAAGAGGTCATGGACTTCTTCATGAATAAAATTAATAAAATCCAGCTGACCACATCCTCCTTCTCTATCCACCTCTCCCCCTGCCTTCTCCATGCCTTCCCCCACCACCCCTGACTTACACATTTTACCCACATCCATCCCACATCCTTGTTCACCCTCATAGCTACGTGAAACCCACCACCTCTTCCCCACCCAGCTTCTGACCACTCAACTGCCTCTCCTCTTCACCCTGCTGGGAGGTTTAGTCAACATCCCTCTCTTTGGGCACTTGTACTCCTCCCCTTCAAAAACACACACATGCACAGACAGACACAGACAGACACAGACAAAGAATATTTGACTGGCAATTTGGATCACTTTAAACTACGTAGCTTTAGAACACCACTGATCGTTTGAAGATATCCACTCTACCTTTTACAGTCAATTCTCCAACGGTTCTGCTGCCTTCTTTCATTTCACAGACATAAACAGCATCGTCATCAGTAGTAACATTTTGGATCATAAGTTTTCTAAGGGTGCCTTCCTCTTCCATGGAGTATTTTGTGCTCTCTGCTATCTGAGTCTCCTCCAGAAACCAACTGGTTTGTGTGTCAGAAACAGGAACTTCACACTGAAGGGTGGCCATTTCTTTCTCTACAACTTCAACATCCTGTAGTTTGGTTTTAAAAGGTAACTTGGGTTCTGAAACAGAAATGAAATCTTTTAGCAAAATAGATCACCATCCCCCCCCGCCCCCACACCCCATACACACATTTTGAATCGCTCTGAAATGACTTTCAGTTTAGCAGAAGCTAGAAAATGGATACCATACAATTTAGAATAGAACTTGTATTTATATAGCACCTTTCCCATCGGAAATTATGCAAAAATTATGGTTAAACAACCGTTACATCCCAGCCACTCCTCACGCTCAGCAAACACTGGCCTGCTTCATCTCCCCCGGAACTCCATCCCACCGTCCCTTCGTCTTGCCCCCCTCCTTTCTTCTTCAACTGTGCCTTTGCTCAACCTCCTACCCTCACCTTCTCTGCCCTCCACCCCTCCTGATCCCAACCCACAGCTCAGATGCACATCCTTGACTATCCAGTGCCTTGGGACGTCCTTCTGACGTGAAAGGCGCTGGACAAATGTAATTCTTGTTGACTCCCAAGTCTGCAAAGCCTAGCAAGTGAGAAACAAGAGGTCTTTTTGATATCTAGATTTTTTGGGGAGGGACTTCAGAATTAATACAACAGATTTGATTTGCAAATTATGCTATTATAAACGACTAAATTAATCGAATATGAAAGTCACAAATACTGAATCACAGGTCACTTTGAGCAACCATAAATTTGTACCATTATGCTACGATAAAGTGTAGCATCAGTGTCAATTTATCACGGCAATCCAATCTGTAAAAGAAATACATCTATGTACCATACCATGAGTTTACCATTAAATAAACTCTACCCATTTATTATCAAAGGGATTTTTTTTATGATTAAACGCTTAGTATTAACTATTCCAGATGTATGTCGTACATAGTGTTTTAAGTGCTTTGAGACGTTGCCCCACCTGAAAGGCGTTAGATTAATGCAAGTTGTTGTTGATTCTGCAGTGACAACTCTCTCTCTATCTCCTTCATTGAAATCCAAACTAGATTATTCCAATACCCGGCTTGCCAAGAACTGTCAATCCCTCAAGAACTGCCACAGAACATCTGGAACTCTGTTGCCCGTATTCTCTCCGCAGGCAGGAATGTGAGCTTATAACCTTCAACCTTGCCCTGCACCTCTAATAATAATAATCCTTGCATTTGATATAGCACTTTTCACGTCGGGAGGACGTCCCGAAGCGCTGGCTGCCTATCACCCTCGTCCTCGCTTGGCTCAACTGGCTCCCTATCCCTAGGGGATTGAATTCAAGATCCTTATCCTCATGTTCAAATAGAAGAGAGGTAGAGGGAAGATAAAGTGAAAGAAGTAAACTTCTAGAAGAGTTTAGAAGACAGGTTGAATGACATTTTTGTCCCATGAAGTAATGATTTGCCATCCACTCTCAACTTCCTAATGACCCCGCATGTTTCGCCCACAAATATACAGTCAATTCACTTTACAGTCTATTCTGTGAAGCGCTTTGAGACGTCGAGAAGACGTGAAAAGTGCTCTATCAAATGCAAGGATTATTATTATTAAGTTAAATTGCTCAAGCAATAGATTTAGGACCAGAAAGAAACATGAACAGGAAGACTCCACCTCAGACTCCTTAATCTGGACTAGATGTAAGAAGACACAAGTGGTCTGCAGTTGACCAGCCTCTTCAGGAGATGTAAGCATATCCTCCTCTCTGTAAGCCAAAGTCCTAACGAGTAAGAGCAGTCCTAGTGTGAAAACACACCAGTGTTTTGTTGCATGGTTACTGGTTTCTTAAAATATATTTTTCCCTATTTACTGCTGACGCTAAACTGAAGCTGTCCTTAACGTCATTCATTTCTTCTTTTAAACCGTGAACAGGTGGAGTCCTGACCTCAGTGGGGAAGCTGGAAGGGTGAACTGATATAGTTTGAGGCAATCCATATCAACTACTTTATATTAACACTCACTTATTTTTAGAATCTGGACATGTTATTAATATTAATTAGTTGACGAGGGAAAAACCCTCATTTAGGATTTGTAAAGCTAATTCTTTCCTTAAAACTGTCTGAGATTTCACATCATCATTTACCACCTGTCAGCCTTTAGTTAATTTAGTTAATACAGGGGATTGACTGTCAGGCTCAATCACAAACCAGGAGTTCCTTTTGTCATCAGCCACATTTAGTACGTTGCATATGCACTGTCCTCTCGCCTCCTCTCAACCAAGGTCAATTGGCACACAAAGTCCCATACTGTTTGGATTCAGTTTAATAGTTTCATGCATTGTTAACTAGTAAGCCATCATAACAGCGGTCAGCAACAGTCACACTTTAACTGCCAATATAGACTGCCGACAACTTGCACTTATATAGTTCTCTTCGTGCAGGGCAGCATCCCAGAGCTGTTGGACCACGAGTTGAAGTGCTTGAACATTGAGGGCACGTGAAAGATATACAGATGTTTTTTTTTTAAAAACTCAAGCATGCTGTATGTTTACTCGACCGAAGCTACCTCAATGTTTCTCTTTGCATCACTATAATCTGGCAAATGTGCACCTTTCACTATAGTATTCTATTCCAGTTCAGTAAACAGTTTTGGTAAAATAGTCGCCAGGTACAAATATTAACAAATGTGTTGCATCAGTCTACGGTAACAAGACTAGAGTTATCAAGGCTTCAGTCATACTACTGGAAGTTATTTGAAACTGGTTCCAGAATAGTAGATTCCATACAAAAACAGCATTTATATTTCGCTCTCTGAAATCCTATTTGTCAGATACTATACTGAGGAAAGTTCTATGGACAGATTTCTGCAAAGACCAATTTTTCAAGATTATTTATATAGCGCCTTTCACAGCCTCTCAATATAAATTTGTTGTTGTTGTTAAATAGCCGGGGGAGAGACAGTAGTCTCTTCCACAACATTATCAATAAAAAATAGCTAACCCCAGATCCACGCTACATGGTTGATGCCCTCTGAATTGCCCAACCAAGGCAGTCAGTTACAATCTTTTCTGGCCGGCGGGGCGGGGGAGCACTGAATAATGGAAAAATACAACTCAAATATGAGTATCTTAATGTGGAAGTGGAGTTTTTGAAGTGTTCAATATGATCTGTGAAATTTTGAGTTCCAAATTAAGGATTAATTAAAAGTTAACAGCTTAACACCGTTTTCCAAAATTCTGGACAATCTTAAATCTCAAGACAAGGGCCCAAATCCCTGTGCGCGATCGGGTCCGAGATTCTCTGTGCAGAAACTTCTGTCCGGCTCCTCGTACTCCAACAAACTGGTGGAACAGCCATTCGCAGCACACTGAAACCCAGCTAAGCAACAAGATGTATACGAACTAAACAACTTGGACCATAGCTACAGAGTCAAAGGGAGACAGACATGCCTGCAAGGACCAGGCAGGTTAGAAACCAAAGAAAAAGTTCCTCCCGATGAGTGCAGAACTGCACATGACTATAAAGTCACACTTTTCCACCGCCAGCTCGTCTTTTTCTTAAAAAAAAGTTCAGTCTTGTGATTGTTTCACAAATTATACCACATCCATCGTATAACAGCAACAGCTTGCATTTATATTGCCTTTCACGCGGGGTAGCGTCCTGGAGCAATTAAATGTGCAGAAAGCGACATTGCCAGAGATCCAGTAACCTGGAAATCGGTCATTTTTTAGCACACAGGAAGCCAACGGGTACGCCTGCTGAAGTCAATCCTCAGGTCCGGAGGGCACCATTTAACAGTGTTCTCCTCATATAATCTACTGTATTATTGCATCATCAGAAATTTCATCCGTCGATGTCTCAGTTGACGCCTGGCATCAACTGAAGGAACAAATACCGGTCTGAGATCACTTCAGTACCAGTTTGTATGGTACTGATGTAATGTTAGTGATGCAACAATTTGTACGACTTTGACTGTCTGACTGACTGAGAGATAGCATTGGACTTCTTTGAGATATGACTGTTAATAAATATCACATTGAATATCTCAATCTTCATCCTCAGATCTTGAAATAGCCCATTGCTATTTTACTACTACTAACCTCCCTCAGCTCAACTCTCCCCGTCGAACACTTTTGCGAACTGTGTTCGCCTTTGTTCTGACTGAAAGTGTCTTTCTTGAAAAAGGTTTTGTTCGTTTTGCTCACTTAACAATGTGAATCACTCCGTCTTTAACAATCAGGCAGAACCTCACAGAAGGCAAGACCTAACATTTCTACTAACAGCCATCTCGTAACAACAGTCAAAATAACCGTAACAACAAATTATATTTGTATAGCGCCCTTCACATCGGGAGTAAATCTCAAGGCGCTGGTACCACGCGGTATCGTACCACGTAGCTGGCTGAGGGCGAGGGTAACCGTTTCCCACGGTATCAGGCTACTCAATGTGAGAGGTCGTTGAGTGGTGAAGGTCAGTTTTTTTATATCCAATATTTTATTTACTGTGATGTGTAGTTTATACGTTATAAAATGTGATGAAATGAAGCTGGGGGGGGGTTTGCATCGAAAGCGGACAGGATATTGACAGCATGTTGATATAATACAGGGTCTTATCATCAGGAGTTCACTGTATAAACATAAAAAATGCACCAGCTCATATCCTCAACAAAAACCCGGCTGTAAGAATTCAACCAATAAATATAAATGAGAATATTACAAAAGGAAATGATTCATAGAATCCTAAACATTTACAGTACAGGAGGCTATTCGGTTCATCAAGTCTGCACCTGATCTTCGAGCAAGCTGTCAATTCAATCTGACTGTCCCACCCTATCCCCATACCCCTACAAACCTCTATCCTTGATAAGACCATCCAGCGCCCTGGGATGTATTTCCGCCGTGAAGAGCACAATACAAGTGTCAGGCTCCACCTGCTCCGTATCACAGATGGATCAACTTCAAGATGCTCACACTCGTCTNAAAAAATCTCTTCATGCCCTGGCACCTCCCTACCTCTCTGACCTGCTTATTCCCCAATCCCTCCCATATTCCTAATGGCTACTGTTATTGACTATTTGTATCATACAAAGTCCAGAAAACAGTTGGAACAGACTTTCCTCAATCCTCATCAACTCTGCTCCACTGAGCTGGAACACATTGCCTTGGATCATATATTCAGTAACTTACTCAAAATTGGACTAGAAAGTTCTAGATTTACTTACTCAGCCTTTTTCTGTTGTAAACTCAGCAGCCAATTTGGGCATAGTGATGTCCCACAAACAGTCACAGAGTGGGGAGTGGGGACTGAATGCTTTTTGGGGGGGGATTTATTGGCCAGGACACAGGGAGAGAGAAACTCCCTTCTGTTTTTGAATAGTGCCAAGGGATCTTTAGCGTCCACCTGAACAGGAGAACAGGGCCTCTGGTTTAACGTCTCATCCAAAGGACGGCACATGTGACAATACATCACAGCCCCGGCATGACATTGGGGCGTCGGTTTAGACTGTATGATTCCAACTCCCGATTTGGTGCTTGGATCCACAACCTTCTGATTCAGAGGCGAGAGCACTACCGTGGCGCCAGCCGACCACTCAATGCGTGAATTATTATTATATTTGAATAATCTTTGCATGACGATATTGTGCATCGTCAATACGTTTCAAAGCATTTTAAACGGAGCGGCGGTGGGGGGGGGGGATGAGAGAGGAAAGAGCATCGCCTTATCACGTGGAGAGTGAAGTGGACCCTTCACCGCGTATTATGAATGGGAACCCCGCCCCTTCGTGTCATACCAGAGTACCGTAGCTCAGTGGTTAGAGCACTCGCCTCGCAAACGAGAGGACCCGGGTTCGATTCCCGGGTAGGGCAAAAATCTTAGGCAGGTTTCCTTACTCCGCACGCACGCCCAGCAGTCAGTAGGAACTTCGGTTTTTACTGGATTGGCTTTCAGGGGGTAAAGAGTCCCTCCTTCCAAAACAAAATTGGGCCGCTCAATCCACGACGGTTTGCGGGGAACGCCGTGGCTGACGCGTTTCGCCCACAAAACACACACAAGTCACTGCACTGCACAGTTACGTTACGCGAAGCGCTTTTGAGACGGTTCAACGACGCGATAAACACAACAACAACAACTTGCATTTATACGGCCTGCCCCCCCCTTCACCGCATCACGTCGTCGACACGTTTCGAAGCGTTCGACGCCCGTGAAGCAATCGCCTGCGGTATTATCCCGCGAAGCGCCTTCGAGGCGGCTCGACGACGCGACGGAACCACCACAACTCGCATCTGGATAACGTCCTGTACCCCCCCCACAACCCCAACCCTCCCCACCCAAACAACCCCCCCCACCCCCACCCCGCGACGTTACGTCAATCGACACGTTTCGAAGCCGCCGCGAAACACAGTCACTGAGGCTTTACCCTTGAGGCGTCTCGACGAAGTGATCAGGCGGATATCAAATGCAAGGATCATCATCATCATTACCGTCATCACCATCACCACCAACATCATCACCACCATCACCACCATCATCATCACCACCATCACCACCATCACCACCATCATCATCATCACCGTCATCACCATCACCACCATCATCATCACCACCATCACCACCATCATCACCATCATCACCACCACCATCATGATCATCATCATCACCACCACTATCATCACCATCATCATCACCATCATCATCACCACCACCACCATCATCACCACCATCACCTTCATCATCACCACCATCACCATCATCATCACCTTCACCACCTTCATCATCACCTTCACCACCTTCATCATCACCATCACCATCACCACCACCACAATCATCACCACCACTATCATCACCACCACTATCATCACCACCACCACCACCACCGCTCACCTTTGACGATGACCAGCACGGAGCTGAAGGTCTGGCCGGCCATGTTGGAGGCGGTGCAGGTGTAGCGCCCGTTGTCGCTCTGCCTGCAGTACAGGATCCTCAGCACGAAGCGGTCGCGGTCGTCGTCGAAGAGGACGTGCCGGCGGCCCGGGGCGATGGGCCGACCGTCCTTCTGCCACACGATCTCGGGCCGGGGCTTGCCGGTCGCCTGGCAACTCAGCCGGGCGTGCTTGCCCTCCGTCACCGTGCAGGTGCGCGTGCGCGGCCACGTGGCCCCGGCCCCGCCCCCCGCCAACGGCTGCCAACGGCTCGCGCCGCCGCCCCCGCCCTCCTCCTCCTCGCGGTAGTCTCGCGAGAAGCCGAGTCGGCGGCCCGTTCCCGCCTCGAAGAACGACGACGACGGAGAAGAAGAAGAAGAAGGTGACAAGATGGCGTCCGTCGACCTGTACACCGCGATGTCCGCGTCCCTCATCTCCTCGCGACGCTTCTGCAGGTGAGACAGCAGCGACGTCCGACTCGCGTAGCCCGACTCGGACGATGGCGCCAGGCCGGGGCCCGGCTGCCACGCGGAGCCGCCGCCGCCGACCACCACCACCACGTCGTCGTCGTCGGGCGAGACCACGACCAAGGCGGCGGCGGCCTGCGCGTCCCCCAGCCGGTTGCGGGCCCGGCACAGCCACGTGCCGCCGTCGGCGAAGCGGGCGCAGTGGATCCTGAGGGAACTGGCGTCGCCGGCCGACTCGACGGCGTAGCGGTTGTTGTCCGAATCGCCGCCGCCATTGCCGCCGCGCCGCTCAGGGTCTTGTTGTCCCGCTCCCAGCTGACGGCCGGAGCCGGGTTCCCCAGCGCTTTGCAGCTGAAGCCGGCGTCGTCCCCCAGGCGGACCTTGAGGGAGGAGGGTTTGAGGACGAAGTACGGCGGGTACTCGACGCCGCCGTCCCCCCCGCCGCCGCCGCCCCCGCGCGGGTCGGCGGCGACCTTGAGGGTGACCGCGGCGTAAGCCTCGCCCACCGGGTTGTTGGCCCTGCAGATGTACTGGCCGCTGTCCTCCAGGGCCAGGTCGTAAATGGTCAGCTTGTAGACGTCGCCGTCCTCCACCGCCTTGAACCGCCCGCCCGACCCGATGGGCGCCCTCCCCTTCTCCCACACCACCAGCGGGTCGGGGTTGCCGACGATCCGGCAGGTCAGGGTGGCGTCCCGGCCGGCGGACACGGCGAAGGCTTTGGGTCGAGCCAGGAACCTCGGGGCTCCACCGAAATCCATCTCGGACCTTGTGGAGACGGTCCGGGAGGGCGGGAGGGTGGGTGGGTGTAGGGTTTGAGGGGGGGTGGAGGAGGAGATGGTGGTGGTGGTGATGGTGGTGGTGGAGGAGAGGGAGAGAGATAGAGAGAGAGAGAGAGAGAGAGAGTGTTTTTTTTAACCGTCTAAAATGTCACCAGGAGCCGCCTTACCCGCACAATTCGCAACGCTGCTGCTTTAAAGGTCATCGGAAAGCCCTGTCAATCGCATGCTTTTAAACCCCCCCTCACCTCCCTCCTTCCCAATCTTCTCTCCTCTCTCTCTCTCCACTCCCTCTGTCTCTCTTTCTCTCTTCTTCTCCCCCCCCCCCCCCCACACTGCCCCACCACCTCCCACCGAATTACCAGCCGTGTCCCGAAATAGAAGCAGCTGTCCCGGTTTATCTCTCTTTACATGTCCATTTGTAGAGCTACTTCACTGACAGTATACACACACACACAAACCACCCCACCCACACACACCCCCACCCACACAAACACCCCCCCAAACACACACACACACACACAAACACCCCCCCCACCCACACACACACAAACACCCCCCCCACACACACACAAACACCCCCCCACCCACACACACACAAACACCCCCCAACACACACACACACACACAAACACCCCCCCCACCCACACACATACACCCCCCACACACACACCCCAAACACACACACCCCAAACACACACACCCCAAACACACACACACAAACACCCCACACACACACACAAACACCCCCCACACACACACACCCCCCACACACACCCCCCCCCAAACACACACACCCCCAAACACACACACCCCCCCAAACACACACACCCCCAAACACACACACACACCCCCCCCACACACACACCCACACACTACTTTATTAGCGATTCCACGGCGTTAAAAGCAAAGTCGATTAAAAACAATATTTGTCTCTTCGAGGAAGGAGAAAGTGGGTCAAGAACAAAACCCCCAAAAGTTGGCCGGGGGGTTGGAACTCGCGCTTACGGTTTTCCGTCACGGTAACCATCCCCGTTTGACAATTAAACGCCTTCGTTTTAACGTAAAAGCGGAGGATTGTATGTGGATGGTTTCTCGTGGCAAACGCGCGCGAGGAAAAAGTCTTAAAAAGTCTTAAAAGTCTTAAACGTCTTAAAAAAGAGAGAGAGAAAAAAACGTAACGTACCTGTTTTCAGAAGCGTGGGATTCACTGGGAACCTACGATCGCAAATGTAAGTAGGGTTCAAGCATCGTAGGTAAAATCCGCGTAACTTTCAATCACAGATTCCATAAGTCCATAAGTGAATTCCAAAGGGGTGAAAAAGGTAAAAGTTTGTTAAAATCAACGGCTGCGATGTATTCCCCAGTCCCCTGCAGCGGTTTTCGATTTTGCTTTGTACCTCGTCTGTCCTAAATGCTAAATCGTTGACGTACTCTGCTTTACTCAGCCGAAAATCCAAAATAGCTTGGTGCCATTTGCGCAAGAGATAGAGTTACAGACAGCGATGATAGCGCTCTCCGGAAATCACCACTAACATTAGGGGAAGCAAGAAGGGCCTTCAGTAGCCCTTCTGAGGTCATTTTCTCGCGTGTCATGCGCTAACTGGAGCTTTATCAGTACTTGTGCTAATTGTTTTCTTACCCTTAAAAAAAAACCTCCACTAGACATTTTTCCAGCCTTCTGCTTCAGACCGTCCACTTGATTCGCAATGGTTTGTTCCACAGTGTAATCTGCTCAGGGCTCACTTAGAGATTGACAACAACAAAAGTTCTGTAGCTTTATAATAAGCTGTTTGAAACTTTATCCTGGCATGTAAACCTGGCTTTCTCAAGAATTCGCATATCGATGTTCTGTTTTGCTGTAGGATATCGAGGCTTTGCCTTATTCCATGGTACTAATGTTCAGAAAAAAGCAAGAAAAAAATGCAGACTATTAATTGTTTTGTTTTCCCGTTTTAATGTACTTCGTCTGAGGTTTTGGTGTTTCTAAATATTCAATTAAAAATATTTGAAACCTTTGTGCAAAAAACATTTTATTAAATTTATCGTGTGCTCCAGTATTCTCTTCCCGACCCACCTGCACGATGGACCGAATAGCCTCATTCTACGCACTAAGATTCTACGATTCATGTCCTGTGGCCAGGCCGATGGTTGCAGCAGACAGAACAAGAAGGATATTATTACAAAATCGCGAGTTTGTTGATGTTACAATTCCAGCAAATTGAGAAGAACTGCGTGAAAAAAAGAGACTACAGATTTTAGGTTATGGAAAAGTAATGTTGATAATAAATAATACAATTCCATTGCAGGTCACAGTTCACGTGCAAAGTGTGAAGGTATAGTCCCACTGTTATCTGAACAGGCAACTGCTGTTCGGATAACAGTGGGACTATACCTTCACAGTTTGTATACGCCAACTGCCCGTGAGATGTACAGTTATGAAAAAGCTGACAGTGTCTTCCCTTTTTTTTTAAATAAGACACTTTTTTTGTATACCAAATGGAGGGACTGACTTGGAGCGATTACCCACAGCTAGTACTTGTATGAACCGACTGAAGCGTCCAGGTTTTATCATGAAACTCTTATCAGGAGCAACCTACTTTATGCAATTGAGTCAGCAGCAGGCTTTGAGCTCAGCTGAAGTAAAGCAGGTTGTTAAGCGTGTGAGAATATTGGTGTCCTATACACACACCAACGATCAGAGTTCTCAGAATGGAAGGAAATCAAACTATTGATTGAGCCTTTTAATCATTTGTCTGTAACTAAGAAGAATGTATGGCCATATGGATACAAAGTGGGGTGTTTTTACTATGTAGAAATGAATTGGAGACAACTGTGCACAAGCCTCAACTGTGATGAACAGACCGATCTGTATGTTAACAGAAAAATAAGCCCATGCTCTGCGACATTAACCAAAGATGCGGCAAATGTTGAGATGCCATGCGTAAGTATAAAGTGAAAGGGCAAAAAAGGAAGCCATAATAATGGAAGATATTTGCATTTGAAGTAGATCTCTTCTCATCTGAAGCCGATTTTAGGAAGGAAATATATGGCTTATGTAAAGTTATTTTAAAACTTCACGCTTATTTCCTGCATTTGATATTGTGAGGTGGGAGCACGTAGACAGTGTATTGCTGCGTTCTTCATTTTTAAGTGGCAAATTTCTTACTGTTTTGGGTTTGAATCACAATTATGTCGCAGTCTGGAACCCACCAAAAACATTTCCAATTTGAAACCCAGCTTGTAAGGTGTGTGACCTACATCTTTACTCCGCCCTATATGATCCTTCGGCAAAACAAGTGTGAATTTTTGAGGAGGGGTTACAGAAAGCCAACAAGATGTGTGGATGGAAAGAGTTTTCTAATTCTTTCCAGTGGTTCATTGAAAACTGTTCAGCTTGTTCCTAAAATCATGCCATATAGGGCATGGTAAACATTTTAAGACCAGGATTTCTGTAAGAAGAGATACGAATATGTATATGTTTTTTTTCTTTGCATCTGTGAATACTGTGTTTTCGCTCTGTATCTGTGCAGTTTTTTTCTTGTGTATTAAATTTCTGTGGTACTGGAATGTGGTACTTACCGTTAAATGAGCATTATAATTGAACAGCCATTAAAGCAAGTGTTTGCAAAGATCGCCTTGGAGATGTAATGTCAAAGTGATTAGGGATTAGGATTAAGGGCTCAAGGAAGCAGAGTAGTATTAGTTCAAGTCTTAGATGCGGAAACCCATCACCATGTTTAAGAGTATCTTAACCAAATTGAGAATTTCATGTATTCGCCTATACATGGAAAGCCCAGAGATATTGTTGGAATGCGCACTCTCTCCCTGGAGAGACGCATCCTGCTTTCCGAATTCCAGAAAGTATTAGGCACAGGCTCGCAAGAACCTCGTCTGGGGACCCCAGAGTGCATTTAGTCCATTCATTAACAGATTCTGCAAAACTGCAGGTTGGTACAACTAAAACCGCCTAATTCTTATACACATCCATTCCCTGATCAGCACCGCTTTTTTCCACCTCCGCCACTTTGCCCACCTCCGTCCGTACCCCACAGCCGACGCTGCTGAAACCCTCATCCGCGCCTTCGTCACTTCCCGGCTGGACTGTTCTAATGCCCTTCTTGCTGGTCTCCCGAGTTCCACCGTACACAAAATCCAATTCATTCAAAACTCCACCTCCCGGATTTCACCCTCATAAAACTCCGTACCCCGTCACACAGCCCTCCCCAGGCTCCACTGCCCCCAATCACTGAACAGATCGATTTCAAGATCCTCTCACTCGTTTTCAAACCCTTTCGTGCCCGCGCACCCCCATACCTCTCCGAACTGCTTAACCCCCACTCCACCACACACTGCCTCCGCTCAGCCGGCTCCGGCGTCGTTTATTCCTCGCGTCCTCCGCTCCACTGTTGGTCGTGCCTTCAGCCACTACGCCCCGAAACTCTGGATCTCTCCCTCATTTCCTTCCATTTTGCCCCCTCCCTCCCCACCTTTTTGATGGTGCTTCCCGTCACCTACCCTCGCCAACCTCAAGAGGTCATCCCAAGAGGGCTGAACGGTGAAGGGTTTGCACCCGAGCTGGGGATTGGAGTCCAGAGGGGTGGAGAAGCCAAGTGGGGAGGAGGCAGGATGATGACCGCGGTCAAACAGGAAAGACTTGAGACGGGCCTTGAAGGGGCAACGGAAGGGGTGACGAGGAGGGGCTCCAGGACGGACTTCCAGAGGGCGAATTGAATAAAATGACAAAATAACACGCAAAACAAAAAGGTTACCATCAAACTAATTTGAACCTTTATTTCTTTACAATAATGTGCTAATTCTCAAACTTTTTTAAAAAAAACTCAAAAAAACCTGTTATACACCTCAGTTAATTATAAACTGAACCTTAACATTCAGCATTTGAAAGCCACCGCTGACCGCAATAAATTTGACCATTAGCAATTAGACTGAATTCCATGGCATCGATAGCAAAAGAACAAAAC